GAGACAGAAGCTGGAGCCGAGGAGCTGGGAGGAGACCCCGGGGGCTGAGGCCCCCACAGGGCGTGCCTGCGGGGAGCGGAGGCACCGCTGCGGGGACTGTGCCCAAACATTTGCTACCCAGAGGAAGCTGCGCAAGCACCAGGAGGCCCACGGTGGGGGCTCCCACAGCTCCCGGGCTGGACGGAGGTCTTCCACGCGCTTCGCCTGCCCTCACTGTGCCAAGGTGTGCAAGACGGCAGCCGCCCTGAGTCGCCATGGGCAGAGGCACGCTGCTGAGAGGCCTGGGGGCACCCCCACACCTGTCATTGCCTACTCCAAGGGCAGCACTGGCACCAGACCTGGGGATGTCAAGGAGGAGGCCCCCCAAGAGATGCAAGTCTCCTCATCCAGCGGGGAGGCCGGTGGCGGGAGTGCTGCGGCGGAGGAAGCGTCTGAGGCCGCCTCGGTCCAGGACCCTGTCATCTCAGGGGGTGAGGAGCTCCCAGTGGTGGCCGGAGGGGGCGCCTATGCATACCCACCTGTGCAGGAGTTCCCACTGGCTCTGATTGGAAGCGGCCGGGAACCTGGTGGTGGCAGGGGAAAGCCTGGCAGTGAGGGGCCCATGGGGGCCGGGGAGGGGGACCGAATGGAAGGGATAGGAGCTGCCAAAGTCACCTTCTACCCCGAGCCCTACCCCCTCGTCTATGGCCCCCAGCTCCTTGCCGCCTACCCTTACAACTTCAGCAACTTGGCTGCGCTCCCAGTTGCTCTTAACATGGTCCTACCTGATGAGAAGGGTGGGGGAGCCCTTCCGTTCCTACCAGGGGTCTTTGGCTACGCAGTCAATCCTCAAGCAGTACCCCCTACGCCCCCAACTCCGCCTCCCCAAACTCTTCCCCCACCAGTCCCCCCTAAGGGAGAAGGGGAATGGGCAGGGATTGAAGGAACCCAGAAGGGAGATGTGGGGTGAGCTCTGGACCCAGATCTCCCCTTTCACCAGAGGCCACCCTCCCTGAACCCCCCGCCACTACCAGCTCCCTGGCCTCCTTGCCCCTTGGGAGCCCCTCCACACTCTTGTGCAGGGACTTAGGGGCCCCTGGAGCTCAGGGGTCAGGCTGCTTTGTGTGAGATTGTAGTTTTCCTATCTCCTGGGAAGGGGTCTTTGGTGGTTCCCCTCTCGGTTCTCCTCCAGGGAATGACCTCCATGAGGGGCAGGGCCAGCTCCCATTCCCTTGGCCAGCCCTCGGGGCAACTGAGCAATATACTTACATGAATCTCTACTCATGGCCCCCACCAGCTCTGAATGTCTAACCCGCCCCCCCATTCGTATTCCTAGGGGGAAACCATCTCTCTTCCCTATGCTCCTCCCTCCTTCTGAAGCGTTCTCTAAGCCCGTGCCCAGATGCTTCCTAGCACATTCCATTCTTGGCCCAGGGACTGGACCAGACCATTGTGATACCTGACACCCACCCACATGGGAGCTCGGCTTTGGATTCTATCTTCCGGTGGTGGATTTCTGCGTCCCTTTTTCCTTCACGTTAAGATGCCATGCCTTCCTTGGCTTCCATGCCTTTGGATCTTCCATATCCCTCCTCAAACTCCTAGACTCTGGAGATGGCCTCTTCCAGTCCAGGTCAAGGGGGTGTTGGGGAGGAGGGCTACCCATCTGTTTCTTTCCCAGCCCAGGGCAGCACCAATCTTGGTTCTATCTTGACCCCCAAATCCAGTGAGTCCCAGATTCTTCCAAGGCAAAAGAGGTGAGTAGATCACATCTCTTTCTGCCTCTACATATGGCCTCTTCTGGGCTAAGCCAGATTTGGGGGCTAGGAGGGAGGACCTCCATATGGAATGGGGAAGGGAATCTACTTTTTCCCTGTGGTTTTTGTTTTTTTTTTTCTTTCTTCCTGATGGTTTCTCCCAGACTAGACCAAATAGCCAGAAAAATAATGGGGGTTGGATGGGTGGGTAAGCTCAGATTTGCACATGACCTCCCATCCTTACCTTTACCCCCATCTTTCCCAGCACCACTTCCCTCACCAATCACTCCAGATGGTTTTGGGGAAACCATACTATTCCCTTGGTGGGCTTTGGGGTATCCCCACCAATTTCCCCTCCAAAATAGCACCTTATACCCCATCTCTGATTCAGTTCCCCACACCCAAAGATCCCAGCCTAGGGATGGGGTGCAGGGACCTTAAAAAGTCCCTAATCCCTAATTTGCACTAGTTAACCCTGGTCAGGGTCCCTATGTTTCCTTCCAGTGGGTTGTTGGAGAAACATTTGCTCCTAATTCTCTGATAACAGGGCCTCCCCACTCTGTGATTGGATGAGCATTTCCCATCTGACCCACCTCACCCAAAAACACCCAGCTCATAAGGGGAGAGCCAGTTCTGGGGAGCAAATTTGAAAAATGGGAATTAGAGGAGTGCAGTTTTAGAAAGGGGGAAAGTTGCTATCATCAAAATGGCAGCCTTTTTCCCAGCTACTGTTTTCTGGGGCCAAGATGGCTGCCCTCTCAAAAGACGCTGAAAGGGCAAGATCATGGCTTTTAGAGGGAGGTGAATTTGGGGGAAGGGACAGGAAGATCCTCCTGCCCCCTCTTACCCTCCCAGACTACACAAAGGGGGAGGTTCTTGACAGGCTCCCTGAATGCTAACTATTGAGGAGTGTCGGCTCCTTCACTACTCCTCTGTCTCTTTGCACTTTTCTTGGTCTTGGCCACAGTCCGAGTGAAGAGTTTTCCTACTGAATGTACCAAGTTCCAATTTTTATGGGAGAAAAAAAAATTTTTTAACAGGGAAAAATGCAAAAAAAAAATCACTAAAACGTTCCCACAAATCTTGTTTCTGGCACTTTAGAAAAACTGCGAAAAAAGTACATAATAAAGAATACATATATATATCTATATCTACACACAGATTATATATATATATATACACACACAGCGGAACCACAAGAGAGACTGAGGAAGGCCTTGGAGGCAGGGGCAGATGAGATGACAGTCCCCTTATATCCTTAACCTGAACCGCTGAGGCAGAAAGGCACAGGAGATGGAAGGGGTGGAGGATGGACCAGGGAATGGTAATTTCTGCAGGTCACAATTCTAAAACCATTTTGGGAGAACTGAGATTGTAGACGTTTATTTTTTTGAAAATATGGTTTAGGGGAAAGTTTCCAGAATTTGGTGTTTCTGGGCAACAAATGAGATTGTGGCAAAATGGCGATTAAAAGACATGGGGAACTTGAATATTGTGAATTTCAGATGTTGGAAATTGGGGGTTTTGCAATTTCATCTTTTGAAAAGTATCGTCTTGTCAGTTTGGGCCCTTTCCTCATGTTCCCTGGGAAGAAGGGTGATGGTGGAGTAGGAAGGCCACTGGTTCTGTGCCACAGCACGCGAGATTTAGAATTCTACAGACTCTAGTTCTATATGTAGTGAGGACCCAGATTTAGAGAAATTGACCAATATTTATCTCCGCATTTGTGTGTGTGTCCAACTCTCTAGGCCAATAAACCAACAAGACAAACAAACTGTGCTCTGCAGTGGGATACCAGGTGCAATTATTTGTGTGGTCGGTGGGTCTGGCTGGACAGGGACATACTGACCTTGTCCCACAGGGATCCTTGGGAGCTGTAGCCCTATTCTCCCTCTTAGGACAACAACCTCCAGCAATTGAGTTGGTGTGAGGTACTTCATTGTAATTGCAGCAGCCTACTAGGCTCCAGCTGACTTTGGTCTGACCTCCAGGCAGAAACATTAAACTCCGTTCAGTTCACACAGCCTTCTGGGCACAAGATCCTCCTGTCCCAGAAAGGCATTGCCTTAAAGCAGGTGTAACCCTTTCTCCAAATTGAAAGGAAACAGGCACAAAATATGGGATGGCCGTAAGAGACACAACAACCTTTCTTTTTTTCCTCCCATTGGCTTCAACTCCTGTCCCCCATGCCCTCCCCTGTATTTTGTCTAGTGTTATGGAGGGATGGGTAAGTAAAATGAGTGAAGCTGGTCAGGTGGGTGGGGGCTTTGAGGAATTGATCAGAGTGGGCAGCCACTAATGAGCTCTTGCAGGTTGCTGCCAACAGGGGAATCAGGCCTGGTGTTACTGTAGGTTTTTAAAATTTTTTCAAGAGGAGCCAGAAATCCAAATTTCTCTGTGAAACACCCAAATTTTAAAATTAGCTAACTAATTTAAATTTAGCATTATTCAGGCCAAACCCTAGCCGGTTAGACTCAGTGGATAGAGCGTCGGCCTGTGGACCAAAGGGTCGCGGATTCAGTTCCAGGCAAGGGCACGTACCTTGGTTGCAGGCTTCCCCCCACTCCTCCCAGGCTCCCGGCCTTGGTTGGGGCTTGTGCAGGAGGCAACCAATCGATGTGTTTCTCTAACATCAACATTTCTCTCTGTCATTCCCTCTCTCTTCCACCCTCTCTAAAAATCAATGGAAAAATATCCTCAGGTGAGGATTAAAAAAAAAAAATTATTCAGGCCAATGCCATGGGCCAAACAAAACACAAGTTTACAACCTCTGATACATACTACATAGTGCTTTTGTTCCCATCTATAATTATAAAATTGTAATATGCTAATTAGAACGGATGTCCTTCAGGATGACCTTCTGGACGAAGCCTGGGCTTCGAAGGAAAACTGGGTCCCGGGTGCCAGAGGGAAGACTGGGTGCCGGCAGCCGGGGAAAGGAAGGCCTACTCTTGCACGAATTTCGTGTATTGGGCCTCTAGTCTTCTCATATGATCCTTAGAGTAAGGGGCAGATACTATTATTAGCTCCACTGTACGATTTAGAAACTTAGGGCAGTTTAGTAGCTTGTCCAAAGTTTAAGCACCAAAGCTGGAACTTGAAGATTTTTTAAGTGCGATTTTTCTCCTTTTTACAAATACATCCTTTTAGAAATACTTATCTTAAAGATAATACTTATTTCAAAACATATTACGTTACAGAACGGTAAAAACAAAAATGACCACTAGTCCCAACGTGCAAACATAAGTGCTATTAATTGGTGTATTTCCTTCCAGAAAAAAAGTTCCCTATTTATTCAACAAATATTAAGCAGGACATGTGCTAGGTGCTGGGGGTACAAGACACAGTTCCTGCACTCATAAGGCTTACAGTCTCATTCTTGCTCTTTGTTCCTTTTTACTGGGAACCTGGGTGTTGATAGTCAAAAGAGTTTCTTTAAGAAGCCAAAGAGTAAATAAACTGATAGTGCATTTCTGGTGGGCCCAAGGCTTCCGTATGCCCACTCCCACCTAGGTTCTCCCTGGAAACAAAATGACACGACTGGATCCCTAGTGAAGGAGTTAAGAGGCAGAAAGGGAAAGGGCCAAGCTCTCAATTCAGCTGACCGAGGACTTAGGTCTTGACTCTAGGTCCTAGGGAAAGGGGTCGGGCGGGGGCAAGTGGTATGTGGCGTCCAGGAAGATGACGAGGGTCCCGACACTCGTGAAGATGATGAAGGTCCACAGGAAGAGGCGGTCCACTACCATGGCCACAAATTGCCAGTCTTCCTTCAACTGGGGGTAAGCAGAGAAAACTGTCCCTGAGCTCCAGACCCCAGGGAAGGCCACCCCCCAAGTCCCTGGACCCTGTCCTGGTCCTCCTACAACAGCTCTGAGATCAGGGCAGGCTGCGAAACTACCAACGATTGGTGACGGTAAAGAACCAGTCAGTTTAAAAAAAAAAAAAAAAAAAAAAAAAAGGAAAAAAGAACCAGTCGGAAAACAGGGGGCGGGACCAAATGAGGAAGCTTCCAATCAAAAATAGAAACGTAATATTAGAGGCGGAGCCTGAGTTTGAGGGTGGAGCCAAGGCTGTGCCCGGCTCCACCCTCACCGGACTTACCGCATCGTGGTCCTCCTGTTCCTGCAGCTGTCGAGCGATGTAACTGATGGAGGAAACGACCTCCCGTAACTCGGCGGGCAGGCCCACAGCCCGGTTTGGACCATCGATAAATCGCCGTAGATCCAGGGCAGACAACTCAGGCTGGAACCTGGAAGAGGCGGGACCGTTTGGTCAGGTCCCGGGTGCAAAGACACAGCCTGCGTTCGGGCCATAGCCCCCGCCCCAACATCCTGCCCCTTTGCACACGCTCTCAGGCTCTCCCCGCCGGCAGCGGTGACTTCGCCAGCCTCCCGTAATTCCTCCCGTCTCTATGGCGTAGTCTCCCCCTTTCAGCAAAGGGGGCAGCAGATACTACAACTCCCATGATGCTCAGCATCTTTGGGGAGCTTAGACCGCCTGCCTCCGCACAGACTTCTGGAAATTGTAGTTCTCCCTCTCTGAGTAGGTTCTACCTGTTGGGTTTGGGGAAGAGGAAATCGTTCGGTGGCTTCCGGATGAAGTATTCATCTGTTCCCCGACCCCAGCCACTCCCCGGAGACTCCCTGAGGGCTGCAGGGGGCGGCTCCGGCATCTGGTCTCTCTCAGGCTTGGGCCTCTTCAGGCCCAGGTACAGAGGCAGCTTGTGGATAAAGATCTGCAGAGTAGAAGAGGCGTGTTGGAGGGGGTTCTCATGCTTTTAGGCCAGAAGGGAAACAGCCAGCCACCCCCACACCACATGCCCATTCCTAAGCATGTGCGCATATGTCCCCCAGAGCTCCACAGGCAGGGAAAGGCAGCCACGCAGCCTTCAGAAGCTGAAGTGGACGGGAGCCATCCTGACTGGAGAGGGAGGTTATGAGGCTCCACCCTGATAGTGCCTAACCCCGAGGATGTTCCCCTGGGACCCAGGATGGGCCGTATGGATGATGAGAGTGTGCGGGGGTTCTTGTCCCAGCATCAAGAAGGGTTCAGGAGTCTGGAGAAGGGGCTGTGCGTAGGTGACATAGGAATCCAGAGACTAATAAAGAGTCCGGAGACGAAATATAATGTTGTAAGGCATTTTGGGGGTCAGAGGAGCTTAGCTAAAGGAGCTAAGTTCTAAGATCTTAAGTCTAAGGCAGCGGTTCTCAACCTGTGGGTCGCGACCCCTTTGGCGGTCGAACGACCCTTTCACAGGGGTCACCTAAGACCATCCTGCATATCAGATATTTACATGACGATTCATAACAGTAGCAACATTACAGTTATGAAGTAGCAACGGAAATAATTTTATGGTTGGGTCACAACATGAGGAACTGTATTTATTTATTTATTTATTTATTTATTTATTTATTTTTTAGGAACTGTATTTAAAGGGCCAGAAGGTTGAGAACCACTGGTAAGGCCTTGGGTTCTCTCATCGTCCCCAGGACCCCATGCTTCTTATTAACCCAACTTGTCCTGAGGCGAGACAGAGATATACACTTCAAAGGGTCAGGGTTTGGTACAGAGTCCATTGTCAGAATGGGGGAATTAGCCTATGGCTGTTCAGGTGTTTGGCCAACAGGAGGCAATAACATGTAGATGAAGATGCCCTTTAGCTGTCTGGCAGCCACAATCAGTTTCCTATTCAGGTTTGGGGAAATGCCTTTAGCCATTCCCAACAGGTGACTACATGTGTGACTCAACCCTGCTGAGTCCCCACGTCTCATCAACCTTTTGATGAAACTCCTGAAATTATGACATGCTGGAATTGGTCTGCGGCAAGAGTGTGGGATCTATGAAATGGTCATGATGGGAGGGCAAATGTAACTGTGCAACGTCTGGACACCCAGCAGGCCTTGGCACTTCAACCGTCCATGAAGAGTTGTAGTTCTCCCTCAGGTCTGTGAAAGGGAAGGTTGAAGTGGTAGGAGGGAGAAGTCAGACCTGGACAAAAAGCCAAATACTAAGATTAAGAGTTAATACAAGCTAGAGGAGGAGATTCTCTTACCTGACGGACCCAAAGGGGCATTTGGTGGGTGTGAGGTGAGCGATGGTGCAGGTTGAGGACAACAACGCTGAGGATGACTGAGAAGGTGACGAGGACCATGGTAAACATGAGGTACTTAATGATGATGGGGACAGCCAGGGAGGTCTCGGGCACTTTGTCTGCCAGCAGCAACAGGAACACAGTAAGAGTCAGCAGGGCAAAGATTGAGAGCCCCATCTTCTCTCCTTGGGGGGCAGAGGGGAAGGCAGAAGAATTAGGCTTTGCCGGAAGACAATCTCCATGGCATAATTGGTGACCATGTTTCCAGCCCACTCACTCAAGACAGACTTTTGGAAGGACCAACTGCATGGCAATGATTCCTACATTTATACCTCCAGCCTGGACTTACTCCCTTACACTTATATTCACCTGCCAACTAAACCTCTCCGTTAAGTCTGAGATGTTAAGTAGACATCTCAAACTTAACATGTCTAAAACCTAACTCCCTCATCACCAACTCCTCCCATAGTCTTCCCATTTTATAAATAACAACTTCATCTTTCCTGTGGCACAGGCCAAAACCCTTTCAGTCATTCTCAGCTCCCTTCTCTCTCTCATCCCACATCCGATTCATAGCAAATCCTGATGATTCTACCTTCAAAATATATTTTATCACATCTACCCCTAACACTCATGTAGGTATAAACCACCATTACCTCACGTCTGAGTTATTATAAAGGCCTCCTCTTTGCTTCATCCTTTACCCATCCCCCCCCTCTGTTCTCAAGAGAGCAGCCAGATTGATCTTATTTTTAATTAAATATTTTTTATTGACTTTTAGAGAGAGAGGAAGGGAGAGAGAGAGAGAAACATCAATTGGCTGCCTCCTGGACACCCCCTACTGGGGATGGAGCCCACAACCTGGACATGTGCTCTGACCTGGAATAGAGCCAGCAACCTTTGGGTGCACAAGACGAAGCCAACCAACTGAGCACCACTGGCCAGTTAAAATGTAAATCAGTCCCTGCCCGCATGGCAGCGTGGCTCAGTGGTTGAGCGTCAACCTATGAACCAGGAGGTCACAATCTGATTAATATGTTACACAGATTAACTCAATTCTAACCTTTACAACAACTCTGTGAGGTAAGTACTGATTACCTTACAGCAAGTGCTCAAAAACAGCAACGACAACACCACCACTTACATAGAATTTACTGGGTATGCTCATGAACTCACGTGATCCTCAAAATAATCCTATTCTGTAGGAACAACCATTGTCCTTGTTTCTAGATTAGGAAACTGGAGACACATAGAGATTAAGGAATTTGCACAGGGTTACTCTTACTATATTATGCTGCCTCCTAGAGAAATGTTGGCTATTACTGCCAAGAGAAATAGGAGTTTAAGAGACTAGTTAGGTGGCCCAGCAGGTGTGGCTCAGTGGTTGAATGTTGACCTATGAACCAGGAGGTCATGTCTTTCTCTCCCTTTCCCTTCCTCTCTGAAATAAAAAAAAAAAATTAAAAAATTAAAAATAAAAAAAAACAGAATAGTAGCCCAGGAACCAAGAGGTCACTGGTTCGATTCCCTGTCAGGGCACACGCCTGGGTTGCAGGCTCAATCCCTAGTAGGGGGCATGCAGGAGGCAGCCAATCCATGATGTTTCTCTCCAATTGATGTTTCTATCTCTCTATCCTTCTCCCTTCCCCTCTCTCTCTAAAAATAAAGACATATTTTAAAAAAGAGAGAGAGCCCTAGCTGGTTTGACTCAGTGGATAGAGCATTGGCCTGAGGACTGAAGGGTCCCAGGTTGGATTCCAGTCAAGGGCACATGCCTGTGTTGTGGGCTCGACCCCCAGTAGGGGGCGTGCAAGAGGCAGCCGTTCAATGATTCTCATCATTAATGTTTCTAATCTCTCTCTCCCTGTCCCTTTCTCTCTGAAATCAATAATAAAATAAAATAAAATATAAAAATATATAGAGAGACCAGTAGGTGTCTAAAAAGTGAAGGAAGGAGGATACAAAGAATGAGGACAGGGAACAGGAGAGTTGTCTAAATCTGAGAGATTGTTGGCCAGAGGAGTAGAGGTTTCGAGGATGAGATACTAGGATTCTGAAGTATTCAGAATTTACTGGGTGAAAAGAAGTGAGCAACAGAAGACAGGCAGAGCCTGAGGCTGGAGGAAAAATCTGGATCCAGATAAAAAAGCTCTGGTTGCCCTAACCGGTTTGGCTCAGTGGATAGAGTGTCGGCCTGTGGACTGAAGGGTCCCAGGTTCAATTCCGGTCAAGGGCATATACCTTGGTTGCGGGCACATCCCCAGTAGGGGCTGTGCAGGAGGCAGCTGATCGATGTTTCTCTCTCATCGATGTTTCTAACTCTCTATCTCTCTCCCTTCCTCTCTGTAAAAAATCAATAAAATATATTTAAATAAATAAATAAATAAATAAATAAATAAATAAATAAAAAAAAAGGCTCTGGTTGACGAGAAAACCTGAGTGAGATTGCTGAAGCACAATCCGTGCTGGCTTGACAGGAAAACCTTGCCTGGATTAACGATGGAGAGGAAGAAGCTGAGCTCCTGGTAAAAATGGGGGCTGGGCCTGACCAGTGTGGCTCAGTGGTAGAGTGTCAACCCAGGAACCAAGAGGTCGAGGTTCGATTCCAGTCAGGGCACATACCTGGGTTTCAGGCCCGATCTCCAGTAAGGGGTGTGCAGGAGGAAGCTGGTCAATGATTCTCTCTCATCATTGATGTTTCTATCCCTCTCTCCCTCATCCTTCCTCTCTCTGATATCAATTAAAACAACAACAACAACAACAAACACGAGTGCTGGGGCCACTTCTCCCTTACCTGCATCTGGCGGCAGGTAGAAGACGAAGATGGCCAGGAGAGTGATGAGGATGCATGGGGCAATGACATTGACCAGGTAGAAGAGAGGTCTGCGGCGAATGATGAGGTAGAAGGTGACTTCTTGATGCTGTCCCTCTCCCGCTCCCCTAGGATCCCCTGGAGGCTGGATTAGCCGAGAGGGCTTGTGGATAATCTCCCATTGGCCATTCTCTTGGTGAAGGGGAAGAAGAACAGGAGAAGGGGACACAGATGTGGGGCCTGGTCCTTGCTGGTGCCGGTTATGGCTTGCTCTACCACATTCTAGAGCAGCGGAGGCTGATGCGATAAGGGGTTAGCTGTGAACACTAGGCTGGACAGCCCATCATTAGTAAACTGAAATAAGTCTTAATTTCCATATTTGCACAATGTAGCTAGTCATACCTATCTTGCTGACACCACAGGTTTGTATTGGCATTGCTGATGGAGTATATTTACCAGCCTGTTAGAAACTGGAAGCCATACAGCCATAGTTGTGGGATCCAGGCCCACTCACCAATGAAGGTCCCTTCATGAATGTCCACTTCCTGCCGTTCCTGCCCATCCAGGCCCACACCAGTGTGCAGGCTGACCTCTGAGCTGTCATAGCTATAGGAACGAAACACCATGGTGCAGTTCTGCCAGTCAAAGGGGAAGTAGGTGACCTGAATGGAAGGAGGAGTCACTAGAGCTGGCAGAGAACTGGTCAGGGCTGGGGGAGTTAAGGCGATCACAGGGCAGACAAGGGTCATAGAATATGGAGCACCAGGAAGATGAGGGCCACCAGGATCGGTCACAGGGAAGTGGGGGTCACAAAGGAATTGGAAGGTTATGGGGGGGGGCAGGGGCAATGGAGGGGAGTTACTGAGGAAGACTGGAAGTCAATGAAAGTGAGCAATGAAACAATGGAAAATCAGGAGGTTAAGAGAGATGTGAGGGTCAGGAGGGGTAACGAGGAGGGAGGGGTGGGAGTCAGGCTATCTGAGAGAGGGAGGGTTTCTATGAGCGCCTGGAGTTCCCCGGGTGGAGCCCAGAGACCTGGATGCTGCAGCTACTGCGATAGTTGCCAGGGGGCTTCCAGCGCACGGAGCCATCGGAGGTGACCACGACGTTAATGTCCAGCGCGACGTCAAAATTGCCGTCATTGCTGCGGGGAAGGCATCTGCTCAGGTGGGACCAGGCCCCGCCCTCCGGCTGCCGCGCCCTCCCAGAGGCCTCGGCCCCCCCCAACCCACCACCCCGTCCTGGAAAGACCCTACTTGTTCAGTAGCACCACGTCTGGGAGCCACACGGATCCAGCCGTGATGCGCAGTAAATCGATGCCTTCGTACTCGGCGGGGTCCCAGCTCAGCCTGTAGTCATTCCACTCCTAGGAAAGCAGAGGCCGAGGGGGGCTGTCAGGGGCTGGAGGCTGGGGGGAACCTTGGACGGTCCGAGGGAAGCGCGCAGTGAGCGCGAGGGTGGGGGGCAGCGCAGGTGTGGGTGAGATTCCGGAGGCAGAGAGTTCTGGTTCCGGCTCCCCCTGCACTGGCTCGGACTCCAGCAGCTGATTCCCCTTCCCTCGCAACGGGTCCCAATTTTTTAGTCCGTAACAACGAAGACGTCGCACTAACTATCCTCTAAAACAGTGGTTTCCAAACGGCAGTTCGAGACCCGTTCGTGGGTCAGGAATCAAATTAGGGGCCCCCAAATAGTTCAAAAAAATTAGAATGAAACAATGCACGAAGTACAACTCCCGCAGTAAAGATGGCATTGTTTCCCGAAGCTTCTGTTTCAGTTTGTTTGTTTTTAATATATTTTATTGATTTTTAATAGAGAGGAAGGGAGAGGGATAGAGAGTTAGAAACATCGATGAGAGAGAAACATTGATCAGCTGCCTCCTGCACACTCCCCACCGGGGATGTGCCCACAACCAAGGGATGTACCCTTGGCCGGAATCGAACCTGGGACCCTTCAGTCCTCAGGCCGACGCTCTATCCACTGAGCCAAACCGGTCAGGGCTGTTTCAGTTTTAAATGTGTTTTCTTTTTTGTTTGTTTGTTTCTTGTTTTAGTTCATAATGAAAAAATTATTTTTGACTGGGCCGGACATTCGAGGACATTTGTAAAGGCAGCGGGACACCCTTTCCCATCCCGGGGGGGTCTCCGTACCAGGTCTAAGTACACCTTTGTGCTCATCTCCTCATCCTTCTCGTTCTAGAAGGGAAAAGTTTAAAAGGTAGAGGTTATATAAGTGGAGATAAATGAGGGGGTTCGGCGGTCCAGCTCTCCCTGGAAACTCCCCGCTTTTTCTGAGTCCCACCCGCTCGGGCCCAAGCCCCGCCTCTACCTCCGAAACTTCCTGCGGTCTCTACTGTCAGTCAATTCCCCCGCAAGTCCCGCCCCAGGAGCCCCACCCGCAGCTCCAAAGTCGGACCCTGAATCTCCGCCCGCTGCTGATTGACGCGACCAGCACCAAGCTCCGCCCAGCCGGTGACCCCGCCTCAAGGCCCGCCTCCCAGTCCGCCCATCAGCCCCGGTTCCACTCCAAGGTCCGTCCGCAGGCGGGTTCATCCCCGCACCCGGCCCCACCCCCGGCCTGTCCAGCAGTCACGCCGATGTCCACCCAGGCTCTGCTAGCGACCGGTCCATCTCTCAGCCTCGTCCCGCCCCCGTCGTCCCTCGGTCCGGCCCTGCCGATAGCCACGCCCCCAGCCCGCGGGCGAGCCTGACCTCCACCGCCCGTGCGTCCTCACCAGGCTGATGAGCTGCGCCAGTTGGAGACCAATGCTGACCCCGACGCGGTCTCCGACCTCGCGCGCCGGCCGCACCGAGCTGTCATAGCCCGAGAAAAGTTTCTTGCGGAGCCGGCCTTCTGCCTCCGAGCCGCGGGCGCCTGGAGGAGGGCAGTCAGTGAAGCAGGGTGCCCGGCCATGACCTCTGGCCCCGTCACTGTCCCTCTGAAGCCCAGACTTACCCGGGGCGAACGGCGCCCCCAGCAGCAGCAGCAGCAGCAGCAGCGCTCCTAGGGTCATAGCCCGGCCGCGTCCAGTGAGTTCGCTCAGTGAGCCACCGGGATGGCCAGGGCAGGGGAAGTGACGAGGCGCCCAAGAATGTGCACCTGTTGTTGGGGGGCAGCCGCCAGCCCACCCGCCCCGCCCCTGGGACTTGATCCCGCCCCGAACAACTGCCAGTGCACGCCACCCACGGATAACAGACAACACATCCGTTGTATAAATCTTCTTTATGTGAGAATGCAGGGAGTGGAACATGCCCCCCCCCCCCCCAGCGGAGCCAGGACACGATGGGGCCCGGGCGGGGTCTATGTGGGGGAGGGAAGCATCAACGGCTCTGGCCCTCCCCTTAGGCCTCCCCAGTCTCCCCTGCACAGGTCTGAGGCTGCCCAGAGCCCACCTCCTAGTTCACTAGTGGGTTCCTGATCTTTTCCAGGCCTGCCCCTAGCTCTCCGTGGTTGTTTTTTCAGAAGAATCAGGTCAGGCCCTTGTTAGGTACCTAACACACAGCTGAGGTTATAAAGCTGTCAAATAAAGCAAGTTCTATTCAGGTAGAAGCTCTGGGGTTATATGAGTTCTGGAACCCAAGAGAGGCCCTCACCCTCCTTGTCCTGACTTAGGAGAGAGTGGTGGGACTTATTGCTGAATTGGGGTATCTTCACTGGGATGGTCAAGTCTATATCATGTTTTTTATTATTATTGGGGGTGACACTGGTTAACAAAATTATACAGGTTTCAGGTGCACAATTCTACAACACATCATCTGTACACTGTAAGGTCTATGTCATACTCTTCTTATTCTAGACCCATTTCCCTAAAGACCTCAGCTTTGGGGGGACCTGGGAGGGATTCTTGCTGAGGTAGCTGTGTTCATGTCCCCCAAACCCAGACACAGGTCCAATTAAGTCACGATTTTGACCCCTTCCCCATCCTAGCTCCCCCATAACGAGCCATGGATTCCTTCTAAAACTCCTCAGCCCTTCCTCAGATTTCTTTCCCTGGGCCCCAGCAGAATTAAACTGCATGTAAAAATAAGGTTAGCATTCTCTAGGAGGAAGAGTATGATTTTTAGAAAATTATCTATGTAAAACAAGTAGTTCTTAATTCATCCAGGACTTAATTCTTTTTGAATAATAGCTGGGTCCTCCCCAGAACTCATTCTTAATAGGTATCACTAGAGAAGTTGGGAGGATGGGTCTACTAGAACTTACTCTAGAGCAATAATATGGCTATATAGGCCCCAGTTCCATCCTGGAGGGAAGGGTGGAGAGTCGTGGTCTATATTCTAGAGCTGAGGTTCAGAAGGAAGTATGGCTCCATATGTGTCTAGAACACCATGCTCTAGTATTGGGTATCTCTGGGATAAAAAAAGTTAAACCTGTAGTAATCTGAGACTGGCCCCAATTCAGGCCAAGGCCAAGAGCTGGACAGGGCTCAAATCCAGCCTCTCTCTACTTGGAAGCCCGGGGTCTGTCTGGGTTGAGGAAGCCTGGTGGATCCAGCACAGAGCCTTAGTGCAGAAGTGGCCCTGGCTGAGGTGCCTGGTGTTGCAGAACCTGTTCAGAACAAGGCAGAAGGTGGAGGAGGGAAAGGACACTAACCCTGAGCTCCAGTAGATCTATAAATCTATGGCTCAGAGGCCATGAAAAGGGCTCCAGGAACTGGCTGAGCCTGGGGAGGGGGGTATTGGAGTCCTGTTCTCTGTTTGGAAACCCCCAGTGCCATCTTAGGAAAAGGCTTTGCGGGGGGCGGGGGGGGGGGTATAAGTGTGGAAGGAAAGAAGTGATCAGCCAGGACATTTTCAGACATCCACCTCTAAGGTCCAAGCATCTAAGGGTTTCAGCAGTTCCTAGGCTCCCTCAGGGTAGAGCACCTGGTGGGACCTGGCTGCTCAGGGCATGAGTATGGCAGCTGGGGTGAGAGCAGGTCCAGGAGCAGGGCTGGGAGACAGGCTGTGGCGGTGGCTAGACCGGTGCAAGTGCAGGAGTGTCCAGTCCAGGGTCTATATTTCAGGGGGCAGGGGGACTGGAAGGAGACGTCTCGGGGACACTGTGGAGAGAAGGCTCCCGGTACATGGCCACTGTGAAGGGGAGAGAGAGGAGCAGAAAGGAGAGTTAGGCACAGAGAGACCTAGGCAGAATCAGAGCTCTGAAAGGGCTCCCTTCCCCTATAGTCATCCTCTGAGAACCCCAACCCCATAGGAGAACTCCCCAAACCCCCAAAGGCCAAAGTCTTCCTGGCTTGGTCCTCCTCACACTTGTAGCCCCTGAGATGCGTGTCACTAAATGTCCATGTCAAGGTCAATACCCTTCCACGTGGCCCCCATTTTCTCCAGTCCATACTCACCCTCCAGGAGCTTGGGCACAAAGTGGGCAGCTGCCTTGGTCTTCTTGACTCGATTTCCCTTCATGACTCGACCCTCTTTGTCCAAGCCTAGGTACCAGGCCCGGCCAGAACGGCACTGACGGTAGAGAGCAGAGGCGTACAGGACATAGTAATTCTCAAAGACACACTCCTTAAAGCGACACTCAGCTGTGAAATGTTGCTGAGGAGACAAAGACCCAGGAAGGCACACACAGACAAAGAGACAAAGAGACACATCACTGGACAGAAGGGAGCCCTGGGAAGAACAAGACAAAATATAATCCATACATTTCAGGCTGGGAGGGCCAACTTCTGATCCATGTGGGAACTGGGAGGAAGAAAGGACAAGGAAGAGTCTGGTAGGCCCCTGAGGGTGAGGAACTAGACCAGTGGTTCTCCACCTTCCTAATGCCGCGACCCTTTAATACAGTTCCTCAGGTTGTGGTGACCCCCAATTTCATTGTTACAAATTGAATATAATTAAAGCATAGTGATTAATCACAAAAACAATATGTAATTATATATGTGTTTTCTGATGGTCTTAGGCGACCCCTGTGAAAGGGTCGTTCGACCCCCAAAGGGGTCCCGACCCACAGGTTGAGAACCGCTGAACTAGACTCTCCACTCTATTCCCAGCCTCTGACCACGCCCTATCCTGAATGACTCTGGGGCAGTGAGTGATAATGAAGCCTGGAAGGGGTAGGAAGAGAAATCGGGGCCCTGAAAGGCTAAAGGGGTTGGACAGTCAAGAAGCCTGGGGGGTATCTGGAGGGCAGTAAAGACAGGACACCAGCAAGCGCTGGCGTGGGAGGGAGTCCTGAACCGTAAAATAGCTGTAGCTGAGAAAGGTGTAGCTGGGGAATCTGCAAACCCCGAGCCACTCAGCCTCGTTGTCTCACCGAGCTGTAGAGCAGCCCCTCAGCATTCATGGCCATGTAGTGACCCAGCTTGGCACTCTGGATGGTAACCACACGGAGCCCCACGGGGATCAGATTAAAGTGGGCTGGGGATGGAGAGAGGGGGCATCAGTACCCCAGGCCTTGCATCCCCATCTGAGCCCCCCGCCCCCCATCCTAGCTTCACTTCCTCCCTTGGGAGTCAAAGAGGCCGACTGTAAACAGAAACTCAAGCAGGCATGGGATTGCCCTAGTCTCCTAGCCCCACTAGCCCCTTCCCACCCAGGGGCCGGCTTCCCCTCTCACTGAAAGAGCTGGTGTCCTCTGGGGTTCCCTGGATGCTCCCGTCGGGGTTTGCCTGGAGGTAGAAACCCTGGCGGCAGAACAGTTTGGTGACGATGCCTTTAAGTTGAGGCTCTAGAGAAAGACACATTCATCTTTAAAAATGACATCTCTGTTCCCAAAAACATTCCTACACTTGGTGGGATCAGAGAGGGGAAAGAAGGGAGAGGGGAGGGGAGGAATAGAGTGCTAGGGCCCCGGCTTTCCCACCCTCCAGGAAAGCTCTCTCCCCCCTCGCCTGGGTTCCTGAGGAGGCTGAGGTGTGGGTCCCTCCTGCTGCCTCTAACCACCGGCTTTCAGTGTCATGTATTGAAATGAATTGAAATGGATTAATTCCTACTCCACAGCTCAACCAGAACAGGGGTGGAGGAAGAGAGGAGGAAGGGCACAGGTTCATCAAAAAGCAGAGGGAGACAGGCAGGGCTGCGGAAGTGACATTGTGTTTGCGAATGTGGGGGGCCGCAAGGTGACCACAGGGTAGGGGCGCCCCCTCAAGAGTGGGGGTGGGACTGGGCCTGACGCTGACTCAGCACCTGCTGCTGCTGCTGCTCCCTTGGCACGGGCCTCGCCTTGGCCCAGCGCCGGCCAGTCTGACACTGACCCACTGTCTGTACCTGTCAGTCCGCTGGCTCGGGGGCCAGGGCCTCCCCGAGGCTCAGCCTTTCCCCTTCAGCCAGGTAACCCGCCTGGGGTGGGGGGCGCCCGGGACCAAACCTAGGAAAAGGGGGAGGTGGGGAGGCAGGGTGAGTCACGTGGCGGCCGGGTCCCACTCAAAGGGTGGGCTGCGGACCGTACCACTGCGGCGGGCCGGCGGTGGGGGGGGGGCGCGGGAGGAGGGTGCGAGGGGCTCACCCTATCGGAGCTGGGAGCGGGCGGGAGCAGGGCCAGAGGGACTCCCTGCCTGTGGCACCTGGACGGGACCACGCGCGAACCCGCACAACTCTCCATGCCGGTCGCTTGCTGTCGGCCGACTTCCGCGTACCCCCTCGTAGGTGGTACGACCCCCAGCCTCCGAGCGGGTCTCCCGCGGGCCTGGTGCGGTGTCTGAGTTCCTCGCAGCAGAGGGTCCCCTGAGCTCGTGGGGCCCGGTTTCGGAGTCTCGTGGAGGGTCATGGGGGGAACCCAGCTCCTCTCCTGAAGCTCAGGTCAAGGGGGGAGGGCGCACAGAGGGGCGGCTTGGCGAGGGAGCTGCAAGGACACCCAGGGGAGAGCTGGGGAGATTGGCGCTGAGCCAGGCCAGCTCGGCCAGGAGGAACCGAGCCAAGACGTGGAGGAGCGGGAGGAGCGGGGTGGGGGCGGGGCCGCCGGAGCCGCAGAAACTCTCGGGGTGACCCAAGCGTCCGGAGCCCCCAGGCCCCTCGGCTGTGGATGGAAAGAATCGCGAGAGCCTGCACGTAGGCGAAGCGCTGTGGGGGTGGGGATCGGGGGTGGGGGTGGGGGAAGAGCAGGAGCCACGAGGCTTGGGGCGCCAGACTGAGCCCCTCAAGCCTTCCCCTTGCCCTCAAAAGCAAGGAGACTCGGGGTTACGGGCAACAGAAGAGGGAAACTGAGGCAGGGACTGGCAGAGACTTTGTGGTCCACCCCCTTTCACTTCCCGGGAGCCTCCCTCAGTCGGGCTCCATTCTCCTCATCTCGACCTCCCAGGCAGAGAGACCCCCGTCCCGGACACCCCGCCCCAGCCACTCACCGGGGCCGCGGTCCAGCCGCGCGGGCCGCCCCCCGCACAGTCGCACCTTGGACAGCAGGATGAGGAGCTGCTTCTGGCAAAGGGACTTGGTGCCGCGGGGACACACGCGCCGCTGCGCCGACACCGGCCGGCTGCCCCCGGGCTCGCGGACCTCCCGCTTCTGCCGGATCAGGCTACTGGCCAGCGCCGCCATGGCGCCCCGGGAGGAGACACCCCCAAACCAGCAGGCGCTGGGAGCGCGCTGGGCTCCCCCGGAGAAGCCCGCTCACCACGGCATGCTCTGGACGCTCTTCCCCGACTCACCGCCCCACCCACCGGACCTTAGGGACAAGCCTCAGCACCCCGCACCCCCCCCCCCCCCCAGCGTCGGCTCTCACCCTCGGGCCCCCTTGCTAGCTCCACTGGATCCAGCAGCCTATGTACCTCTCAGGCAACCCACCCTGGACTTTTGCCCCCTCCCCTGCTCTCCAGTAGCTCTGTCCCCACTTACCCTATCCCAAAGTCATAACCCTCAACATTTCCAATACGTGGTTCCAACATCCCCAGGCATCTTTTCACCCTATTTCAGGGCCCCTGAACTCCTGCCAAATCCACTTTTATAATCTCAAGGATGTGGATCCTTAGCTTTGGGAATATTAGCTCACCCCACCCCTGCTGGGGCCCTGCCAGTGTCAGGGCAGAACCCAACTTTGCCACCCTCGAAGTGAAGAGGATCTCCCACGTTTCCCCGCTGAAATCCCCCCAAACTATGTCTGGGAATATCCAGGCTGTTCCTGTTCAGTGAGAACGGGTTATCAGACTCCGTCTCTAGACAATACCTTTTTTTTCTCTCACCAAGTCACCCGCATTTCTAGTGGCTCAGGGTTCAAATTGCTGAGCCCATGTTACCCTCCACTATTTTTGAAGTCACCTCCAAATCCACCCTTCCTGGTGGATACACCAGGTAGGTGTCTGGGGGCCCTCTGTCAACCTGGAAATAAGGAGCATCCGTTTTGGTGGTGGTTTTTTTTTTTCCTCTGGCCGCCCCTTAATTTCCTCAGGAACAGCTGGTGCTGTTTAGATCCCACCCCCTCCAATCCAACCAGCCCCGCAAAAGAGTGCGCTCATGTCACCAGTTCCCAAATGTGAACAGGCCCCCTACAAGTCTGAGCGCATCACTGCTACAGGGCTTCCTCCTCCTCCCTGGGACTACCTATAGCAACCCCCTTTTCCCCGACGCCCCTCCACCTGTCCTGTCTTGTAGATCCCGCGACGGGTGGTGCTGGCCCGGGTTCCAGGCTCCTCCCTCCCTGTCCCCCGCAAACGGAGCTTCCCTCCACGCCTGGCTAGGCGTCCTGGGCCCCCGGAAGAGTGAAGGTGTCCCCGCAGAGCGCCCTGGTCCGGCAAAATCAGAGCACGGCCTGGCGGCTGGACCAAGTGCAGCGGCGGTAGAGGCGGCAGCAGTAGCAGCAGTAGCAGCAGCGACAGTGGGAAGCTGAGGCGGCCGCGGCAATCGCAACCGCAGCTCGCGCTTCCCCAAGAGCCAGCCTGAGGGCGGGGCAGGGGGCGGAGACGCCAGGAAAAGGGGGTTAAGTTGGGCGGTAAGAACCCTGGGGTTCCTTAGAGGCAGGGAGTGGGGATGGACTTAGAGGCAGGGGGAGCTGAGGCAGGGCCGCATATCTGGGTGTTCAGAGGAGGAGGAACCAAGGTGACTCCATTGAATGGAACCCTGGATGAGGGGAGGGAGATGGGGCTTAAGATCAATGGAAGGGTGAGCACCCAGAGTGAAGGGACCCTACGGCCCAGGATGGGAGGACAGAACTGACTGAGGAAAGTGGAGGTAATAACTGAAGAGACTGGGGGGAGGGAGTCGAGATCTAGCTTGGGGCGAAATCCGGCCTCCTTAATATGATTGCTTTTGTGTGAGACGAATTAGTCTGTCTCTGATGTCCATACCGCTCTCCTTTCCACTTATCCTCCCCCTCCCGCCTATAGACTCCGAAGAGACCGTAAGAATTGGGGGAAGATAGTTGCTAGAGGCTATACTAGGGCAAGAGGGCTGCTGGCCACAGGTTTGGAGAGCAGAGAAGCCAGACGGGAAAGACCTGTACCCGGGATGAAGCGCGAGGCGAGTGGAATGATGGGGAGGAACCGTAAGGATGCCTTCTTGAACGGAATTTTGGATCCAGGATGCTCAGTGTCTCCCAAGTGAGGGACTTTCCATGCTGGTAGAAGTCCTTAATGGGCCCCGCCTCCCACACCAGCTAAGCCGCCCCCCTTGCGCGCAGTCTTGGCCTCCTCCACCGTGGCGCACAGGGCCCGGGCAGGGTCCCCACGAAGCCGGGCCAACGCCATAAGCAGCGCAGCCGCTCTGTCCCCTGCCCAGAGCTTTCGGCCGCTCAGAAAATAGTGGGGCAGAGTCCCGGCCTCGAGCGCACGGCTCAGCTCATCCAGCAGCCCCAGGCAGCAGGCGCCGGCATTCTCCGGCCGCGCCAGATAGAGCGCAGGCAGCCGCTCGCAAGCCCAGTAGAGCAACGTCCGCAGAAGGTAGGGCGCCGCGGCCCGGGTCCCGGCCACCAGCGGGCGCAACAGCGCCTGGGCCGCCGCGTGCGCTTGCAGCAGCGGGGCGGGTATGAGCGCCTTGAGCGCCAGCTCCTGGCGGGCGAAGCACAGCTGCCAGCCGGAAGCGCCCGGCCGCTCTGTGTCCCCGCCCGGCACCAGGTAGAAGGACGACGACTCGGAGGCCAGCGGGCCGGCCCACGAGTGGCTCCGAGCCCCCTCGGGCCAGCCATTCACGGACACCACGGGGATCAGGTCGAAAAGCAGGAGACGGCGTGGGGGCCCTGGAGTAGCCAGGAGGATGGTGGTGAATCCCGCGTGGCGGGCTGCGTGGACCAAGAGCGGGGCACCGGGGACCGGGATCAGGGACTCGGCGACCTCAGCCAGCACAGCAAAGAACCACGCAGCCACCTTGGCCGGGCACAATGTGGGCCACGCCTCCGGAGCCTCGGACAGCGGCGGTGCAGGACTCTCCGTGGTTGCTTTGGTGACGTCACCACCCAGTTCTTTCGGGGATGCGGGAAAGCCGAGGTCGGTTACATCTGGCCGAGGCGACTCGGGCCCCGAACGGTTACTAGGTGATTTTTCCAAAGACACGTGCGGGTCCAGCTCGGTGACGTCACCGGGCGGTTGGTCCACGGAGCTTTGCTGATCCTGGGGACTTTGTTCGCTTTCGGTGCGGGGGACCGAGTCGCGTCCTCCCGGGACTGGGGGTCCCAGGCAGTCCTGCCATGCCTTTCGCACCGAGGTTCCCTGCATCAATTCCGGGAGGCAGAGCCGGGCATAACAGGATTCCATGTCCAGTTGCAACTCCTGCCCGATGCCATCGAGAGAAAACACGGGCACCAGCAGGGTGAAGCCGGCGTCGTAGTGAGGCCCCCGGGCATAGGGGCCTAGGGGTGAAGGCCCCAGATCCACGGAGCCCTCGCGAATCCCGCCACGAAGCAGCAAGAGCTCTGCTTGGGGCGGAAAACGGGGGTCTCGGCGGTGAACCAGACCTACGGGAAGAGAAGGGATTGTGATACGCAACTCCGGGGCGGGGCTGAGCTGCGCGTTTCTGAAGCCGGGGAGGGTTACTCACCGAGTAAAGAAAAAACAAAGTCCTTGGCCCGGAGGAGGTCTGGGCCCGTCTTGGGCCCGTCTCTCCAGCTCTCCTGCACTCCGAGCTCCTGGATGAGCTGGGTCAGTTCCTGGAGCTGCGCTCCGGAGCAGAAGTCGATGTCCGTGAGCGGGCGGGCTGGGGCCGGGGGCGGCGGGCCCCACCAGGGGGCACTCCCCCAGACCGCGGAAGCCATGCGGCTCTAGGGTTTGGGGCCGGGGAACGACACAGACGAGAGGAAGCCTAGACCGGCCAAAAGGCACCTCCGCCCTTCTCTCTTTCCGAGGCCGACAGAGTGCCTCAGGCAGGTGCGCCAACGGGTCTGCAGATAAAGGGCTGTGAGTTCCGTCTTGAAAACGAACAAATAAAGACCTCCTCTGTCCTTGCCCTTTCTCCTATTCTGGTCCCCGCCCCATGGGCCGGTTCACCGGACTCACCCCTCCTTCGGCACGTGATAGCCCTCCGGCGTCCCTGTCTACCTCCCCGGACCTCTTTTTCGGAAAAGGCTTAAGGTCTGCGGCTTCCCTAAGGGGCAACTGCAAGAGTTGGGAAGAAAATGGCTAAAGCAATCCAACAGGTAGCTTCTTCCTGCGGCCCGCAGGGCCACGCCCCGAATTCCAGCCTCGCCCCTTTCTAGGAGGCGTCCAGGTGGCTCGGGCCGGCCCCGCCTCTGTCAACACTCCCTTCGCTCTTTTCAGATCTCGCGCTGTCCGGGGAGTTGCAGTTTGTTCCGTTACCAGAGCGATGGGGCTACGCCCCCACATCCTTTACTGTTCCTCTGAAGTGCCTGGTTGGAGTTGGAGTTTCTATGGAGATAAACTGTTCTGTTTCTTTCCAAGCCCAGGTCAGCCCCACACAAACATTCCTTGGAGTTGGAGCAGAAGGGTGATAGGATATATCTAAATAGCAAACAATAATGGTGGACACACCTCAGGGATTGGGGAGAAACAGGGGCCCCTCTATCCCATGTGAGTAGCGGAGCCTTGGTCATGTAGGTCTAGAAGGGTTCTTCCATGTACTTATAACTGCATCTTGGAGATGAGACTGCGTCCGAGAGAGGCTGCACAAGACCTGCCCAAGGTCAGAGCTGAGCCAGAGAGGTGTTAGAAAGGAACTCCCCTTGGAACCGGTGGTAGTCGTGTGAGGCAAGAACACACAGGTGGTGACCCAGGAGTGGACATCTGACTCGGGGAGGGGACATATTAATGATACCCACCTCAGTTACACATGTGTGGTGACGGGAAAAACACTTTGGAATCTCATACCTGGTGTGTACACAGATGAGTTATCAGAACTGAAAATCAAATCCAGAGGAAACTCCCAGTTGGGTGGGGGGGGGGGGGCAGAGCAAAGGGAAATTATGGGGAAGAAAATTGTTTTCAGTTACCAATGCTTTCAGGGACGAAGCTTAAGTCCAGGATGACAAGGGAGCCAGAATAACGGGACAAAAGTTAGGACACCAGGGACAGGCTTACAGATCAGACCTATGCATTGCTGGACCAGGACTTCTTACATACCCTTTCCCCTGGGGACTATCTCTGGAGTGATAGCCCATGGGCAAGAGAATTAAACAGAATCACCTAGAAAAATTAGAGGCCTGTAAAGGAAGGGACTCTCAGAATCCAGGGCTCAATTTGGGAAGCCCAGGTCTCAGGCGTTCCTAGTCACTGACAAAGAGAGCTCTTCTCCCTTAGCAACTCAGAGCCCCAAACACTGCCCAGAACTGGAGAGGCAGGTTTCCATACATCCGGTTGTGACCCAAGAGACCAGATCAGGAAAACTGAAGACTGGGCTCTCTCTCACATTCTGGGGTAATCAGGCATCTGGCATCCCTACATCTTACCTCCTCCCCAGAGGTGGCCTCTGAGCCACCCTAAAAAGAATTAAGTTCTCTGGGCTCTGTGGGAGTTTTGAAGAAGCTGGGGATGGATGACAGGGTAAGGAAAGTGACTCTAAACTCTAAAGCATTACTGCCTAGTAGGATTTTCTGTAATGATGAAAATGTCCTAAATCTGTCCTGTCCAATGTAGTAGCCACTAGCCACCCATGTCTATTGAGCACTTGAAATGTAAATAATGAAACAGAAAAACAATTTTAAATTTTAATTAATTTACATTCTAAAAGCCATGGATAGCTAATGGCTAGTGTGTTGGAAAATGCAGCTCCAGGGCCTTGGGGATCATGGGTTTAGCTCTGCAGCTTTGGAGGAGAAGGGGCAAGTATAGTTCCAGCTCCCATCAGACCCTGAGAGTGGCCAGTGTCGGCAGTGGGGCTGGGGTGGATGTCCTCAATCAATCACAGAACATTTCTCTCGCCTCTTTATTCCTAATGCACCTTGGTCCCCTCTTTTTCCGAGGGCCTCATTACACACTGATATCCCCACTCAGTGTTCTCCGCTGAGTTGCTGGGTGCCTCTTGGCGAAGGCGCCTGGAAGATAGAGCTTCACACTTGTCTCTGCCCATTCCGAACTGCCTCTGGCGGGCATCAAAGACCACATGCCCTACCCGGCTGCCTGACCCAGCGCAGTGAGTCTTCAAGTTGGTTTTGGGAGGCATAGCCATCTGGTGATAGTTCTGGCTAGCTGGAGGAGCTGTATTCACAGGACGGTACACCCATTCTTGGCCACCTACTCGATGGGAGGATGGTTGTAACTCAATCAATACAGGTATCTCTGAGAAGGTTTGCAGGTCACTGTAGATCACCTGGGCCTTGGAAGGGCAGGAGTGCTGACCGAGTGGGTCAGGAGTCCGTGGGAGATGCTGCTCTGCATTCTTCCGAGGAGTCTCTTCATATACAAATGACTTTGTCGAGGGCAGCGAGGACTTTGGAGTCTGAGAGGGACCCAAGACTTGGACAGAGTTAGTACCTAGAGCAAGGTCTGGGTTCTTGTGGAAGTCAGGATTTGGGATAAGGCATGAGTCCTTGTGGAGGCTTGATTCCTTGGTAAGGCCGTGAGTCATGGGGAGGCCAGAGTCTTGGGTAAGGCGTGGGCCCTTCTGTGGGCCAGGATCTTGATTAATTCCTGCGTTCTTGTGGAAGTTAGGGTTTGGAATATGTTCTGGGCTCCTGTGAATTCCAACATCTTGGGCAAAGCCACATTTCTTTTTTGCTTCATTGGCTTGGATAAGGCCTGGATTCATATAGGGGTCAGAATCTTTAGTCAGGCCTAGATTTCTGTAGTCTCCTGAGTCTTTGGTGAGGCCTGAGCCCTTATGGAAGCCACAGGTTTGGGCAAGGCCCGGGCTTTTGTAGTGGCCAGATTCCTGGCCTGAGCTCTTGTTTACTTCCGAGTGTTTGGCAAGGCATGGGCTCTTCTGTGGGCCAGAATCTTGGGTAAGGCCTAGACTTCTGGAGACTCCCCAATCTTGGGCATTACCTGTACTCTTGTAACCTCCAGAATCTTGAGAAAGGCCTGGGCTGTGATGGAGGCCAGTTGTTTGGGAGTGATCTTGACTTTTGCAGAGTACAGTCTCTTGCACAAAGCCTGAGCTCCTCTGAATGTCAGAATTTTGGAGAAATGTTAGGTTCTTATGGAGGCCAGAGGGTTGGGTGAGACATGGGCTCCTAAGAATACCTACATTTTGAGGCGGACCTAGGCGCTTTTCAGGGACAGACTCTTGGGTAATTAGATTCTTGCGAAGGCCAGAGTCTTGGGCAGGCCCTGAACTCTTGCAGAGATGAGGATGTTGGGTAAGGCCTGGCAGCTTTTTTAGGCCTGGATCTTGATCGAGGCCTGGGTTCTTGGAAACTCTAAAGTCTTTTGAAGGGCCTGGGGTTCTTAGGAGGCCAGAGTCTTGGGTGAGGCCTAGTCTCTCATGAAGTTCAGAAGATTGGGGTTGGATTGGGGGTTGGAAAATGGTGGAGAACTGGGAAGGGATGGGAAACTGGGAAGAGGGTATCGAGATTGGAGGTAAGGTGGGGGTTTGTGTTGAGGTGGAAGGCTTCACCTGGTGGTTGGTAGATTGTTGAAGAACAAAGGATCTGGGAGAAACAAGAGGGAGAGAAAGAGTGCATGGTGGAGGAGCAGTGTACATTGAATTCTGGACACTGGTGGGAGAATGAAAGCAAGGTTGAGAAGGTGAATCATCCTTGGAGTAGACCAGGAATTTGGGATAGACTGGAGGCTGGGAGTCTGTTTCTTTCCCCTCAGAATTGCAAGGATGGAAGCTGCTGTAAGGGAAGGTCTTAGGCTGTAAGAACTTGTCTTTGGCATCATTTGAGTTATTCCATCCCATATTCTCCAACTCCAGGTAACCTACTGTGGATCCTGTGGAGGTGTTGGCAGTATCCCCACTAAGTTGCTTCGATGTTTGCTCGACTTTACAAGAGTTTATCAGGCCCTCTCTGTCTTGGGGCCTGGAGAGGCTACCCAAGTCCTTTCTGGAATACCCAGTGTTCTGGGTGGGGCACCCATAGAATAAGTTCTTCTTTACCATGGGGGTAGCATAGATCACATGGCCAGTGGAGAGGTCTTGATTGAAGACAGTCAGGGTAGAGGGAATAGGAGTTAGGCTGTGGGTAAGGGTGGAGGTAGGGGTAGGAGTAGGAACTGGAGTGGTAGTTGGGGCCATGACCAGTGCTGGGGCAAGGATTGAAGCAAATTTTGGAACAGGGGCTGGGGCAGGAGTAGTAGCAAGGGCAGAAGTTAGAGGAGGGTCTGGGGCAGAGGGTGGGGGAGGGACCAACGTGTGGGCATGGGTATAGGTTAGATGAGCAGGGTTGCTGGTTGGGGTATGGACTGTTAGATGCTCAAGTATGTAGTCCATGGAGTGGCCTAAGGCATGCGAGGAAACCTTGGCTGGGGCCTGGGCCAGGGTGTGGGCTGAGGTATGCTCAGGGCCATGGGCCTGGGTGCCAGTGTGCTCAGGGGTGCAGACTATGGAGTGGACCTGGGCCTGGGTGGGGGTGTGCTCAGAGGGGTGGACTGGGGGGCGGGTCTGGGCCTGGGTAGGGGTGTGCTTAGGCGTGCAGACTATGGAGTGGATCTGGGCCTGGGTAGGGCGGTGTTCAGAGGGGTGGACTGGGGGGCAGATCTGGGCCTGGGTGGGGGTGTGCTCAGAGGGGTGAACTCGGGGGCAGATCTGGGCCTGGGTGGGGGTGTGCTCAGAGGGGTGCACTGGGGGGCAGATCTGGGCCTGGGTGGGGGTGTGCTCAGGGGGTCGGGGGCAGGTCTGGGCCTGGGTGGGGGTGTGCTCAGGGGGTTGGGCTGGGGGGCAGATCTGGGCCTGGGTGGAGGTGTGCTCAGGGGGTTGGGGTTGGGGGCGGACCTGGGCCTGGGTGGGGGTGTGCTCAGGGGGTCGGGGTTGGGGGCAGATCTGGGCCTGGGTGGGGGTGTGCTCAGGGGGTTGGGCTGGGGGGCGGATCTGGGCCTGGGTGGGGGTGTGCTCAGGGGGTCGGGGGCAGGTCTGGGCCTGGGTGGGGGTGTGCTCAGGGGTTTGGGGTTGGGGGCGGACCTGGGCCTGGGTGGGGGTGTGCTCAGGGGGTTGGGCTGGGGGGCAGATCTGGGCCTGGGTGGGGGTGTGCTCAGGGGTTCGGGGTTGTGGGCAGATCTGGGCCTTGGTGGGGATGTGCTCAAAGGGGTGGAGTGGGGGGTGGATATGGGCCTGGGTAGGGGTGTGCTCAGGGGGTCGGGGTGGGGGGTGGGTCCGTGTCTGGGCTGGGGCATAATCTGGGGTCTTAGTCTTATTCCCTTGGGGCAAGCAGAGTGGAACTGGATCCAACTTGCTCATCTTGAGAAACTGGGAAGCTGTCTCTTGCCTGCAGAGATAGGTGCCTGGGGCCTTTGAGGCTATGAGTTGAGGGGCCTCCCTAGCTCCCTTCATCCCCTCCTTCCACAGTCCCCTTAGAGTCTCTACGGGAGCCCTGGCGTGTCCATACTGAGGCTTCATCCAGTAGCACCTAGATTCCTTCTCATCATTCGTATCTGGTATGCAGGAGTCAAGCTGGTTAGGGCTCCTGAGCAGGAGGCTTGGACAACGATGGAAGCGGGAAAAGGCTCTTGAGCATAGGTTCTTGGGGTCCACAGAGGAGCGCATAGCCACGGGATGGTTGCCTAGAGAGTTGGGTTGCTTGTCTGCAGGGAAAGGTGGGGTAAGACGAAGCCTGAGGTCCTGAATGGCTGAACATGGGGACAGGGACAGAAGAAAGGGGATAGGGCCAAATCCCCTCGAGCCCATGCTGGGGACCACTCACTCACCTTTGGGGAAAAAATGATGGAAAAGAATCCGCAAGGAGCTCTTCAGATGCCTCCAGAGCTGAGGAAGCAGGGGAAGGGAGAGCCCAGAAGTAAGGTGAGCCTTGAAGTCCAACCCTAGCCAGGCCACATCCCAGCAGCCCTCTCACCTCACCCCCTCCCACCTCAGACCCTAGGGCTTCCCCACCCTGGTGCCCAGGCCCCGCCCTGACCAGAGTCACCACATTGATCCCCACGTTGAGCAAGATGAAGCTGCCCAGAATCAGAAGAATCGAGTCTCCTAGGTCCTGGCATCTCCTGGAGCTGGTGCCAGAGCACACTGGGGCTGCGTGGTGGGCTTGCTCACCCATGACCGGGGGTCCCAGGACTACCTGGGCCCCCTGGCCCCCACATACTCACTAGGAGCCAAACTCTTCTGGTGGGGGATGGGGAGAACTGGGTCATAATGGAACAGGAGGTCACAATGAGGAAGGCGGAGGAAAAGGAAGGCCAAGTGTCATTCCCTGGTAACTGGGCTTGCGTAACCTGAGCCTGGAGAGTCAAATAGGGCCCAGAAGCCAACACCCCCCCCCCCCCCATCTCACCCTCATTTTTCCCCCTCATTGCCTGCTGACTCACTCATTCGAACACTCACGCAGCAGCCCATCCCCTTCTGAGACTATGAAGACCATGGCCTCAGAGCCCTGGGGAAAGCCAGGCTGAAATCCAGAGCCTTGCCTTCTTCCTGCCCTTTGCGAGGCTGCAGGCCTGGATCTACCCCGACGTGGAACCACCACGTCTGGAATCTAACCTCAGCTTCTTACGTGGGGCGGAGCCTCTGAGTCCCCTCTGGGGACCGAAAGAGCCTCCACAGAGCAGGTGCCCGGAGACCAATGGTCTGGAGCAGGGGTCCTCAAACTACGGCCCGCGGGCCACATGCGGCCCCCGAAAACATTTATCCGCCCGCCGGGTGTTTTTGCCGCCACTGCCTGTTGCTTAGCAGCCGACTAGTTTTTTTTTAAACTATAGTCCGGCCCTCCAACGGTCTGAGGGACAGTGAACTGGCCTCCCGTTTAAAAAGTTTGAGGACCCCTGTTCTGGTATCTGCAGCGGCAAGATCTGCTGAGAGCCCTGGCGCAGGACCAGGAGGGCCCCTGCCCGACGGGGAGCCTCATGCCAAGCACACCGCTGCTCATTTCCGGGAGCTAAGGGCGGGGATCCAGGCTGGCAGAAGTGGCGCGTCTCAGCCACAGACCACACAGGGTTTCCTGGACTCTGTTGCTCTTTATTCCTCTTTCAGGGCCTGCCCCACCGCCCCACCGGTCAGTTCAGTTTCCCAGCCCGGCTCCTGTGCAGCGAGGGCCTGGAGGCGGAGGTGGAAGGTGGCGGCAGGGAGCTGGCCCTCGCTCTGTTCTCCTGCACCTGCCGCTTCAGCTCCAGGCTGTCGTACACCTGGTGATTGGCATTGCCCCCTGGGCTCCGGCTGAGTGGCATGAAGGTGATTGCGGGCGGCTCAGGAGTCTGGGCTTCAGGCAGGGCCTGGCTGGGAGCCAGGGTCCGTTGGTATGAGACCTCGCCCAACACAGTGAGGGAGGCAGATGTCGTCAGGGGGTGCTGAGTGGGGAGGGCCTCAGCCCATTCAGCTGCCCGGCGCCGTACCTCATGGGGGTCCCGGGAGGTGTAGCTCAAGTGTCCTGTGGACGGGTAGGGGCTGTGGCTGTAAGCATGGCCGGGGAGGCTCCGGCGTTGGGCCTGTGGGGAGCAGTACTCCCGGGCCTCGGGCCGGCAGCTCCGGGCCATCAGGGCGGATGGAGGCTCGGAGGCCTCCAGGCCACGCCGCCGCTGATCCCAGCAGTCATACGGGAGCTGGCCCCTTGATTGGTAAGGGCTGTGCCCCCCATGGGCCCAGGAGGGGTTGGGAGGCAGCCGGTGGGGAGGTGGAGGGGGCAAGGGCCACTGCTCAGCCTCCATGTTGCCCCAGGCGCGGGACTGGGAGCGGTGGAGCCCATAGCACTGCAGCCTCAGCTCCGACTTGGCCTCCACGCGCTTGGGCATGCGGCGCAGCTCAGGGGCCTGGTAGATGGAGGGTGGTGGCAAGCTGGCCAGGATCCCGCCCTGGCGGCCCCACAGCCTCATGTTGGAGGGCAGCCCCATCCGATGGCGCGGCCCGCCCCAGCCCCACGGCGGGGACTTGGGATAGGGGAAGGACAGGTTGTTGTCCTCCTCCAGAAAGGAGTCCGGGTCCTCCTGATCAAAGATGGGTTTTGGCCTCAGCTGTGACCTCCTGTGTCTGTGAGGTGGGCTGTGGAAGAGCATGCAGTTTGGGGGGAATTGTCTGTGGTTCTTCCGTCTCTGCTGGTAGCCGTAGTGGGGGCGGCGGTGGTGGTGGCGGCGCGGGCGGCGGCTGCGCTTGCGGGGATGGTGATGGGAGGAATCCGAGAAGCAGGAGGGCCGGGTCACCTGCACTTCGACAGGGTCCAGGGCGCAGTGGATGTGGATGTCTTGGGCCTTGGCTGGGGCGTCTTTGGGGGGACTTTTACAAGCCTGCAAGATTGCATCTGGGGAACGCAAGAGTCCGTGAGGGCAGGGCAGTGGTCGGCTGGGAACATGGGGGCTTGTCTTTCTTGGGCTGTGGTGGTAGCAGGGGTGTGGGGGTGTCCCCTCCCTCGCTAGCTGCCTTACTTACTTTTCTGAAGGATCCAATTGATCGTCTTGTCTATGACATTCTGGAGCCCACGCCACATCTGGGGGTGAGGTGGGGTGGGAGTGAAGACCAAGCTTTCCACCAGCAACCTCCCCCCTCCCCGCCAAGACGGCTCTTGCAGATGGGGTTACAGGCTGAAGCTGGCTCCCACCCTCCGCCCTCTGCGCTCCCAGGGAGGGCCCGCAGCCAGCACTGACCACAGTTGTCAGGTTGATCCCAATGTTGACAAGAATGATGAGGCCCAGCAGCAGGAGGACGAAGTCCTCCGCATCCTGGGGATTTGCTTGGTCTTGATTGCAGTTCCCCAGGGTGTTATGCCAAAGCTTGTTTTCCATGGTGGGGGGGGGGGTCCGAGGGCCACCAGGGCCGCACCCCCCCACCGGCCCCGACCCACACTGCACTCATGCCAGGACCGGACCTGGGGACCCTGGCCAGCTGGTGAGGGAGCCGGGTCATAATGAGGCACATGGCAGGAGTCACAATGCAGAGGCGGCAGCCCCTGTATCCACTCCGCTGGCCCTTGGCTCAGTCCCCAGATTTCCCAGAGTTCCGTCTGTCCTTTGTCCCCAGGGGAGCTTGCTTAACTCAACACCTGATACCTGATTTGGCAATATGGTAGCTACAGTAGTGAGACAGTCTTCCTAGGGATTGAAGCGTGCATAAAGGTTTCCTCTACTAGTATTTCATTGCTCTAAGATACGATGGCAGTTTATGTAGCCTGTTGGTATTTCCCACCCACACCTACTTGGGGCTAGCTAGCGTCTAGGGCAGCGGTTCTCAACCTTTGGGGGTCGAACGACCCTTTCACAGGGGTCGCCTAAGACCATCGGAAAACACATATATAATTACATATTGTTTTTGTGATTAATCACTATGCTTTATGTTCAATTTGTAACAATGAAAATACATTCTGCATATCAGATATTTACATTACAATTCATAACAGTAGCAACATTACAGTTATGAAATAGCAACGAAAATAATTTTATGGTTGGGGTCACCACAACATGAGGAACTGTATTAAAGGGTTGTGGCATTAGGAAGGTTGAAAACCACTGATCTAGGGTGACTAGATGGATGGGTGACAGCAAGAGTCCCCTCTGTAGTCACCTCACTGTACATTCGTCCTGACCATTTCCCTGTCATACCTCTGGCCCTACCCTAACCATCCTTTCTGGCCAGGGATTTCAGCCCTCGGTGTTGGTGGTCACTGAGCCTATAAGCCCCTTTGCTTCAGAGCAAGACTTGTTTCTACCTTGCTGGGGTTGCTGCCTCTGTCAGGGACCCCCTCCAACCATGGACCTGGTCCTTAACCAATTGCCCTCCCACTGAGCCACCCCTTCAAGTTGAAAAACTGTTAGCTACCACCTTAAGAAAACCACATTATCCCTGGCTGGTTTGGCTCAGTGGATGGAGCGTCCGCCTGTGGACTGAAGGGTCCCGGGTTCAATTCTGGCCCGGGGCGGGGCGGGGGGGGGCGCGCATGGCTGGGTTGTGGGCTCGATCCCCAGTGGGGGGTGTGCAGGAGGCAGCCAATCGATGATTCTCTCTCATCATTGATGTTTCTATCCATCTCCCCCTCTCTTTTCCTCTCTGAAATCAATAAAAAAAATTTTTTAAAAAAATAAAACCACATTAAACTCACAAAGCACAAAATAGATGTAATTGTTGATATGACAAAGTTTTTTATTTAAACCAGGTTCATCACTGGTGTCTGTGAAAGGGGTGCCCTGGGAACCAGAAGTCATTTGTCTGCACAATAAACTACTCAGCAGAAATAGAGGAACAGCCAGTAGGCATTTTCCATCAAGGCTCCAAACACAGAGTAGGTGCTTGGTACACGCCCCCTGAATGCAGTCAGCTGCAAAGGATCGGGGGCATTAACCGAATGAAAATGAACAGAGAAGCAGGGCGCCTCACGGAAGGCCTGTCTGCTCACATCCCGGAGCCCATCTGGAATGAAGGTGAGGTCCGGCCGCTTCAGCGTGGTGCGCTCACACGGCTCCTCGTTCCCAAGTTGTGTGTGTGCACATGTGTGTGTATGTGAGTGTGAATGTGTGTGGTCCCAGCTGCTCTCAATGGAAGGAATACTCTGGAGAGTTCGCATGGCAAACTCAGGCAGGTGGGAGACTACGATGGGCGAAGCTGACTCTGGCAATGAGACTCTACCTGCAGAAGCAGGGGGTGAAGCATCTGAGGCCGTGAAGTTGATCCTTGATGTCTGTGTGACCGGCCCCCACCACCAAACCACCACAAACCAGCTTCTCTCTCTCTCTCTCTCTCTCTCTCTTTCTCTCTCTCATTTTTTTTAAAAATTCTTTTCCAATCACCTCTCTGTCAGGGGATGCACTTGCCTCTCTGAGCTTCTGTCTCCTCACTTGTGACATGACCATAGGAATCAGAAGAGGGCGGTCACAGCCCTGAGAGTGTCCCCAGTTTCTCATCCTCTGCTCTAAGCCTGCTTAAGGATACAGGAACTTAAGGTTCTGACTGGGGAACGGTGAGGGCTGGCTGCCTTCCCTCCCCAAAGAAACAAGGGTTGAGCCCTGACCGGTTTTGCTCAGTGGTTAGAGCATCAACCCGTGAAGGGTTGCAGGTTCAAGTCCTGGTCAAGAGCATGTACCTCCGCTGCAGGATCCCCAACCCCAGTAGAGGCCCATGTGGGAGGCAGCCAATCAATCTCTCTCTCTCTCTCTCTCTCTCTCTCTCTCTTCTCCCTCCCTTCCACTCTCTCTGGAAATCAATGGGAAAAATATCCTGAGGTGAGGATTAAAAAGAAATAAATAATTTTTTAAAGAGGAAGAAAAAAGGTTTAAAGATTTAAAAAAGAAGAAGGAAGAAACGAGGGCTGAGAGGGAACCACACCTCACCCACAGCTGCAGCCTAAACCGGGGCTCTGGCAGGAACCAGACCACTGAGGGCCCAGACCATGCGGGCGGAGGTCTCCCTTCCAGTGTGGGGCTGCCTGGGCATCTGGGGTAGGATTGGCGGGGGCCCTTTCTGGGCACTAAAGAGAACTGGGCGGAGGCAGATGGGAACCGTAGAACCCAGAAGGGCCTGGGAGAGGTCTGAGGACAGGGTTGATAGATTGAGGCCAAGAGGTGGATGAGGGTCCTCAGGGCTCTCCAGGCCCTGTTCCCAAGGAGATCGTTTCCTTAGCAACCAGGGCTTCTAGGAGCTGTGTGGGCCCTAGCACTGCTCCCCCTCTCCCGCCAACCCCGCGCCCCCCCCACCCCCCGGGGCTCCAAACCACCACACACCAGCTTCTCTCTGTTTTTTATTCTTCTCCAGTCACCTCTCTGTCAGTGGACGGTATACCCAGTCCTTGTCCTTGTTCGCCCCTTCGGCAGCGTTGGCTCTGGTGGCCATGGGGTAACAGTGGGCCAGAGACTCCACCTCCTGGGTCAGCTCCCGAAGCCGCCGCCTCACGTCGAGGGCATCATACACTAGGTGGCGTGAGGGGTGCCTCTGGGGGATATCTGGGACAGCTGCTGGACCCTTGGGTGCTGGGTGGTCAGGCGAGCACGGCTCATGCCCCCCCTCAGCTCCCGCCCGCCCTCCGTTCTTGTGGCACTGTGGGCTGGGGGGCGGGGGATTCACAGGGTACACATAGGCCTCTAAGCTCATCTCCGACCGCATCTCTCTTTTGAGGGGTCTTCTCTCTACGGTCTCCTGGAAGCGAATGCCCTGGGTGGGCAGCCCCGCAGTGTCCTGGGCCCAGGGATCCCAGAACCCCTGGGCGGATTGGAAGCCGTCCCAGTCCGAGGGGTGATCCCAGTTGTAGGAGCAGATCGCCCCGTGCCGATGAGGGTGCTTCTCCTCGTCGTCGGTGTCCGGGGCCCAGGCTACTGGGTGGTGGGCACGGCGTGCTGAGCAGCCTCGATGGCGCTGGCGGCGAGTGGGTCGGGGGGTCACGGTCATTTTCACAGGATCCATGGTGCATCGAAGGTGGACTGCAGGGGGGCTCGGCTTTGAGTGCTGGGTCTTCTTTCTAGGTGAGGATGACTTAGACGCTTCTGTGGATAGGGAGAGGGGAGAGGCTGCGGGGGACACGGGCGCCTACGGGGCAGAGAGCAGGGTTCGGGGAGAGAAGCTGCACAGCTATGGCATGTGAGAGGGGAGACTGGGAGGAGAAGGGGCCAGCTGAGGGTCAAGGGCAAGAACATTGGGTATCTGCCCCCCTCTGCCCTAACCCCCAGGGCTCAGCTTACCTTTCTCAGAAACAATTCTGCAGAACATTTCGTGTAAGAAGAAACGGAGTCTGCGCCAAAGCTGGGGGAAAGGCACGGTGACCCCACGTAGGCCCTGGCCACCAGGCCTGCCCCCCGCCAGCCTACCGGCACCCTTCCACCCAGCCCTGCCCTCACCAGCGTCACCATGTTGATGCCAATGTTCATGCAGATGATGAGGCCCAGCAGCAACAGGATCGAGTTGCCCAGGTCCTGGCAGCTGTTGGTGTTGGGGCTGTGATATGAGGTGCACCTGGGCCATGGCTGCTCAGCCACAGCCATGGGGGTCCCTAGGACCACCGGGGCCCCTAGACCCCCAACCCACTGTGCCACAGTCCCCAGCAGCCCGCCGGCCTGACCCAGAGGCCCCTGGGGGTAGGCGGGTCACAATGATGCCGGGGCTCCTCCTCACAATGTGCCAAGAGGGAGAGTCCTGGCCCGGGATTAACCCTCTGGCCTGGGCCCACACAGTGGAAGAAACCAACCCCGCACCTTGTATGCCCCTCCTGTGGCCAGCTACCTGGACCAGCTAGCGAGGCCTCCAGCCTGCCTAGTGTCCGCGCCCATCAGCCCATCTGGTCCTTTTCTACACCAGGCTCAGTCCTCTGCACAGACACGGGCCCTAATCTTTTTCTTTTTTCTTTTCTTTTTTTAAAAGAATCCTCATCTGAGGATATGTTGAGAGAGAGAGAAAGAAACATCAATCGGTTATCCTCTGTACACACCCAGATCAGGGATCAAACCCACCACCTGGATATGTGACCAGGAATCGAACCCGAAACCTTCTGGTGTATGGGACAATGCTCCAACTAACTGAGCCACTGGGCCAGGGTGGGTCCTAATCTTATCTCCCTAAATAGCCCCATTACCATGGCAACCTTACTCAGCACCCACTCCCCTTCAGTGACGAGGCCTCAGAGCTATTGCTGAAAAGGGCCGTGACTACAGACCTCCCTCATCAGCAGTCACATCCCCAAGGCTTGTTTCTTCAAAACCCCCTGCCCCCACCCCCTAACATCACAGCAGGCACAACCAACAGTTAAACTTTATATTTACAATATTCTCTTCATCTTTTGCCAGGTTTAAAAATGTGTACAGAGCTGCGAAGGGCAGAGACATGGGGTTGTCAGGGAACTGTTCTGGGGAGAGGGATTGGGCATTGGAGTCCGTGGCTGAATCATGGGGTCCCCCAGCCCCTCTCCCATGCCCCAATTTGTGAGACATCTGTCTGTAGGGTTCAGGGCCCAGGGCCCTGGCATTTAGAGGGCATGGCTGTTTGGAAAGGAACTAGACCAGGCAGGAGAGGGGTGGGAAAAGAAGGTCCCATGGGTGGAAGTGGGAGGAGGGACGGTCAAGGGGCAAAGTTCTGGGGAGCCAAGACCAGGGATTCCGGATCCGATGTCAGCGGAAGACAGCACCCCAGCCCCAACTCAAGTTTGGCACTAACAACCCACAAAAGGCCAGCGGACAAGGATTCTCTCCTCCCGACAGGCTCCTTTCCCTGTAGGCTCAGGTCCCCTCTGGGCGGTCACCTTACACATCCTTTCACATTCTTCCGGCTGGTGTCTGACCAAGACCTGGCCCCATTGCCCCCTCCACCTGCTTCTCAGTGAGCTGACCTCATTCTCTCCCCAACCATGAAGCCTTCCCCCCTGGCTCTCCTCCCTTCCCCCTCCATGTCCCCTTTCCTTCAGCCCTGGCAGCTGAGGGCAGAGGGGGCAGGTCACAGACAGGGAATGGGCAGCTGAGGGGAGGGGCTGGTCTGACACAGACACAGGGATGGCTCCTAAGAGGGAGAAAGAGGCGTGGGAAAAGGGAACGGAGGCACAGGGGGATGAGGAGACGAGAGACACAGGTAGGACCCCTATAGCTGCCACTTCCCCCTCCTGTATCCCACCTGCTCCCACATCTACCTACTCTGGCCCAGGACTGGGGAGCTCTTGGCAAACCCACCGACCCAGTTTGGCACAGATGAGTAATGGTCTGAGGACTGAGGGAAAGGCTGTCCGCAGACCCCAGTGAGGGCTTTGGTCAAACATGCATGGCCTCTACAGGTGGCAGGTCCCACGGCCCTGACCCCCAACTCCGCATCTCTGGGGGAGGGAGGAGCAGAGCTCTCCCCTGAGCGTCTATGCACCCCCCTCCGCTTCTGCCAGTGTGAAGTCTGTTCCCACCTGCTGTGTGAGGAGGAACTCGGTGCTGGGCCTGAGGCCTGGGGGATGCAGGGAGGTACTGGAGAGAAGGGACCATCTGCATGGGAAAACACACATCCACATGCAAGAACATGTTTCCACTCAGAGTGTGCCTGGACCTATGGGACAAGCTCCCGGGCGGACAGGCTGCCCGGGTCTCCCGCCCCTGCAGGGGCTGTCGGCTATGGAAGGCGAGGCCTACCCAGGAGACCATGCTTCGCTGACTTGTGCCACGGGCGGGAAAACATGCTTCCCCAGGGCGGAGGGGTGCGGCGTGGGAAGGGGGCTGGTCCTCACTGCTTCCCAGAACCACCCTGTGTTATCCTGTGGCCAAGGGTCGCTGTACATGAGCACACCACTTCCAGGGTCTCCACGGGGTGGGGGGCGGAGAGAGGAGGCGGGAGAAGGCATGAGGGAGTATGATTCTGGGGTACAAATCCCCGCAGAAACTCTTTGAGAGGGCCAACATGTGTCCAGGGCGGCAAAAAAAACCTCACCCTGCACATGGGAAAATACCCCCCCGTGAGAAAGCATACCTCCGCGTGGGACACCCCCCCGAAGGCTGGGGTCCCGATGGAGGGGACAGAGCACCCCCCAGTTGTTCAAAGGCCCAGGTCCAGAGAAAAGGGGCCTCTGTGCATGGGAACACACGCATCCTGGTGAGGAGACCCACGTCCACCTCGTGTCCCTCCACGTGGGACAAGAAAAGCCTGTTGCAGGTCCTCCTCCCTGCCTTCCGGGTGGCACTTCCTGCCGATGGGAGGGCTGGGGAGGAGGCCCCCCCAAGCTGTCCCCTATACCCGGGTAGTGGAGTGGGGGTGGGGTAGAGTGTTGTTGTGACTGGTAGCGGTGGGAGGAGGTGGGGGGAAGGGCCCAAATGGGTGGAGGGAGGGTGGCGGCGGGGGAGGTGGCGGTCCCAGGCCACTGGGCAGCAGGGTCAGGGCCCCGGGGGCCAAGAGAGGCACATCGTCTGGTGCCCGGCGCAGGGCCAGGGTGTAGTCGGGTGGGCAGGCGGGGCGAAGGGCCTCAGCGGGGTCTGCCCCGACGCCGCCACCCCGTTTCAGCTGCAGTGACACCAGCTCCTCTTCTGGTGGCAGCTCTCGGCCCGTGGTAGGGAGCAGGGGGCCCCCACCAGGCACACCGGAGCCTGACCCCCCAGGGGGGCTGAGCCGCCGGCACCGCAGCTCCTGCCGCCGGTCCCGCTTGTAGTAGAGGGCAGCAAAGGCCAGGATGTTGAGGAAGAGAAGGGAGGCGCCCACGGCCACAGTGACGCTCAGCTCTGTGGAGTAGTCCCGGGAGTCCCCAGGCAAGCGGTCGTAGGCCCTGGGGCCTGGCTCGGGCTCGGGCTCAGGTGGCAGCGTGGCAGGTGAGGGGGGCCGGCGTGTGCCCGGGGCGCCGGGCGGCGGGCGAGGCGGCCAGCGCGTGGCGTAGGGAGGCAGGCGCGTGGTGGTGGTGAAGATCTCCGTGTGCAGGTTGTGCAGGTGGGGCACGAGCTCCAGCCAGAAGGCCACCTTGTTGGCACGGTAGTTGTCGCGCACACGCGGCTTCAAGCCAATGTGCAGGTACTGCTTCTCCTTGCTGTTGAACTTGCTCCACACCACCTCCTCGAAGCGGTTGGGCTTGGTGTGGATGAACTTGGTGTCCTGCGGCACCGGCTGGTTGGGGTCGCTGTGGGCACAGGAGGGCAGGGAAAGTAGGAGTGAGGGTGAGGCTCCCACAGGGCGAGAAGGTGGGGGAGGGCAGGGGAGGGAGACAGAGATGCAGAGAGCCAGGGAAACAGCGGAAAGGCAGAGGAAACCAGAGGCAGAGATGGATACAAAGAGAGAGAAATTGCCAGAGACATAGAAAAACAAAGAGGGAAAGAGACAGACTGCTAGAGACAGAGATGAGGACCGAGGGACAGAGATAAGCAGAGACAGAGAAATAGCCAGTGGGAGAGGCAGAGGCTGAGACTGAGATAGAGACACGTAGAAACAGGAAGACAAAGGCACATGAGAGGCAGCCAGGGTGAAATCAGCAACAAGAAGCAAACAGATCAAAGGGAAAGGGAGAGATATCAATGGCTTTCAAGGGTGAGCGATGTAGAGACAGCAATAAAGACAGACAGACACAATCGCTCACACATACTCATACACAGATGGGAGTAGTCAGAGGGCAGAGCCCTGGGAGAAGAAAGAGAGAGGGCGACCAGGCAAGGGAGGGATGAAGAGACAGGCATGGAGCCAAAGCCACCAAGGGAGCCCACCCCAGAATGGACAGGGACCTCTGTGTTTAACTGCTGAGTCTCCAACACGCAACTCAGTGCCTGGCACAGAGCAGGTGTCCAGCAGGTGTCTGAGTTGGAAAGGCAAGAGTGCCGATGACAGAGGGCCTTGTGAGGGAGTGAGAGGGAGAAGGACTGGGGGTGGAGGTGTGTGCACCTTGGCCTGCATGGAGCCCCGCCCAGCCCCTCTGGCCCTCACCCAGTCTTGGCGAAGTTGGTCCAGTAGGTCATGACCACGGCGCTGAGCATGACATCATTCTTAGAGAAATTGCAGGGGAAGAGGTCGGTGGCACCCACCATGGGCACCCCGAAGACGTAGGGGAGCTCGTCCCCGTGCGCTGCGTCTGCCCACTCGGGCCGGCCCTCAGCCTGGCAGTGGTGGTAGAAGGTGTAAAAGTAGACGGGGGACTGGTAGTCGGCATGCAGCTTGGCGGTGGCCACGGCTGGTGCCACCCACTGGTGATCAGTAAAGAGTGCCAGCAGGGTCTTGCGGCGCATCTCACCGTTGTCCCGGTCGGCCCAGTCTGTGTACATAAACTTGATGGTCTCCCGCAGCACATCCTTGCCCCCTGGGTAGGAATACAGGTTGTCCACAAAGTTGGAGACTGTGAAGTCAAAGGCGCTGGCGGACACGCCGTCCTCGCTCTCTGCTGAGTCCTCCACGAACTTGAGGCCCTCTCCTTGGTTGACGCCGATGAGCATGTCGTAATTTAGGAATTCTCCCTGCTGCATGAGGATCTCAGGGTCATCAGGGACGACGTCGCCGTCCACCACGGGCCCGAAGGCGATATGGTAGCTGGGGAGAAGGGGTAGGGTCTCGTCACCAGCTCGCTGGCCTCCACTGGGCTCAGAGCTTGCTGAGCCTTTGCCCTGAAGACACTGCTCCTTAGTTAACATCTAGGAACCCTCAAGGGCACTTGGCCTGTTGGGAGGTCTTCTCTGAAGCACTTTCGGGCACCCTGTGCATACTTGGGGAGAGCTCCCAAGAATAGAAGACAGGGCCATCAGAAAATGCCTGCAGACACCTCTCACCCTCAACCTCCCTGGAACCAGCAAGGTGAGCGCAGACCTGACCCTGGCCCTCTCCCACCCCCGTCCCAACACCCATACCGGGCGGGCTGCACGTCCTGGTCCACCAGCTCCCGGGAAGGCTTCCGGCGCAGACACTCCACAGCTTCAGCGCTGTCCTCCCGGTCACAGCCCACCTTGGCCGCCAGCAGCCGCGTATATTTGAGCGGCTGATAGTTGACAGACCAGCTGGAAATGGCAGTGCCACTCTGGGCGATGGCCTTCTGGAATAACCCTGGGGGGACAGGCAAGCTTCAGGCTGGGCAGTGTCAGCCCAAGAGAGAAGGGGGACCCGGCAGGTTCAGGGATACGGGAAAGGGGACGGGACTGGCAGGCTGATGAGGTTGCCGGTACCTTCCGAATGGTGGGAGAGGATCAGAAGGTTGACACAGGATGCGCCTGCGCCAGACCCAAAGATGGTGATGCGCTTGGGGTCGCCCCCAAAGTGGGCGATGTTCTCACTGAGCCAGCGCAGGGCCTGGATCTGGTCCAGGAGTCCGTAGTTGCCTTTTGCAGCCTGGTCCCCAGTGCTGAGGAAACCTGGAGGTAAAGGCAGAAAGGGAGCTACCTGGGGGTGTTACAGTGTCCTTGCCCCTTATCTGGGCAGCTCAGTCCATCCCAGAAGCAATTTTGTTGCTGCTGCTGGGTTTAAAGGACCCCACCCACCAGGCCCCCCTCCCAGACTCCCTAGGTTTGGCTGCCCTCCCTCACCGAGCACCCCAAGCCGGTAGTTGAGCGTGGCTACAATGACGTTGCCATAGGCGGCCAGGACAGAGCCATCGAACATGTTCCCGGTGCCCTCCATGTAGGAGCCGCTGTGCAGAAACAGCATCACAGGCTTCTTCCCCGAGTCCCGGATATCTGCGTGGGGAGGGGGTGGGCAGGTGGGCCAGGAGTGGGGGACAAGGACACAGTGAGACCAGAAGCAGCTCCTCCCAGCTCCCAGGCCTGCTGAAGACCAGCCCAGAGCTCAGGGGACATGCCATTCCCATCCCTGGGGGGCAAGACCGGATTCCCCGCCCTCCCTCCCCAGCTAGCTCTGGGAGCTGGTCCCTCCCCACCTCCTGCCAGTCTGCTCCACAGCACTTCTTCCAGTGCAGGCAGACCTTCCAGGAACCCTAACAGAGGCAGGGGTGGGTGTGGCCCTCCTCAGGGCATCTGGATCCAGGGGACCCCCTCCCCCCCACACACAGCAAATCTCCTTCCTGCTCCTAGGGAGAGTGTGCTCCTAAGGCTGGCGCTGGAGCTAAAGATGCTGGGAGGATCCTGGCCTTTTCTCAGACTTAGGCCTTGGGCCTCAGCTCCACATGGTAGCCTAGTCTGTCCATGAGGGGGTGCCAGGCCCTAGGGTCCCTGGGGGCTTGGTCTCCTCCCCGCCCTAATTCCTTTCTAGGTCACCTCCCCAGTCACCATGGCAACCCCCAGCCTAATTACTATGGCAGAAGGAGGCAGGGTGGGAAAGAGCCTGCTTAATGAAGCCAGGGTGCCGCTCTAAGTCTCGGAACCCCCTGCAAACTAGCCTGAGCCCTGGGTTCTGCACCGGACCTTTCTCTTGCCATGTCCCCAGAGGATCCCATAATCACTGCGACAGGTAGTAGACTTTGGGGCACTCCAGGCTGGACTAAGGAGTGGGAGTCTGAGAGGACTTGCCACAGTCCCCAAGGCTACATACGTAGGACGTGCCCTCCCCTGCAGCCTCTCCATGATGCATGACAGCACCAGGGCTGGCTGAGCCCTGGCCCACAGACCTTCCTTTCTTGACACCTGCAATCTCTCACTAAACTAGGCACTCGGCAAACAAGGGCCAGGCCCGGCCTCCACAGTGGGTCCCCATGGCCCTGCCGGCCTCCTGCATCCCGCTAGGAACTTTCTTCTAGCCAGAGGGTCAACAGGTCACTAAGATACTTCCCTCCACCCCCAGCGGCTTCCGGCCTCCTATCTCTTAGGACCTGCTCCCACCTCCCTCTGCCTGACTTGGCCAGGAGCTTCTGGGTGGGCAGTGCCCCCTGGTGTCCTCCCCAAATTTCCCTTTGCTCCTGAACCGCCAGTGGCCTTCCAGTAGTTCAAGCTGGAGTCCAAGTCCTGTCCTAAATGTCCTTAGCTCTCCCCTCTCCTCCCCACCCAGCACCTCCACTCCCGAGTGGGGGGAGGGGAGTCAGACAGGGAAGGAGCAAGAAGGGGGGCTGGGGCAACAAGAATTCAAAACCCACAACAAAAAACAGGATCAAGAAAGAAAAAAACAACAACCAAAAAGCAAGAAGCTCTTGGGGCAGATTCAACAAGAAGAAGAAGAAGAAAAAAAAAAGATCCGTTTTTTGGAAAAAAAGAAAAAAAGAAAAAAGTTCTTTGCATTTTTTTTTTTTTCAAAATTTTGTGGTGAAACTTCAAGATATTGGGCCCTGTTTTCAAAAATTTCCAAATTCTTTAATTTGCTTCAAATGTTTGCGTTTCCTGCATCTGACAGGCTTTTGGAAATAGTAGCAGGTTTCTGATGTTTCGATTGTGTCATCAATTTGCCATCTGAAATTTTTTTTTCAAATGTTTTGCTACAAATTTAAATTGTTTTTTCAAATGTTACATTTCACAAGTTTCAAAACAGTCCAAATTTCGGTCAAACTCTAAGCATTTTATCCAATTCTTTGGTGTTTTATTTTTTTTCTGACATTCCAATTTCTTTTTTCATTTTGTTTTCGCCAGGTTTAGCTTTTCTTGCAGGTTTTCTAGTGGGTCCAACATTGTTCAAATTTCGTTTGAAGTTTTCATAATTCTCTTTTCCAATTATTATAAATTTTTCTTTTCTTTTCTTTCTCGTTTTTAGTTGGGAGAACAACTGAGGGCCTTGAGGGCTGTGGGGCATTTAGTTGGGGGCAGGGCCGTGAACGTGAACGTCCTCTTATCAGCAACCACATGCAGCAGCGGGTTTTAAATCTACCTGTGTCTGGCGGATTGAGCGTCGCCTCGTCACGTTTTTTTGTGAGCGGACCTAAGACCGGGAACACAAAACAGAGAAAAAAGGACAATTTTGTGGGGAAAGATGGGGGTCGGGGGAGGTTGTGGATGGGGAAGGGAGGACAGAACGCAGAAAAGGGGAGGATGGGGGGGCAGAAAAAATAAGCCAAAAAAAGCAAAATTTGTTTGCAAGAAAAAGAAACCAAGAAAAGAGAAAAACGTTTCTACAACCCAATTTTGTTCCCCTCCCCGGAAAAAGTCATGCCCCAAAGAAAAGGCTTGTTTTGGTGGTGGCGGGGGGGTGGGGGTGGGGTGCCTAAGTGGGCTGAGGCCTGTCTTAAGACATACTGACTTGGCTGGAAAGGATCTGGCTTGTCCATGTGTTGGCTAGTCGCTGGAAATGAAACGGTGTTAGAGGCAGGTTGGAGGAGAGGGGAGGCCTGCCCGGGAGACCAAGGCCAGCTGTGCCACCTGGCCACCACTCACGCAGACCCTCTTCAGGGCCAGCCAAGCACCTGCCTGCTCCCCAAGGCTGTGGAGAGGAGGGGCTGCAGCAGAAAGGACTCTGCTTCCCTCTGGACCAACCTGGAGGGCTGGGGGTCGGTCAGCTAAGGCTGCCTGCCCACCTACCCAGCCTCTCAGCCCCAGCACTGCTCTTCCACCCGCACTCACAGGCCTGGCTTCTCACCCCATCTCCCCAATGTGGGGCAAAGCAGGGAAAGGGGTCATCAGGTCTTGCCCTCCACTCCACCTCTTCCCTCTGTACCCCTCCCCGCAAAACCTCATCCCCTACCCAGGCCTGCTCTCCCCCCGATGGTAAATGTCCCACCAGGGGCACTCGCCCCTCATCAAACCTTGTTTTAATGCCAAAAAGCCCCCTCCCCCAGTGCAGGGGTTCAGTCCACAAACAGGGAATAGGACACACGGTGCCCTGGGCCAGCCGGACACATAAGGTGCCAGGAAGCACTCGGAGGCACAAAGCGTGGCCACTGTCAAGGAGAGGACCCAGACGAGGCCGAGTTTGGCTCCAGGTTTCTTTCAGGGGAGATTTGGAACCCAGGGGCCTGAGGGGGCTCAACCACAGAGGGAGGGATGGGTCAACAGGGCCCAGGCCAGCCTGGGGAAGGCTTCTCCCAACGGGCAATAATGGCCCATGAGGACCCATTAAGATCAGGGCCTGTTCTCTGTGACAGGATGAGAATGGGGCGAAGTCAGCAAGGCATGCGTGTACGTGAGAATATGAAGTGTCTATGCTGTCTGTGTGTGTGTGTGCCTGAGTCAACCTCTTCCTTCCACAGCCGGTGTGAAGACTCAGTGAGATCACCTGAATGTATCGGGCCCCCAGCAGGTGGGCAGTAAGTGACGGTTAAAAATACAGAAGGTGTGGGCATGGGTGGCGTGGGGCAGGGTGGGTAATTTACACGGAGATGTTGGAGTAGATAGTCCATTGGCGGGAAGTGTTGGATGGATGTTTCACACGGGGGGGGGGGGGGGGGGGGTGATGAGACCACCCACTGAGGAGGACAGGGGTTGGACAGCCTGTATGAAGATGTGGGAGTGGAGAGTCCACGAATGGGGAGTGTTGAGATAGACAGTCTGTGTGGAAGCCCTGGGGTGAAGAATTCACCAGAGAATACTGGGTGGGGTAAGTAGTCCATGGGCGTGCAGGAGAATGTGGAGTGGATGGTTCTCACACAGAGGGTGTTCTGTAAATGTTCTATTAGGATGCTTGGAATCTGGATGAGATTAGAGCAGTGGTTCTCAACCTTCTGGCCCTTTAAATACAGTTCCTCATGTTGTGACCCAACCATAAAGTTATTTTCGTTGCTACTTCATAACTGTAATGTTGCTACTGTGATGAATCGTAATGTAAATATCTGATATGCAGGATGGTCTTAGGCGACCCCTGTGAAAGGGTCGTTTGACTGCCAAAGGGGTCGCGACCCGCAGGTTGAGAACCACTGGATTAGAGTAAATGATACTTCTATGCATTGTGTGTATGGGTTACTATGAGGCATGGTGTATATGGGTAGTTAGGGTACATGGTTGGTATGAGCAATATAAGGTAGATGGTCCATAAAGTTATTGGAAAGGACATGTGTTGGTTGAGGTACATGAGGGGTTCTGAGGTTGGCATGAGAGGACTTTGAGTACAGGGACTGTGGTCTGAATGGCCTGGTGGAGCACATGGTCCAGGTACAGTGTTATTGGGATAAAGATCTATCTGTGACTGGGTGTTACTAGACACATGATCTATATCCAGGGATATTGGGAGCCACAGGTGTGGGTGATGGGATACACAATTTTAGAGAAGTACTGGGGTGTGTGCTGGGTGAAGGTGTGGGGAATTATAGTTTGTAGGGTGTTGGAACACATACTCAGGGGTGGGGGACCTTTTTTCTGCCAAGGGCCATGTGGATATTTATCACATCATTCACAGGCCATACAAAATTATTAACTTAAAAATTAGCCTGCTATATTTGGTCAAACATTTCCTTAACTCACCCCTGATGCCTTGACAGGGCCAGACCAAATGATTTCACCGGCCGGATGTTCCCGCCCGATATATGTGGTCAGTGCGTAGGCTGGTTGGGTACACAATCTGAATGTTGAGTAGTTGAGATCCCTGATCCGTTGAGGGACTTGCGTACCTGATGTGGGGGTGCTGGGTATGCAGGGTGTACATAGAGGGGTTCCTGGTACCAGACTTATGTGTCAAGTTGTTGGAAAATGCCTGTGGGGTGTGGTGGGAGTGGATGGTCTCTGCTGAGGGGTGGGGTATTTTGGAGTAGTGACATGGGTGTTAGAAGGGGAGCATGGGCTGTGAGGACGGTCTGTTGAGGTGGCTGGAGTTCTGACTGCCTTTGTTGTAGACAGCTGGGAGTCACCCTGAAAGACCCTCTGGTTAATCTTAGTGTGCTGCAGGAGGGCAGGCGGAGGCCGTCCAGGGGACTATGGGCAGAGCTGTAATGAACTGAGAGCTTATTGACAGCCAGCCAGCTGAAGAGCAGGGAAGCTGTTCTGAGGGGAGGGCTGGGCCGTGCTGTGAGTGGAGAGGCCCTTGGCCAGGAGTTCCCCTGATCCTTCAGGATGGTCTGGGAGTCAGAGGACATAGCATCCTGGAGAAGAGGCACTCAGCTTAGGCCAGGGGCTCTGGACGTGATGTGACAGGTGGAAGTCTGCAGTACTGGTCTGGGGGAGAGGAGGAGTCTGTGCTGTCCTTGAGGGATAGATGTTGCTAAAGTGGACAAGCCAGGGACAAGTCCAGGCCTGGGGGGAGGGGGGCGCGGGCAGAGCTGGAATGGCTGCCTAGGCAGGGTGGTGGGTGCTCCCTCTGTGGGGTCGGGGAGGGTCAGTCCAGCCTAGTGCCTGCTGACTCTACCACTGGCTCTCTCTGGGCACAATGAACTCCTGGGTGGCTGTCTATATGGGAGTCAGTCATTCCTGGGACTGCTCAGCCAGCACCCAACCCACCCGGGAGGGCATGCAGAGCCGGCCGGGATATACTGTCCGCTCACTGTCTCCATAAAGCCCAGCTCCCATCCCGGACTGTGCCAGCGCCGGAGGTTCTGCATGTGTGTTTGGGGGCTGTGTCCACGGGATGCCCGGCCTGGTGCCCGCGCCCTTACCGTCCTCGGTGGGCACGTAGAGGTTGAGGTACAGGCAGTCCTCGCTCTGGTTCTGCACGTAGGTGGCGGCTGCCTCCAAGTTGTCCGTGAACCACACAGGCAGCATGATCGCGGGCAGCGCCCCGTGCAGGTTCTGCGGGCAGGCGGGTGGCAGGGTGGTGGCGTTGCGCACGCCAGGCCACGAGGCTGGGGCCTCTGGCGGCTGGAAGCGACGGGCGCCCAGGGGTGGGGTGGCGTAGGGCACGCCCAAGAACTGCACCACTGGGCCCAGGATCTCGTTGTTGAGCTCACGTCGCACACCACGCACTCGCCCGTAGGCCGTGTTCACCACTGGGAAGCGCTCCTCCCCGAGGCTGCTGAGGCCCAGGCCAGGGCCACCTGGGGAACCACCTCCGGGACCCCCTCCCCCGCGTTGAGCCCCCACCAGCCCCACCAGCCACAGCGCCAGGAGCCACATGCTGATAGGGGGACCCCCCCTCCCTCCCCGGGACCCCCCCCTCGGAGAGAGAGAGAAGGGGGGGGAGAGGGAGGGAGGCCCCCCCTCGCCCCAGGAGGGAGGAGGGGGTGGGAAAGGAGGGAGAAGGGGAGTGGAAAGGGACCTGGGTTAGACCGGACAGAGAAGGGGTCTGTTCCTTTCCATGGAGGGGGCAAGGGATAGGGAAGGGGAAGGAAGTGGGAGAAGGTGAATGCAGGCTGGACCTGTGGGTGGAAGGGAGAGGGTACGCAAGATACAGACAGACAGACAGACAGACACATACACGGGAGAGGTGGGAGAAGGGAAGGGAAGAGGGGCAGACAGAAAGGAATGGGGAAACAGAAGAGACAAGTGGTTAGTGGCTTGGAATTCAGACTGGTTGACCCCCTTCTTCCACCCTCAGGCCCCCCAGCACGTCTCCCCACCCGAAAACGCCCCTCCATCAGCAGGGACCCAGATAGAAAAGTCTGAGGCTGGGGGTCAGGTCAAGATGTGGTAAAAGTCCAGGACACAAGCAGAGGGCAGGACGGGCGGCTCCCCACGCCCGGCCTGCCTCCTTCCAGCCGCTTTATCCCAACCAGGAGGCTCTCCTCAGGGACTCAGAGTCCCAGCTCCCACCTCCCGGGGAGGGATGAGATAGACAAGGAAGAGAAAATAAAAATACCAAGTCATTAATTAGCAGGAAGTGGAGGGTTTGTTTATACGTGTTAATTACTCCGGAGCTGTGACTTCATGGCATTAGACCCCCACCTCAGGCCAGACTCCCGATCTTTCCTGGGACTGCACAAGCCCAGCACCTTCTCCTGCCTTCAGCACCCCATTCCCTAGGCATTTGTGCATCAGTGTGTGTGTGTGGTGGGGGGGTCCTTTCCCCAGGCTCTCTCCATTTCTCCCCTCAGAAGTTACGATGCCTTGAGGCAGGGGCTAGAATAGGGAGGGGGTGATGGAGTGGGGGCAAATCCAGGGACAGATGCGTGATCCTGCAGCCGGTTGCCCAGCGACAGGGATGCTGCCCCGCAATGTTACCTCGGCAACGGGCTGCAGCTTTAACCCTGGGGGGGGGGGGGGGTTCGGGTCTGGAGGAAGAGGGTAATGGACTGGCTTGGTTATGGGGTCCATTCTGGCCATGAGGGCAGAGGCAGGACTCAGAATGCTAGCGTGTCCCCAAACCTTAGCACAGAGGAAGAAGTATATATGTTGAGGGGAGCAGAAGATTGGGGGCATTAAAGAACCCTAAAGGACCCGCCTCTTGGCCCTTGTTGGCCAATCAGAGCCTAGTCCTAGTGACCAGGCCTCTGGCTGGGTAGAAGGGGTGCTGAGGTGGGTTTGGAGGCCATCACATGCACCCACTGACTGCCCCCCCAAGTCTTGAACAGCCTAGTACTACAGGCACTTCTCTCATGCATGGCATTTTGACCCATGTCCTGGGGGCAAACCTAGGGTTTCTCCTCATCCCATCTCAGCTATTCACCTGCCCTTCCCCTTGCCAGTGCCCCACAGATGCTGCTCTGAGGCCTGAGTGCTCAGGACAGAGGAGCAGGGCAAGGGAAGAGATCAGACTGAAGGGTCATTTCAGCACCACCCCCCCGCACCCCCCAGCTGCCAGAGCTGTTTGCTGACGCGGGGTTTTCAGAGCCAGGCGCCAGCCCGCGGGTGGCTCTCTGCAGGTGTCAATTTATTCCAGAGATGAGGACACAGGAATCCTTACCACACACACCTAGTCATGCCCTCCCCCTCTTCAGTTCCTCCAAAGCTCCTGCTCCCCCATCACCTGGAGAGGGCTTGGGGCTGGCTCCCTCAGGGTCTCCTCTGCCCATGCCAGTCTGGGCTCTGCTTCCATGGCCTTGCCACCCCTCCCCCTCCTACTAACTCAGTCTATCTGCCTGTCACCCCTCCTCCCTGAAGGTACTTTGGGCCCCTGGCCCTCTCCCTGCCAGCTTCTCTCCCTTCTCCCTTCCCTCTGCCCCCCATCTCTTTCCTCCCCATAGCACTCCCAGAGCAGCTCTCCCAGCCGCTTCCCCACTGCTCCAGCTCTCGTCTTCAGTCTCACCCTGTCTTCTTTCATCACTCTCTTCTACATCTCCCTCCTTAGTGCTTCCCATCTTCCTCTCTCCTTCAAACCCCTTCCCCAAATTTCTCCCTCGAGCCTTCTCTATTTCTCTCTCTCCTTCTCCTCTTTCCCCAGCTCTGTCTCCCCCATTTCCTCTCCCCTTCTCTCTCCTTTCTGTCTGCCACATCTTGCCTCCCCCCCCCCCCGCCCCCCTCCTATTTCTCTGCCTTGCTCTCTCCATCCCTGCCCAGGCCTGACTCCCCCAGCCGGGAAGAGTTGAGGGATAGGGGCTCAGGCCGCAGCCCCCCCTCTCCCTGCAGTGGGGGAAATGGCTTGGCCGGGAAGGGGAGGAGGGGGAGGGGAGATGGGAACACACGGGGTCTGTGGGCCCATTCAAAGGATCATTCATGGGCTGGAGAGAGGCAGAGACAAAGAGACGGAGACGGAGAGACACGGGAGAGCATCCCTAGGCGGAGACAGGCAGACAGGCAGGCTGGGGGGAACCAGGCGCAGAAAGAGATGGGGAGTGGGAGACCCCAGCGGACCGCCACGCAGCCCCTCCACCCGCCCGGCTTAGCTCCTACCTGGCTCAGCCCTGGGGCCGTGGTGCCTCCATCCAGGGCTCCGAGGAGGGGGCGGCGGCCTCTGAGCCCCCGCGGTCCCGCAGGCCCAGCCCCCGCCCGCAGCGCCTCACCCAGCGGGGGAGGGGGATCGCCCCAGCCCCAGGGGGCGGGGCCGGGATCCAGTCGATCCCCGGGGAGGGGAAGGGAGGGGGTCAGGAGGAACCCGAGAACAGGGAACCCCGCAGTGGGGCCAGTGGAGTGAGGAGGAGACTACGGGACAAGACTGGAATGAGGATCCACTGGCTCCGTGGGCCGGCTTCGAGGGGCCAGGAGGTGGTACAGGCGGAGGATCCTAAGGAATCGGGTGCGGGAGGAGGAGTCCACCGCAATCCCCAGGGGCCCGAAGCCCGGGAGAGCAGGATCCGCGGTGCAGGGGCAGAGATCCAGCCGGAATCCTCGGGGAGAGGGAGGGATCTAGTCGATCCCGAGGGCGGGCGGGAGTGGGAGGTCCGGGGAGTCAGAGGAAGGCGGGAGTGGAGTCTGGAACCCCGGGGCGGGGGTCAGCACTGCTCCTAGAAGGGAAAGGGGGGGGTCAGGGGGAGGTTTCGGGGGACGCTCAGCAGCCGGGAGGCCCGGACTCCCGGCTCCGTGCGCCAGGGCCCGCCCGCCCCGCGTCCATCCCAGCCCGAGAGTGATGATCCGTCGGCGGAGCAGCCGCAGCAGCCCCGCGCGTCACCGCGCGGCCGCCTCCCCCGCCCCCTGCAGAGAGAGCGGCGCACACCCCTCGCTCGCACCCGCCCGCCCGCCCGCCCGCCCTCCAGAGTGTGGGGGGATTGGAAACGGTGGAAGAGGGCGGGAGTGGACAGACCGACGCATGGACGAAGCGGATCGGGGCAGGATGGAGACATCCACCCAGATCTCCCATCCTCGGGGCTCTCGCGGCTGGTGGCGGTGGGGTGAACTAAAGGGGGCGGGGCATCATGTGAAGGAGGCGGGGCCTGTGTGCCTGGAGGAGGGGCCATATGGACAGCGGGCGGGGTTTCATGGAGATGGGTGGGGCTTGGGTGTCCGTGGGGTCGCCTGGTTTGGGGTGTGGGCCTGGTTTAAAGCTGAAAAGGAGGAGCCTGTGGGGGAAGGGGCGGGACCTGCTTGGGGACCTGGATCTTTGGAAATTGGCCGGAGGTGGGAGGGGGTGTGAGAAGAGGCGATCAACTTGGAAAGTGGGCCAATCCGTGACGCAAATCTCCTAGCACCGCCCCCAGCCCCACCCCCCACTGCTCCGCTCCTCCGCTCCTAATTGGTTCCGATTTCTCCGCCGCCAGGCGCCTTCGCCATTCAACAGGAGCTTTACAAAGGCGCAAGTACCGGGGTGAAGACCTGGACGCTGAAATAAACACGGCCCTGATTGGGCACCTGTGCACCTTATTTGCATGGAAGCTCGGGATTGGCTGGCCTCTTGGGTGGCCTGGGCGGTGTTCGCCAGGCTCGTGACCGTCCACTGCCATGGCCGGACCTGGCGCTGCTTTCCGCCGCTTGGGTGCCCTGTCTGGAGCCGGGGCCCTGGGCTTGGCCTCCTACGGGGCGCATGGTCAGGGGCCTGGGGATGGAGCTGGGTGTGCTTGGGGCGACGTAGGGGGTCTGGTGCAGGGATGGAGTCTGTGGGAATCGCGAGGGCTGCCAGCCACCAGCCAGCCTGCAAAGCCCGCAGCCCTTTAGAGCCCCTCCGCCCGGTCCACCGGTTCCCGCGGCGGCCCATGCGTGTCTCCGCCAGTGAGGAGCCTCCCGGGGGTGCCCTTGCTCCCCGGTGCCCACCGGGGTCCTCCCGGGACTTGGGGCGTCAGAGCTGATAACTTCTGCCTCTCCTTTCCACAGGCGCCCAGTTTCCGGATGCCTACGGGAAGGAGGTGAAGTAACTGCGCTGGGGCTCCCCGATTTCCGGGTCGAGGAGGGCACACAGTCGGGGGTCCCCTGCGGGGAGGGGCGGAATGCGGGGCTTTGCAGCTGCAAGGGCAGAAAGCCTGGGGTGTCGGGGGCCTGCGGGAGGGGCAAGCTGAGACTCAGACCTTTTGCCCCTGGGGATCCAGGCTCCTGTGTTGCTTAGGAAGTCCCCCCCTCACCCAATGACTCTTTCTCTTCTTCTTACAGCTCTTTGACAAGGCCAACAAACACCACTTCCTACACAGCCTGGCCCTGTTAGGGGTGCCCCATTGCAGAAAGCCCCTCTGGGTAAACTTTCCCCCTCCCTGACTCTGGCCCAGCCCCACCCACTCCGCAGTCTGCCCTTTGCTTATCGCCTTGTTTTCTCCTCTGTCTCCTCCAGGCCGGGCTACTCCTAGCCTCCGGAACCACCTTGTTCTGCACCAGCTTTTACTACCAGGCTCTGAGTGGAGACCCCAGCATCCAGACTTTGGCCCCTGTGGGAGGGAGCCTTCTAATCTTGGGCTGGCTTGCCTTGGCTCTTTGAGCTTCCTTGTGTTTAATTTCTGGGTACATTTTTGAGAGGTGACACAGAGAGGGGATTAAAAGAGAAAGGCAAAGAAGTATGGAGTCTTTGTTCATCTAACCTCCTGGAGGAAGAAGGGTAGGGATTGTCAATCTCGGAACTTCCTCCCTTTCTTAAGACGGGACCAGTGAGCTTTGGGTCTGAGGATAATGTTCACTTCAAGTTAATCTGTTACGAGGTTCTTAAACTCAGAGTGATAAATAATGCTTGAGGTAATGCAGATTCTCAGGGAAGTCCTCAAGGCCTGCGATCTGTATTCTAATAAGCTCATCACGTGGCTACTAGAATTTGAAGATTACTGTAGGGTGGTGGTTTTCAGCCCTGTCAGTCCACAAAGTGATTGAGCACTCATTTACTCTGGAAGCCAGGTGTAAGGCCAGGCAGGACAGGAGGAATGCCATTACAGTAGTCCCCCCCTTATCTGTGGCTTTACTTTCCACAATTTCGCTTTACGCAGTTTTCGTTACCCATGGTCACCTGTGGCCCAGAAATACAAAGGAGGAAATTCCAGAAATAAACAATTTATACTTTTTAGAAGGTGTGTTGTTCTCTGCCATCCCTCTCTGTCTCACTGTGATGTGAATCCTCCCTTTGTCCAGTTGCCAGCCGGTCAGTCACTTAGTAGCTATCTTAGTTATCAGGTCGACTATAATGGACTTGCTGTGCTTACGTTCACGTAATCCTTACATTGCTTAGTAATGGCCCCAAAGCACAAAGTAGTGATGCTGGCAATGCAGCGTGCCAAAGAGAAGCTGTGAAGTGCTTCTTTTAAGTGAAAAAGTGAAAGTGCTTGACTTAACACGTTAAGCGCCATGTCAGTCACCGGGTGACTGACACTATACTTTCCGTCCGGACCTCGTCAGTCACTGGTGCCGCCAGCATATCGGTGAAATCAGATATCTCGGGCTAAATGGAAAGGAAGACAACAGGCTTGGCGCTTAACATGTTAAGGAAATAAAGCCGTGCTTAGGTTGCTAAGATCTATAGTAAGGACACGTATCTATGAAATTGTGAAGGTGGAAGAAATTCATGCTAATTTTGCTATTGCAGCTCAAACTGCCAAAGTTACAGCCACAGTGCATGATAAGTGCTTAGTTAAGATGGAAAAGGCATTAAATTTGTGTGTGGAAGACATGAACAGAAAGCATGTTCTGATATAGATGGCAACCTGTCATGCCAGACAGCATTGAGCCTATACAGGAAGAAACTGTATAGCAGCGGTTCTCAACCTGGGGGTCGAACGACCCTTTCACAGGGGTCGCCTAAGACCATCGGAAAACACATGTATATAATTACATACTGTTTTTGTGATTAATCACTATGCTTTCATTATGTTCAATTTGTAACAATGAAATTGGGGGTCACCACAACATGAGGAACTGTATGAAAGGGTCGCGGCATCAGGAAGGCTGAGAACCACTGGTGTATAGGGTTCGGCACTGTCTGGTTTCAGTCACACACTGGCGGTCTTAGGACGTATCCCCCTTGGATACAGGGGGACAACTGTACTTACACTATACTTTGGGATTCAAAGAAGGGACAGAACATTATGTATTAGGGGTTAGAAAATGCTTCACAAGCCCTAGCCAATTTGGCTCAGTGGATATAGCATCAGCCGGTGGACTGAAGGGTCCTGGGTTCAATTCTGGCCAAGGGCATGTATCTCAGTTACAGGCTTGATCCCCAGCCCTGATCGGGGGTGCCTGTGGGAGGCAACCAATCAATGTGTGTCTCTTCCACTCACTAAAAATCAATGGGGAAAATATCCTTGGGTGAGGATTAATAAAAATAAAAAGGAAAATGCTTCATAGTGCTTGAGATGATCCTTGAAAGAACTCTGCTGTCTGAAGGAAACAGTAAACAAAGACAGAGGTAGGGAGCAGAGGAGGATGGGACTAAAGGACTCTTCCCTGTGGGCCACGTGTCTGAAAAAAGGAATGGGAAAAGGTGGCAAGGCAGGCTGGAGTAGCACCCACAGCATGTGGCGAACTGGCAGATATTTAGGGGGCAGTATTTATTAAGCCAGTGCTCATCAAGTATTGATCAGGTGTCAGACACATAAGGAAATTCAACTGTGAACAAGACAGATGCCAACTTTCCCTCATGGAGTCTTCCATTTAGTAGTGGAAATGGACCTTAAACAAATTTATCATTGTGAGTTGCGCTGTGCTTGAAGGAAAAGACCAGGGAGGCCGTGGGAGAGTGGGGTAAGGGAAGTTATGTCCTTTCAGATGGGAAGGCCTTGCAGGCTGAGGTAACCATGCACAACGCTGGAAGGAAGTGTATTTTAGGCAGAAAGAATAACTGGCAAAACAGGTCCAGAAGAAGCAGTACAACGTCTCTGAGGCCAGAGAAAATTGGGTGAGTTGGAAAACACGACATGTGGCAGGCAGACACTCAGAATTTCCTTGTAGTGAACCATAAATCATTGAAAGGCTTTTAAAGCGAGAGAGTTAGAATCTGTGATGTTTACAAGATCTGGAGAACTAATCAGAGGATGGCCACAGGGAGACCGGTCAGGAAGCCACTGAAGAGGTCCAGGTGTGAGGTGAGGGCTTGGCTTAGGGTGAAAAGGATCCAATTCAATATACATTTAAGATAATGCTGATAGGACTTGCTGATGGATTGCGCATAAGGGATGAATGAGAGGGAGATTTCTGGCTTATATGCCTGACTTGGTGGAGGTGCTATTACTCCGATGAGAAAAACTGAAGGAGGTTGCAAATTAAGGGGAGGCAAGTCTGAAGGTCAGTTTGGACATGTTGCTTCCAAAATGTCCAAGGGATGTCCAACTGGAGGCACCACGCAGGTAGTTGAGGAGCTCAGGGAGGCATCTGAGCTCAGCAGGAAAGTCCAGACTCAAATTTACTCTGCAACCCACTCTGGTCAGGCTTCCATCCCATGTCTTCCCCATAAATACTCTTGGAAGGATCCCATAACTCACTATGACCTCCTTGTTGCCAGATCTAATGGATGATTTTCGATCTCATTTTTCTCAGCCTCTCTGCAGCATTTGACACAGCTGGTCATACTGTCCTTGAAACACATCATGTTGCTTCTGTGACACCACTGTCTGGTTTTTCCTATCTCTGTGGCTACTTGTCAGCTTCTCCCCTTTGCAGTTTAAATCAATGGTTTCCAAATTTCAATGAAAAAAAATTAGAACTACTATGCATACATATTTTAATTTCTTTTTTTTTTTTGCGGGGGGGGGGGCTCTCAATATAATTTCATTTTTTAAAATTTCTATCTTTGTGTATGTTTTATAAAGTGCCTATCTGTAGAGTATATTGGAGGTGCATACCTAATTTTTCTGAAGGTGTGCATTCGAAAAAGTGCAGACCGTTTCTCTAATTAAGGATGCTTAGACAACCTCATTCAGCCCTGCACCTTTAATCTGCATAATTTTAGATCCAGGATTCCTGTCTCCCACCCTAGTTCCTCCTGAACTCCCGCCTCCTGTGGCAGCTGCAGTGTAGCTGAGTGCTCAGTGGAGCCTTGAAGGAGTTGGGTGATGAGCGAAAGGTGTGTGTTCCAGACCAGGCAACAGCTTTCAAGGCCGCCCTGAAGCAAGAGGGAGCCCAGAGCACTTGAGACCTGAAGCAATTCCTGGTGACTGGCTTGAAGATCGTGAGAGGGTCAGCAGTGAAAGATGCGGATAGCACTGGTCAAATGGTAGAGCGACTGTGCTGAGAGGTTGGACAGTTCAGTGAGGACAGTGGGAAGCCACCGAAGCATTTATATCCAGGGAGGAGACATGATTTGAGGTGTATTCGAGCATCACAATAATTCGTCACTGAAAGATGAGTAAAATAGGCCCCAGCGTGACCTCTAATGCCAGTGGCAGAGCCAGCACTGGATCCTCAGGCTTCTACCTCCCCGTTTAGTGCTCTGGATGCATTTCTATCCTCATCTCAGGCAATGCCTGGGAACTTCCAGGGGGAGGAGAACTCGGTTGGTTTCTGGAATGGCCACCCTCCATGTAATGTGATCCCTAATACCCGAGCTTTGTCCTGCCAGTAGGCGGGCTCTTGGGGAAGCAATATAAATGAGGCCTGCTTGGTCCTTTGTCCTTATTGTTACTATACGTTGTATCTCAACAGTCCTGAGAGTTGGTGGGAAGTGAAACTAAGAGAGGTACAGGAACTTGTTCTGTATCGTACAGCTAGGACCTGGGTAAGCTGTGATTCAGACTCTCTTCTGTTCAGTTCCCAGAGCTAAATTCTTGCCTTCATGTACATACCAAGAAACAGTGAGGACAGACCCTTTAAAACACGATTTGATACGATGAGCTCAGTGTTACAAGTAGGAACAGGTGGGCTGGCTCCACCTTTGGAGGCTGGTGAGACTTCCAGCCACCGGCTGGGTTTCAGCACGCACAGTTCACCAGAAAAGAGGGACAAGGTCGCCCTGGTAACAGCGAGAGGCGAACAGGGCGCCTGGAGCTCAGGATGGAGTGGGCAGCAGGAAAAGGCAGGAAATACAGAGGAAGTGCGGAGCTCACACTGAACAGCCTCCTGGGCCAAGCTCGAGTCAGCTTTGACTTCCCTTTTCCTCACATCCTCTGTCCAAGCCATCGTCAATCCTGTTGGCTTGAATACATAACTGGAATCTGACCATTTCCCACTGCTACCCTCTGGCCCCTGGCCCATGCCCTCATTAAATCTCCCCTAGTTTGCCTGGCTGGTGTGCTCAGTGGTTGAGCTTTGACCCATGTACCAAGAGGTTGCCAGTTTGATTCCCTGTCAGGGCACATGCCCAGGTTGCCAGCTCCATCCCCAGTAGGGGGCATGCAGGAGGCAGCTGATCAATGTTCCTATTTCTCCCTCTCCCTTCCTCTCTAAAATCAATAAAAACAGCTCTAGCCAGTTTGGCTCAGTGGATAGAGCATCGGCTTGCGGACTGAAGATTCCCGGGTTTGATTCCGGTCAAGGGCACATGCTGGGGTTGTGGGCTCGATCCCCAGTAGGGGGTGTGCAGGAGGCAGCTGATCAATGATTCTCTCATCACTGATGTTTCTAACTCTCCTCCTTTCCTCTCTGAAATCAATAAAAAATATATATTAAAAATATTTAAAATCAATAAAAACATTTTAAAAAAAATCTCACCTAGTTTTATGCAAGAACTTCCTTCTGTCCTTGATTATCGACAGCCTACTGTGGACAAAGGAGAGAGAGAGAGAGAGAGAGAGAGATCCTTCTAACACAGTAGTCCTCAGCCTTTGCTACATATTAAAGCCTGCTGAAGAATTCTCAAAAAGTTCTTACGGCCTAGCTGGTTTGGCTCAATGGATAGAGCGTTGGCTTGTGGACTGAAGGGTCCCAGGTTCGATTCCAGTCAAGGACACATGCCTAAGTTTTGGGCTCGATCCCCAATAAGTGGCGTGCAGGAGGCAGCCGATCAGTGATTCTCTCTCATTATTGATGTTTCTATCTATCTCTCTCCCTTCCTCTCTGAAATCAATAAAAATGTTTAAAAAAAAAAAAGTTCTTATGGCTCTGGCCCATGGTGCTCAGTGGTTAGAACATTGGCCCATGCACCAAAGGCTCAATTCCAGTCAAGGCAAGTACCTGGGTTGTAGCTTCGATCCTGGGCTCAGATGGAGTGCATTCAGGAGGCAACCATGTGTCTCTCTCGAATTGATGTTTCTCTCTCTTCCTCCCTCCCTCCCTTGCACTCTCTCTAAAATAAAAAATAAAATCAACGGAAAAATATCCTCGGGTGAGGATTAACAACAACAAAAATAGTTCTTGTGTCTGCACCTCACACAAACTATTCTAATTTAGTTGATATGAAGTGGGGCCCAGGCAGAGGTATTTTTAAAGCACCCCAACTGATTCTAACTTGGGGCCAGAGTTGAGGACCATTATTTCAGTATGTGAGGCTCATGTCTGGTCTCTGTCCAAACCCTCCAACACTTCCCATGTCACTCAGAGTATAACCCAATCGCCTACAGGCCATATGTGATTCTGCCTCTTACCTCCCTCTCATCCATTCTGTTCCTCCCTCATTCACTCTATCCCAGCTACACTAGCCTTCTTTTTGTTCATTGAACAATTAAGGCACATTCTGCCTCAAGACCCTTGCCCTGTGGCCTATTCGTGAAGCACTCTTCACTTAGAAGTCTGCATGGCTCAATCCTTGACCTCCTTTAGGTATTTGCTCAATGGTCACCCTCGTGGTGATGCCTTCCTAGTCTGCTCTCTTTAAAATTGCAACCCCATGCCCAGCTGGTGTTGCTCAGTGGTCGAGTGTTGATTCATGAAGCAGGAGGTCACCTGTTCTATTCCAGGTCAGGGTACATGCCCGGGTTGCGGGTTCAATCCCTAGTGGGGGTGGGGAGGGTGCAGAAGACAGCCTAACAATGATTCTCTCTCATTATTGATGTTTCTATCTCTCCCTCTCATTTCCTCTCTGAAATCAATAAAAACTATTTTTAAAAATTTAAATTGCAACCCCTGCCCACCACTCTCTATTCTCCTTATTCTGCTCTATTTTTCTTCATCGCACTTGTCACTTCTGATGGATTTATTTACATTATCTGTCTCTTCTTCACTAGAATGTGAACTCCAGGGGATCAGGAATATTAGTTAATTGTTTTGTTAACTGTTTTTAACTGGTAAATATTCCTATCACCTTAAATGCTATCTGACATACAGTAGGTGCTCACTAAATCTTTGTTGAATACCTGAATTTCTGTATGTCTATGTATTTTGGTGGAGGGCAGTCAAGCCCTTGTCTGAAGAAGATGATACCTGAAGCTGTGGGAGCAGATGAACGTCCAGAAGAACATGGACATACCGGCAAAGGAGCCCCCCAAATCAACTCCCATATTCATATTGGTGAGTTTCTCCTTCATCTGCCTGGTCAACAGAGGCACCTGAGGTTGTCCTGGACTCTTCACCCCCACATCTCATCCTCCCGACAAGTTCTGTATTGTCCACTCTGCACTCCCACAGCCATTCTCTCCCCCAGCCTGGGTGCCCCATTGTTTCCCACATTACAGTTTTTTAAAAATATATATATATATATATTATTGATTTTTTACAGAGAGGAAGGGAGAGGGATAGAGAGCTAGAAACATCGATGAGAGAAACATCGATCAGCTGCCTCCTGCACCCCCCCCCCCCCCCCCCCACACACACACTGGGGATGTGCCTGCAACCAAGGTACATGTCCTTGACGGGAATGAACCTGGGACCCTTGAGTTCACAGGCCGACTCTATCCACTGAGCCAAACCGGTTAGGTCCCCACATTACAGTCTTAATGGTTTTTCTAAAACAAAATTTTGACGGTAACTTTTTCTTAATTAAATTTGGTCAGAATCTTTCAGTAGGTTCCCTGCTGCCCTTGGGGCCAAGGCCCAGCTCCCAGGGGCCCTTTGTGCACTCGGGCGGGCCTCCCTCTCTAAACGCTTCCCTGGCCACTCCCTCCGCCTATGGGCCCCAAGGCATAGGATCCCTCACACCTCGGGCCTCTGCTCAGGACCCAAAAGAAGGGACTTTATGCGGGAAGCCTTTCCTGCTGACTGCACTGCCTCATCCGGTCTCCCTGAACTTAACCTCCCGCACACTCACTGGTGAACTGGTTGGCAGCCTGTCACCCGCGTGGCTGGGCACGACTTTAGGAAGTACTGTCATCGCAAGGCATCCGTGTGGGTCACTGCTGCGTCAGGAATAAGAGACAGCGAGGTGAGCTGCAGGGAGGCAGGAAGGGGGCCGGGAGCTAGTCCTAGAGGCCACGGGGTGACAGTGTGAAGGGTGTCCCGCTGCGTCAGGTCAGCGAGGCCCGAACCACCCTGGGAGGAGGGGCCTGGGTCCCGAGCGGTGCCAGCTGCCCTCGCCTCTGCGGAGGGCGCCGAGCTCTCCGTGCGCACACCCGGCGGGGTTGCCGGGTAGGACGCCGTCGGCTGCCTCCCCGAGAGGACTTCCTCTCCGGCCTGCTGCAGGGAAACGGAAGAGGCAGGACGCCCACCACGCGGAGGAGCCCGCGGTCCCGGGTCCGCAGCCGGGCAGGGGAGCCGGCGTCCTTCCTGCGCAGGCGCGGCTCCCGGGCCGGGAGGGCGGGGCCCAGGCGCTGAGGGGCGGGGCCAGACCCCGGGCCCGCCTCCACGAGCTCGCGGGAGCCTCGGAGCGCTGGGCACCCCGACTGTTTTAGGGGCTTCAGGTGAGCGGGGGACGCAGAGGGGTCAGGAAAGCTCCCTCGAGGTCGGGCCATCGGTCTGATCGCGGGTCCATCCGTCCTGCCGTCTGCCAACAGCCGCCTCCGCGGAGAATGGGGGAACAAAGGGAGGGGGCGGTTCTGCAAACCCCGGAGGGAATCCAGGGTCCCAGGTGCTCTGCCCCGCCCGCTGACACTTTCGGTTTCTCCCCGAGTCAGAGGCGCCGCCCGAGAGACCCTGGGCGGGCGCCGGGCGCAGCCGCCTCTCCGCGTTTGCCTGTGCGTCTTTGTGTCTGTCTGTGTCTGTCAGGCTGTCCCCGAGCTTGGCTCCACTTCTAGAACCAAGCTTCCGGCAGAGCGACAACCCGCGGACCTCATCCCTTCCCTATGGCAGGTAGGTGGGCCCAGGGCGAGGGTCTCCGTTATCCCTCCCCCCCCACTTGGGAGCCGGGTGTCGGACGCACCCTCCCGGAATGTGCTCGGACTGGCTGGGTGGGCCCCTCCCTTCCTCTCCGGAGCCGCCGCCCTGCTCCCCAACCCCATCTTTTTCAGTCTCTTCTCACCACGTTTCCCCCGCAGCCTCGAGGTCCCCCAAGGGCTAAGGGGCAAGAGGAGGAGGTCGCAAGTCTCTCTAATGGACCCCTGCCCCCCTACAGGATACTTGCCCCCCGCAGGCTACGCCCCTTCGCCCCCTCCTCCCTACCCGGTGACCGCTGGGTACCCGGAGCAGGTGCAGCATCCCGGGCCTGGACCGGCGCCGGTGCCCGCCCACGTGCCTGTCCCCGCGCCCGGCTTCGCTCTCTTCCCCTCGCCCGGCCCCAGTGCCCTGGGCCCTGCGGCCGGGCCAGCCGCCCCTCTCTTGCCGCTGCCCGGGGTGCCTTCTGGCCTCGAATTCTTGGTGCCGGTGAGTGGGAGATGGAGAGGGAGCAGCGCCAGGGCGGGGCCCCGGCGCTCGGGGCTGCGCGCTGAGCGGGGCGCGACCCCGCTGTCTTTCCAGATTGACCAGATCCTGGTTCACCAGAGGGCTGGGCGCGTGGAAAGTGAGTGGAAGGACGAGTAGGTCGGGCCTGGTGACGGGCAGAGAGTGGGCTCCTGGGCAGGCGCGGGTGCCTGAGCCCCCGTGTCACCCTTTGGCAGCGCGCCTAGGCTGGGAGACAAGTAACCGGTATGAACTGCGCTCGGGGGCTGGGCAGCCCCTGGGTCAGGCGGCCGAGGAAAGCAACTGCTGTGCCCGTCTGTGCTGCGGCGCCCGCCGGCCCCTTCGTGTCCGTCTGGTGGACCCCGGGGACCGAGAAGTGCTGCGCCTGCTCCGCCCCCTCCACTGTGGCTGCAGCTGCTGCCCGTGTGGCCTCCAGGAGGTGGGCGGGAGGGATGGGTCCCGGAGAGGTGGGAGGGGGACAGGAGGTCATGCCATGCGGAGGATCAGTGATGGAGCATCACCAGCATGAGGCCTGGGAGTGGACGGGTGGGACTGGAGGTCTGCGAAAGGGGATGGGAGGTCTTTGAGGGGAGACCAGTGATAGAGCTGGAGGGGTGAGACCCTGTCTACCTCCCTCTCCAGATGGAAGTGCAGTCGCCACCAGGCACCACCATTGGCCATGTGCTGCAGACCTGGCATCCCTTCCTCCCCAAGTTCTCCATTCAGGACGCCGACCGCCACACCATCCTGCGAGTGGTGGGGCCCTGCTGGACCTGCGGCTGTGGCTCCGACACCAACTTTGAGGTATCAAGAGTAAGGGGCGGTTCCTGGGACCTTCACACACCAAGATGGCAGCTTCCAGGAGGCAGGATGGCCAACGCTAAAGTCAAGACACAGCTCATGGATCCAAACTCACTGTGACTCCTGCCACACTTCCAGTGTTCCTCCCTGTAGAAATAGGATGGCTCCCTGGTCTTATAAACGCATGAAAAGTGGGTTTCATCTTGAGGGCCAATGCTTATTGTTCCCTACAGCCATATTGAGAAGGAGAACTAGCCACGGCCAGGCTGGATTTAGAATGGAGAAGGACCCATGTGACGGTTGTGCCTGAGTTTGTGAGCTCAGACGCTGAAGCAAGTAGTAATTTAACTTATTAACCCCCTGTGGCTTGCCTTGCCGATCTTGAAGTCCAGTGGCCTCTCCAGCCTGGAATTCGGGTGAGACCCTTCTTACCATGCATTCCTGTCACCACCTGGACCCTGGAGAATCCAAGTGGTGGCAGTTTCAGCATGAGGCTGGGGAAGCACCTTTGCTTGTAGAAGACAAAGGCACTTTACAGACCCTTGACTTTTTTTTTTTTTTTTTTTAATATATTTTATTGATTTTTTACAGAGAGGAATGGAGAGGGATAGAGAGCTAGAAACATCAATGAGAGAGAAACATCGACCAGCTGCCTCCTGCACACCCCCCACTGGGGACGTGCCCACAACCAAGGTACATGCCCTTGACTGGAATCGAACCTGGGACCCTTCAGTCCGCAGGCCGATGCTCTATCCACTGAGCCAGACCAGTCAGGGCCCTTGACTTTTTTTTAAGTTTTATAATTGATTTTTAGAGAGAGGGAGGGAGAGAGAGTGAAAAAGAAACATTGATGTAAGCGCAAAACATCAATCCACTGCCTCCTGAACATTCTTACAGGGACTGAGTCCACAACCTGGGCATGTGCCCCAACCAGCAACCTTTCAGTGCAGGGGACAATACCCAACCAACTGAGCCACACTGGCCAGGGCCAGATCCTTGAATTCTTTAAGGGATAATTACCTGTGCAGATAAGGAAGAAACAGTAGGTTATAATCCAGTAGACTTTCCAAGCCATCTGATGAGGTGTCCTCCCTAAGGTTACTTTTAAAAATTGAGTCACCTTAGCAGCTGAGGGAAGATTCCATGATAGGAACTGGTTGGGAACAACATAACTTGGTCACTTCTGGGTGGGAATGTGTAGACTGTGGGGTTCTCGTAGGGCCAGTCTCCCTCTTACATAATTATGAATGGTCCATGTTTGGGGCTGTACTCTTGGGACCACACAGTTGGCTGTGAGAGAACCTGCCCAGTGTGGGACTGATCATCAGGAAGTGCCCCAGAGGGGTAGGCCAGTGAGGGAAGGGGATGGGAAGGACATAGGAAATCGTGATAGTTCTAGTCACTGGAGAATGAGCACAGGAAAAGGACCAGGGAGTCGCTGTGAATTACCATCTACATCAGCAGGACCTATTGCCGCTGGGCTCAGAGGGTCTAGTGGAAAGCATGGTCCTCAGAGGCTGCCCTCTCTAGCTGAGGCTGCAGTGCTGGACAGGGCCCTCCCTACTTTGCAAAGGAAAGGCAGCCCTTGGGGCAGACACAGTCTTCTAGGCGCCTGGTTGGCTGACAGGGTGCAGTCAGAATTTTAGCAGCCTCCCTTGCCCTCTTGGTCAAGCTTCTTGGTGTAGGGCAGTGGTCGGCAAACTCATTAGTCAACAGAGCCAAATATCAACAGTACAACGATTGAAATTTCTTTTGAGAGCCAATTTTTTTAACTTAAACCATATAGGTAGGTACATTGTTATTAACTTAATTAGGGTACTCCTAAGCTGGCCTTTGCTAAAAACGTCCTCAATCTGATTGAGGTACGTTCGCTGAGGTCGACCCCTTCCAACTCTCCCATCCACACTCGTCTTGTATACTTGTTTCTTATACAAGTACGGTTTCCGAAAACCGACTTCTGCGCATGGGCCACGAAGTTTCAATCGCACTGTACGTGCATGCCCGCATGTGGTATTTTGTGGAAGAGCCACACTCAAGGGGCCAAAGAGCCACATGTGGCTGGAGAGCTGTGGTTTGCCAACCACTGGTGTAGGGCACAAACTGTGCTAAATGTGGGTGGCAGGGACTTTGGTAATAAAAACAAACCTAACAACCAGCCATACATACACTACGGAGACTGGACTCTGTTATGCTTCCGCTTCTCTCACCACTGATGTTCCATTGACACGTATGGTCCTTCGAGAGAAACACAGCCAAGTCTGAATCCTGATTTTTGCTGTGTATTTCCAGTGTGACTTATGGTGACTCGGTTTCCCCAGAAGTCACATGGAAACCCAAGGCTGTGAGGATTCATTAAGCGTAGAGCCGCACAGTTCATACAGGTGCCTGCGGGAGTAGGACTGAAGACAGGCGAGAGCAGTTGCATCCACCCTAGTTGGGTCTTTTCTTCTTGCCTCTCTCCCTCCTGACAGGTGAAGACCCCCGATGAGTCCCGCAGTGTGGGCCGCATCAGCAAGCAGTGGGGCGGGCTGCTCCAGGAAGCCCTCACAGACGCGGACGACTTTGGCCTGCAGTTCCCGCTGGATCTGGATGTGAGAGTGAAGGCCGTGCTGCTGGGAGCCACGTTCCTCATTGTGAGTTGGCTGCCCCGCCTTTGCTCCCACTGGAGGCTTGCACTTCCTGGCCTCCTGCTAGGAAAGCGTTAGGAACAGACTTTATGGGGGGGGGGGGTGTTGCAGTTCTAGACCTGGGTGGTGACCGCTGAGCCAGGCCGGCCCAGCCGCATCTCCTGTTGACAGTCCCCTCCCCTCAGGACTACATGTTCTTCGAGAAGCGAGGAGGCACTGGGCCCTCTGCCATCACCAGTTAGACGGCATCTCAGGGTGAGGACCATCACCTCAGCCAGAACTCAAGATGGTCACCTGGCCTGGCCCGGCCCCTCTTCAGAGGCAGCCCCTTTCCTCCATGTTTACTGCAGCGGACAGACAGGGATGCCTAAGAGGCTGGGGCCATGGTGCCCCATCCCTACCCTACTCCCCTGGCCTCCTTCACCTGTGGCCCCCACAGAAGGGTATGTATGAGAGCCCTTCCCCTGCTACCTCTCACCGCTGTCTCCGGCCATCCCTCAGCACACAGGCGTATCGGCTTTCAGACTTGCCCTACTCACTTCCTCTCACCCCCTTCCAGGGCCTCTGCTCTGCTCTGCTCTGGATGGGGCCTTGGGAATCCAGAGCCCTGGGGTTTTACAACAGAGCTGGGGTGGGGAAGGGTAAACCGCACCAAAGATGGCTGATATGCCACCCACCTCTGCCTCAGCTTGACCAATTAGTTCAGCCTCAGAACGTGGCACTCAGAGGGGATCCCTACTTCCCCAGCAACGGCTCTAGGGCCTCGGCCCAGTGCCAACGTCCTCTCCCCCTGGGCCCTCCCCACAGCTGGTGCTTGCTGCAGCTCCGTGTGCCTTAACCAACCACCCCTTCCTTCCCTGTTCCTATAAAGGAGGCTGCATCTTTGTATGTTATATTCATATAAACTTTGTAACGTTTTGGACATTGGAAGATCTATGTCATGGGAGAGGGCAGAAGAAAGAGTTGGTATGGGGAGAAACAAAGGGAAATATGGCAGCTGGGCCGGGTGGGGCTGGCCCGTCTCGTCTCGTCTCGTAATCCATGCTGCCAGGATCAAGTGTCCTTGCATCCTAGACAGCAACTTTCTTCACCCATGATGGCTGCGGCCCCGGCCCCGGCAGTTTGGGCCACGTGCCCCAAGTCAGTACGGCTGCTCCCATCATCCGAGATGGCTGTGCCCCGGAGCTCAGTGTGGAGCTGAAGGCAGCTCAGGATGGCTGTTCCCAGGGTTCAGTGTGTCCGCTTGGGCATTCTCTGTAGCAAGGACAAGCTTCCTATGGGGATGGCGGGTAGCAGCTCTGTTCCTCCAAGTCCTCCTCCTGGTTGGCAATGTGGTGAGCAAGGGTGGACTAGATCCTTCCGTGGCCCAGCCAAGGGAGCTTGAGCCTTCAGAGGCCAAGAGGCAGGGTCGGAGACACGCGTCAGTGCCCAACCTTGGACTCCTGGACCTGCCTATGGCAGGCTCTCTTCAGATGAGAACATACACCCTTTCAGGACCTTGTTCTGCTCTGCTCGCCCCCACAGGGTCAGCTCCTTGGTGCATCTGGTGTCCATGTCTAAAGGAGCAGAGCTAGGGCCGAGCCAGGACATAGCGACTGGCCGCTGAGAGGTCCCAGTGGTAATGCTCCAAGATGTGCCGGCAGTCGGCTCTGGACCGGCTGCTCAGGTGGAAGAGCTGGTCTACCTGTGGAAGCAGGAGGGAGGGCAGCTGAGTGCCAGAGGGCAGGGGCAGGAGAGGTGGGAGCCCAAGAGAAGGGTCTGCCTTTACCTTAAGGTTCTGGATGGCAGAAACCACATCTCCTCCAGTGGCTCTCAGTGCCGCCTGGCACTCCTGGTGGGTGACTCCATGTACGCTCAGCTCCACCTTAGGGGACAAAGCCTCACTTAGGCTCTCACCCCGGCCTGCAGCCCCTTCTGGACACCAGCCACTTCGGGGACACCTCACCTCCATAACCCTCTTCTGCAAATCGGGGTCGGGCAAGAGACCTCCGGAGAGAACAGCGGCTTTGCTGGCTCCAGGTGCTCCCAAGGGGTGACTGTGCAGGGGTTCTCTTTTGGGCCAGGGAGGCCGCTCCCTGGGGGGCTGGTTGGACTGAGAAGAGCCGGAGGCAAAGGGAGGGCGGGGTGGCAGGCCTGGGGGCCCCTGGGGGACATCTCTGGCTTTTCGAACTTCAGGGGGGCTCAAACCACCTCCTGTGGGGCAGGGGCCCAGGGACAGAACAGATTCCAGACTCTTGGAAATGCCTGCACAGCGAGAAAAAACATCTTGAGAGGAAGCCTGGGTGCAGGGCCCTGCCTTCGTCCCACTCTGTCTGCTCGTGCTGTCCTCGGGTGGTCCTTGTGTGAGGTGGGACAATAAGACAGCTGCCAGGCCTGGGCAGCTACGCCCCCAAAGAACGGACAGCGCAGGCGCTGCAGGTGGAGATGCTGGGCAGTGCCCAAGGCAGATTTAAAGGGCAGCTGGGATGTCAACAGGCAGAAGGAAGTGGTGGAAGAAGAAGTCATATGTGGGGAAGTCATATGTCAAAGGCATGGATCCAGAGCAGGGGGCAGAGCTGAGGGCTGTTCTTGATCCCAGAGACCCTGGGGACCTGCCCTTCCCCCACACTCACCCTTTCTCCTCTGCAGGGGCACGTTCCTTCTCTGACCCTGAGCCGGAGGTGGCTCCCGAAGCTTTGCCTTGGCTCTGGCCCTGCTGAGAGTGACCCAGTTCGTTTTCTACCCCAGCCCCACCCGACATCAGTGTCTCCTCCCAGAATCTCTGGGGCTCCCCTTCTGAGACCCAGAGTGAAGCTTCTAAAAGGCACGTCCAGCTCCCAGCTTGACCCCGGCCCCTCCCCAAGCTTCCCTTGCAGAGCAGTTGCTGAACTTGGTCGGTTCCCCAGCCCAGCTCTGTCCCCACTCTTTCAGGTCCTTACCCGTCCACGCTTCCCCGTCTCTGCTCTCCCCAGGCAGGGGAGCCTCTGTGGACTGGACAGGTTGCCGGCGAGCCCTTCAGGTCCGTCAGCGTCACTGCCGAGGCTGGGAAACTGCCCACTTTTAATGTGCGACCATTCTGGCCCTTCCAGGTTGTGGAGCTGGGGCTACGGAAAGAGGGTGAAAACAAGGGGGGAGTGGAGGCTGGGCCCCCACATGCGTTCAGCTCACGAGCTGTGTGCCGTGGAGCTGCATCTGCCTGGAGGAAGGAAAGCCTTTTTCTCCCCAGCACAAAAGGGCTCTGTGGGCATGCTCCAGCCAGGAGGCCAGGACTGGAGCTCTCAGGGAATGAAGCAGAGGGTTAGGGTTGGAGGAGCTGCGGAGGAAGCAGAAAAGCAACCAGGGTCAGGCATGTTGGGAGGGAGTCCTCCTGGGGATTCGTAGGAAACAGGAGGCACTCACCTGCCCTCGATGATAGTGATGGGATCACCACACTCCATCCTCAGGGCACCTGGCTCTGAGACGTCCCTCACACAGCGCCCCTCAGGAGGCCAGGCCTGTAGAAACAGGGGGAAGGGGTGGCTGTGCTGTGGCCTGAGTGAGAGGGTACCATGGAGCAGGGCAGAAAGAGACTCCTCTTAGTTTATGCACCCACCAATCCAACCCATTCCAGGTATGTCCTCTGTTCTGGGCCCAGGATGGGACTGTCCCTCCCTGTCCCCCAATTGTAGTCCAGTGGAGGAGGCAGACCTGGATTCCATGCCAAGCTGGACACAGCCCAGGGGCCAGGGAGCAAGAGGAGGGGGGTCTGTCTCTAGCTAGGGAGATCACGGGGGCGGCATCCTGCATCCTGCTTTTACTCCACACCCGGGCCCATCACATCCACCTCCAAGCACCTCTGGAAAGTTCCTGTTTCTTTCCAGCTCCAGTGTCTCAACCCTCACCCAGACCTCTTCACATCACTTCTGCTTCACAGCTATTGTCTCCTATCTGGGCTTCCCATCTTCAGTGTCACCCCTCTAATCCTTTCCTGCACCCACCAAGCCAGAGTGATACAATATGTGAAGTCTTGTTCCTTCCCTGCTTAAAATTCTTTCATGGCTTCCAAGTACCCTTAAAGACTAAATTCCTTTAACACGTCCAGTCAAAATGGCAGCGTAGGTAAATGTGACACACATCCTTCCACAACCACATAAAAAATACAACTAAACTACATAACAACCATCATTCAGAACTGCCTGAAATCTAGCTGAATGGAAGTCCTACAACTAAGGATATAAAGAAGAAGCCACATCGAGACTGGTAGGAGGAGTGGATATGAAGAATAAGCAGGTCTGATACCCTCGTATGGCAGATAAAATTTGGGAGGGATATCTTGGCTGCAGAGGTCCTCCCCTGAGTAGTGAGGGGTCCCAGCCCCACTCCTGGTCCCCCACTCCAGGCTTGTAGTACTGGGAAGAGAAGTCTCCATAGCTGTGGCTGTGAAAACCAGTGGGGATTGTGGCCGAGTGAGTTGGGGGACTTATGGAGTCACAGGAAGTTCCTCTTAAAGGTACCAAGCACAGACTTACTTGGATTCACTCCCTCTGAATTCCAGCACTGGGGCAGGAGCTCAAAAGGCACCAGGGACATATGGGGAGGAATGGAAGTGTCTGGGATCAGGGCAAGAGCTGGAGGGGCAGCTTTCAGACAGAAGAGCAGGCAGAGGCCATATTCCTTTTCTGAGCCCTTCCCCCACAGAGCTGGCAGGAGGGTACCATATCTAAGTTTCCATCAACCTGGCTATCACTGTTTTCCAAGTCCTGGTGATTCCCTGAGACCTTGCCCCACCAACTTTCAGGCCCACCCAAGTTGTTTCCAATGGCTTTTCCATATGAATGACCTGTCTTGGCTCATGCTTCAGACATTCCCAAAATCTCTCAAACAAGCAGCATCTGGCTTCGGCATGCCCCATACCTCTTTCTAAGTGGCCCCAGGCCCCATACTAGTGGCAGCTGTCCTTGGCTTGCAGCTTGGCCTCTCCTGGACACCTCCAAGCTGAGCACAAGTAGCGGTCATGTGCAGATTGCTTTGTAGCTCATGCCAGGTGACCTGGGCAGAACACAGGTGGCTGTTGATCTTTGCCTGCACCTGCAGGAGGCTCCAGAGCCAGTGCACCCAGTGAACAGCTTCAGACCCACAAGCAACACACGTAAGGAGCGAACTCAGCAGGCACCAGAGCCTTGCTGAAGTAAGTCCTACTTTGTGGGATGGGCCCCTGCACAGCTGACCCTCCATGGTGGTCGCAGGCAGCCCTTGCAGCCAGTTGGCCTGGGTAAATCCCTCCAACAGCAATCAGCAAACAGGAGGGTGCACACAGCCCACAGGAAGGGGTGGGCACACCTGGAGTGCTGAGGTCGTGTGAAGGGGAGCCTGTGCCTCTGACCCTGTGGAACACATACTACATTAGGCCTCTACCAAGCCTGGGAGGCAAAGCAGCTCAACCTAATACATAGAAACAAACACAGGGAGGCTGCCAAAATGAGGAGACAAAGAAACACGTCCCAAAGGAAAGAACAGAACAGAACTCCAGAAAAAGAACCAACCAAAATGGAGATAAGCAAGCTGCTAGAAGCAGTTCAAAGCAGTGGTGATAAGGATGCTCAACGAACTTAGGGGAAGAGCACGTGAACTTAGCAAGAACTTCAACAGCATTAAAAAAAGGACATGAGGCCCTAGCCGGTTTGGCTCAGTGGATAGAGTGTCAGCCTGCGGACTGAAGGGTCCCAGGTTCGATTCTGGTCAAGAGCACAGGCCCGGGTTGTGGGCATGATCCCATTGTGGGGCATGCAGGAGGCAGCTGGTCAATGATTCTCTCTCATCATTGATGTTTCTATCTCTCTCTCCCTCGCCCTTCCTCTCTAAAATCAATAAAAACATATTTAAAAAAAGAACATGAGGCCCAGCCAGTGTGGCTCAGTTAATTGAGCCTTGTCCCATGCACCAGGAGGTTGCTAATTCGATTCCTAGGTTGCGGGGGCCCTGCAGGAGTCAGCCAATCAATGTTTCTCTCTCATTTATATTTCTCTCTCTCTCTCCCTTCCTCTCTGAAATCAATAAAAACATTTTTTTTTTTTAAAAAAAAGGCATAGAAACTGTAAAAAGAATCAGTCAGAAATGAAGGATACCCTAATTGAAATGAAGAAGAACTTACAGGAAGTCAATAGTAAAGTAGATGAAGCTGAGAATCAAAACAGCGATTTGTAATATAAGGAAGCAAAAAACTCCCAATCCGAACAGCAAAAAGAAAGAAAATCCAAAAAATTGAGGCTAGGGTAAGGAACCTCTGGAACAACTTCAAGTGTTCCAACGTTTGCATCCTGGGGGTGCCAGAAATTGAAAACCTATTTGAACCAAGATGGCGGCATAGGTTAACGCCGGAGTTTGCTGCTTTGAACAACTACTTCAAAAGTGAAACCAAAAAACGGAAGGGACATCACCCAGAACCACAGGAACGCTGGCTGAGTGGAAGTCCTACAACTAGGAGGAAAGAGAAACGCATATGGACACTCAGAGGAGGCGCAGTGCTGAAGTCAAATTCTGAGGTGCGGAGTGCGCGGAGCGGGCTGGCGGCGGAGGGCGCGGTTGGCGTTTTCAATCGGGAGGGAGTCGCAGACTCTGAGCTCCAGATCCGGGCGAGTCTTTAGGGTCCCAGACTCAAACGGGAGAAGCGGGACTGTCTGGCTTCGGTCAGAGCGAGTGCAGCTTTCTCTCTGAGCTTTGCAGCGGGTGCTGGGACTCAGAGAGGCAGAGCCCCTGGGGACAGGACTGAGAGCCGCCATAACTGCTCTCTTTGGCCCACCCTGTTGATCCTGTGCGACCCGCCCCGCCCAAGCCCTGCACACAGGCATTTGCCGGATAGCCTCAGGCAAACGCCAGATTAGCACCTCCCTAGAGGACAGAAGTTCTCTCACTGCTGACACAGCTGATTCTCATAGCCACTTGGCCTGGAGGTCAAACCCTCCCTGGAATTAGCTACAACAATCAAGATTTAACTATAAGACTGCGAACAAAGACCACTAGGGGGTGCACCAAGGAAGCATAACAAAATGCGGAGACAAAGAAACAGGACAAAATTGTCAATGGAAGATATAGAGTTCAGAACCACACTTTTAAGGTCTCTCAAGAACTGTTTAGAAGCCGCCGATAAACTTAATGAGATCTACAAGAAAACTAATGAGACCCTCGATCTTATATTGGGGAACCAACTAGAAATTAAGCATACACGGACTGAAATAACGAATATTATACAGACTCCCGACAGCAGACCAGAGGAGCGCAAGAATCAAGTCAATGATTTGAAATGCGAGGAAGCAAAAAACACCCAACCGGAAAAGCAAAATGAAAAAAGAATCCAAAAATGCGAGGATAGTGTAAGGAGCCTCTGGGACAGCTTCAAGCGTACCAACATCAGAATTATAGGGGTGCCAGAAGATGAGAGAGAGCAAGATATTGAAAACCTATTTGAAGAAATAATGACAGAAAACTTCCCCCACCTGGTGAAAGAAATGGACTTACAGGTCCAAGAAGCGCGGAGAACCCCTAACAAAAGGAATCCAAAGAGGACCACACCAAGACACATCATAATTAAAATGCCAAGAGCAAAAGATAAAGAGAGAATCTTAAAAACAGCAAGAGAAAGAAACTCAGTTACCTACAAGGGAATACCCATACGACTGTCAGCTGATTTCTCAACAGAAACTTTGCAGGCCAGAAGGGAGTGGCAAGAAATATTCAAAGTGATGAATACCAAGAACCTACAACCAAGATTACTTTATCCAGCAAAGCTATCATTCAGAATTGAAGGTCAGATAAAGAGCTTCACAGATAAGGAAAAGCTAAAGGAGTTCATCACCACCAAACCAGGATTATATGAAATGCTGAAAGGTATCCTTTAAGAAGGGGAAGAGGAAGAAAAAGGTAAAGATACAAATTATGAACAACAAATATGCATCTATCAACAAGTGAATCTAAGAATCAAGTGAATAAATAATCTGATGAACAGAATGAACTGTAGATTATAATAGAATCAGGGACATAGAAAGGGAATGGACTGACTATTCCTGGGGGGGAAAGGGGTGTGGGAGATGCGGGAAGAGACTGGACAAAAATCGTGCACCTATGGATGAGGACAGTGGGTGGGGAGTGAGGGCGGAGGGTGGGGCGGGCACTGGGAGGAGGGGAGTTATGGGGGGAAAAAAAAGAGGAACAAATGTAATAATCTGAACAATAAAGATTTAATTAAAAAAAAAATAATAATAATGATGGTGGGCTCAGGTGGTTAGAGCATCGTCCCACACACCAAAAGGTTGCAGGTCCCACTCCTAGTCAGGGTACAAAGATCCCCAGTTGGGGCACATACAGGAGGCAACTGATCAATGTTTCTCTCACACATCAGTGTTTCTCTCTCCCCTCCTCTCCCTTCATCTCTCTCTAAAAAAATCAAAAATAAAAAAATCAATGGGAAATATCCTCAGGTGAGGATTAAATATAATAATAATTGTTCTGGCTGGTGTGTGTCAGTTAGTCGGGCATTGTCTTATGCAGGGAGAGGTTGCTGATTGGATTCCTGGTCAAGGCATATGCCTGGGTTGGGGGCTCAATCCCCAATAGGGGCATGCAGGAGGCAGCTGTTGGATATTCCGCTCTTGCATCAATGTTTCTCACTTCTCCCTTCCTCTCTCTAAACATCACTAAACTATTCTTGAAAAGGAACTTAATCAATAAATAAATTTAAAAAATAAAATAATCCCTGAGGGGGCAGCAGTGCCTCCATCGAGTAGCCACTACACTTAACCCAGGTGCATAAGGTTCACAGCAGAATCCTGGAATCATACTATGACAAAAATAGAACAGTGTCTGTCTTTGGATTTTGTGATTTTTCCTTTTTTGTGTTTTTCTGCAGTTCCACAGTGTGAACATTATTCAAATATTAAATACTTTAAAATAAATAAATAAATAAATAAATAAATAAATAAATAAATAAACAAAAATAAAATAAAATAATGATGAAAAGCTTCCCTAACCTGGTGAAGGAAATGGAATACAAGTTCAGGAAGTGCAGAGAGTCCCCAGTAAGAGGCCCAAACCAAGATACATCATAATTAAAATGCAAAAGGTTGTCCTGGCTGGTGTTCTCAGTGGTTAGAGCATCAGTCTGCACACCAAAGGGTCTTGGGTTTGATTCCCAGTCAAGGAAACATATTTGGGTTTCATATTTGATCCCCTGCCCTAGTTGGGACATGTGCGGGAAGCAATCAATCGATGTATCTCTCTCACATCAATGTTTCTCTCTCATCCCCTCTACCTCCCTCCATCCCTTCCACTCTCTTTAAAAATCAATGGAAAAAATATTCTAGGGTGAGGATTAACAAAAATAATAATAAAATGCAAAAAGTTAAAGACAAAGAGAAAAATATTAAAAGCAGCAAAAGAAAAGCAGTTAGGCCTGGCCAGCATGGCTCAGTGCTTGAGCATTGACCTATGTACCAGGAGGTCATGGTTCGATTCCTGGTCAGGGCACATGCCTGGGTTACAGGTTTGATGCCCAGTGGGGAGCGTGCAGGAGGCAGCCAATCAATGATTCTCTCTCATCATTGATGTTTCTATCTCTCTCTCCCTCTCCCTGCCTCTCTGAAATCAATAAAAAAATATATATATTTTTTTTAATAAAGAGAGAGAGAGAAAAGCAATTAGTTACCTACAAGGGAGCTCCCATAAGACTGTCAGCTGATTTCTTAACAGAAACTTTACAGGCCAGAAGGGATTAGCAAGAAATATTCCAAGTAATGAAAACCAAGGATCTATAACCAAGATTATCCAACAGAGCTACGTTTAGAATAGAAGGACAGATAAAGAGCTTCTCAGACAAGGAAAAACTAAAGGAGTTCATCACCAACAAGCCAGTATTAGATGAAATGTTAAAGGGAGAAGAAGGAGAAGGTGAGGAGAAGGAAAGGAAAAAAAAGATTAAAAATACGAACAGTAAAATGGCATTAAATACATATCTATCAACAATTGAATCTAAAAACAAAATAAAGAGACAAGCACAACAGAAACAGCCCTGGCTGGTGTGGCTCAGTTGGTTGGCATCAGTCTGTGCACGGAAAGGTTGCTGGTTCGATTCCTGGTCAGGGCACATGCAAGAGTTTGGAGTTCAGGCTCAATTCCCAGTAGGGGGCATGCAGGAGGCAGCCAATTGATATTCCGTTCTCACATAAATCTCTCATGGATAGCAGCAGAACAGTCATGGGGGTGTAAAGCAGGGAATATGGTCAATATTATTCTAATGATTATGTGTAGAATCAGATGGGTACAAGATTTATCGGGATGATCGCTTAGTAAGTTATATTGTCTAATCACTGGGCTATACACCTGAAACGAATATAATATTGTATGTCAACTGTAATTGAAAAATAAAAAGTGATTTCAAAAATGTTTTCAAAAGAATACCGGAAATAGTATAGTCATTTAGGGAATAGCCCTGAAGTCAGAGAGACTGGTTCAGATCCCAACTCCTCCGCTTACGTGTACCTTTAGGCAAGTCACCTAAACTGGCAGTGCCTGAACTGCCCAGTCTGTAAAATCAAGGTAACAATGATCTTGTTGGGTTTCTGTGAGGATTAAATGAGTGAACATGCATAAGGATACATGTAAGGCACTCAGTACAGCATCTTACACAGGTCAAGTGCTCCATAGGTCAGCTCTGGTTGTTTACCAAGCCTTACAGATCCTCCCGTGGGGCAGCGTGCACCCGGGCCTTCCCCTTCCACGCTGAAACTTTCCTCGAAAACGCCCACTGCAACCTACGGCTCTCGGCTCTGAGCTCCCCCTTCTCTTGGCCTTCAGCCCTCCGCCCTTCAGCCTTCATCTATGTAGCACCAAGCTGCTCCCCAGGGCTCTTAGTGCCCTGCAGGTAGGGACTGCTCTGTTCAGAGCAAACAGGGGTCCCAGACCCCAGCCCAGGAGTCAGTATGGTTAGTCTTGAGCACGGAACCCTGGGAGAAAGAATGGAGGGAAGAGAGATGGGGGGATGCAAGGGTTCCCACCTCTTGGATCAGCCCCTCCAGGGAGGAGAAGCTGGGCCGATCAGCAGGGTGGAGGGCCCAGCAGCGCAAGGCGAGGGTGTAGAGGGCCCTGGAGCAGAGAGGAGGCCTAGGCAGCCGGGCTTGGTCCTTCTCCAGCCGCTGCAGGATGAGGTAGGGCGGGACCCAGGCCCAGGGCTCCTTGCCCCCAGAGAACATCTCCCACAGCGTCACGCCGAACATCCACACGTCCGAGGCAGAAGAGAAGGCCCCCTGGCGTAGGCTCTCTGGGGCACACCTGCGGAAGTGGAGCTGAAGGGGGCTGGATATGTGCCCTGGAGCTTCCACCTGCCACTGAGCATGCCCCCCAACCCCCACCCCCACCCCGTGCTCCCACTGTCCTCGGAAGTCCTCCTCCCCAAGCCCTTCCAGACCCACGGACTCCTCTGGGTCCAGCCTCCCTCAGAGGACCAGTTCCCTCCGCTGCTGCCCTCCAGACCCGCACCCTCCCGACTGGCCTCCGAGATAAACTGCGGGCGCACCCCTCACTCACCAGGCATAGGGGATGGGGCGGGGGCCGCCCATCACATAACGGCCCCGGGCGCCGCCCAGCGGCCGCACCAGCCCGAAGTCGGCCACCTTGATCGTGCAGGGCGAAGTCAGCAGCAAGTTGCGTGTAGCGAGGTCCCGGTGCACCAGCCCGCGGGCCCCCAGGTACGCCATGGCCCCTGCCAACTGCCGCAGGAAGAGGCAGAGCAGAGCCACGGGCAGCGGGGGTGCCGGGGCCGGCGCGGTCAGGCGCGCGTGCAGGGAGCCCAGCGGCGCCAGCTCCATCACCTGCGGAGCAGGGCGCCTCATGAGCGGAGGTCCGGCCCCACGGGGCTCTGGCCACCCACCCTCCGGTCTCACTTCAGCCCGGGGCTGTCCCGGGAGCCATCGTCAGGTCTGCTCACCATCTGCAGAGGCTGGCCCAGCACGAGCCCGTGCAGACGTAGCAAATGTGGGTGCTCCAGGTTCATCATGACCGACACCTCTCGAAGGAAGTCCCTCAGCTCCGTGCCCGCGGAGCCTTCGGCAGCCACCCGGAGGGACTTGACAGCCACTGGGACCTGGGGGTGTGGGAGAAGCACCATCAGGCACCGCAGGGAGAGCTACACCAGAGCCAGAGCCGAGAGGGCAGCAGAGCGAGGGGCAGCTGGCCCAGGCACCCAGAAGGAAGCAGGCCCCCCGAGGACTCACACTCTGACCGCTGGGCAGTGTCCACAGCCCGCGGTGCACCACACCAAAGCAGCCGGAGCCCAGCAGCTCCCCTCTGCACACAGCACCATCTGGGATCAGACACTTGAGTCCCCCCTCTGGCTCAGGGAGGGACGGAGGGTTGTCTGAAGGTGGGGTGGTCTCCTTCTGCTCAGGGGCAAACCCCCCAAGGATCTGAAACAGGGGTGGGAAATCAGGGGTGTGGAAGCCTGCAGAACCCTGCCACTCAGCACAGCCCATTCCCCAGCCCCTTAAACCTCCCGTCCCCGCCCCAAAACACACACCTTGTAGACCCAGTTCTTAGGCTTGTGCCCCAAACGGTGCCTCTTCAGAGCTTCAGCCAGTCTGCGCTGGGCTGGGGGAGACCAGAATGAAAGGGCTGGGTGGTATGGGGGGGGGGGGGGCATGATGCAAGGAATTTAAAGGTAAGAAGAGGGCTGGTGTGGGAGGGGCATTGGGGGTTGTAGCAACTAACAGGTTGGAGAGAGAGAGAGGAGGGCCTCGGGGCTAGGGGTCCCTCACCAGGCCGGCCCATGCCAATGCTGTCCAGATCCTCAGGTCTTACAAAGTCGAAGTGCTCTGGCCGGGTAACATTCAGCTCCTCGAGTATGGATCTGTAAAACTGGGCCAGCTGGGTGTCCCGGAGTAGCCTCAGCAGCCACGGGGCGCCCGCCTCCGGGAGCATGTCTGGAGAAGGAACTCAGGATGGTACGCTCTCCTTCAGACCCAGTGCCGGGGGTAGGCACCTCAGACACCCAGACACCAGGGATGTGGTCCCCAGCTCCACCCTCAACCATCAGAAACCCTCAGGTATAGAAGGAGGGACACATCAGAGACAGATGTCCTCCACTCACAAACACACCCCAGGAGGAATGCTCCCCATGCCTGAGACCGAGGCCTCTACCCCATCACTGAGAAACCTGCCTCCTCCACACCTGAGACCTCACCACTGCAGACTCCAGCTATGTTTCCCTGCTCACTCCCGAGATATGGCACAGTGCCCTGTACCCCTAGGACACCCAGACACACTGCCTTTTCAGACCGAGACACACCACTGCACACCCTCATACACACACCAGACATTTTGACCTACCACAGACATACCAGAGATGCCCAGATATGCTAACCACACCATACCTCAGAACCTCAAACATGTAGGCACACACACACATACACGTGTGCACATACACACAAAGGTACCCTGCCTCCCACACCCAGATACACACACACTCACACACATTCTAGCATGCTGCCATAAAACCCAGGCTTACTGTCACATACCCTCTCACATACATGTAGTTGAGACAGGGCCATTCCCTGCCCCCCTCGACATCGCCCCATAGCACCCAGGTCCACATAAACACACACAACATGCAAGGCATCAAGGTCCACTGTCCACAGACACCTGAGTTCTGCAGGCAGACTGCCCCTCCGCCCGGAGCGTTCAGGTCCCTGCCTCTCCTGCACAGGCGGCAGCAGCACCTGCAATCGCTCAGGCCTGGATCTAAGCTCGGACACTTCCTAGGCCACCTCCCCGGCAGCAGCACCTGCAATCGCTCAGGCCTGGATCTAAGCTCGGACACTTCCTAGGCCACCTCCCCGGCAGCAGCGAGCCCCGCGTGCGCACCTGAGTCACTCTTACTCAGCTTCGAGCAGCTCCGCCAGCCTTTAGGAACCAGGCTCCGGGCGCTCTGGGCGCGGGCTGCCAGCACAAACAAACTCCCCGCACACGCCTGCACCAACAAACTCTTCCTTTCAACGCACACACAGGTCAGCCGGGAGGAAGCGCGGGACCCCACGCTGGGACCTCGGGGGCGGGCTAGGGACGAGGCGCGAGCAAGGGCCCAGGGCGGGAAGGAGAAGGCCAGATCTCTCCATTCTCTCTCCCTCCGGGTCACCTGGCGGCCGGGACCGCTGGCCAGGTGAGAAGAGGAAAGCGCGAGAGAGGGGACAGGAGGGGAAAAGGACCGAGCAGGGGAGGGGGAGGCGGGCAGGCTCAGCGCCCCGCCAGCCCCAGCCCCGGGGGCCCAGGACCCTCACCTGGCAAAGGCGGAAGCGGCGGCTGCGCGGCCTCGGGAGCTGCCAGGACTAAATCCGAGAAGGGTGGGACCGGGGCCGCGCGGGGCGGGACCTGGCAGCGGGCCGGGCCAGGTGAGGCTGCGTGGGCGGCGGGCCCCTCCCCCCCGGGTCAGACCCAGAGCAACCTCCCTTCCCACGCCTGTGCTCGCCTCCCGCCTCTCCCCACCCTCCCAGCCTCCGTCCAGCCTTCCCCAAAGAACTCTTCACGCCTCCCCAGACTCTCCTTTGTCCTGTCCCTCACACCCTTTCTCGCCAATTCCTTCGCCCCTCTCATCCAGGGCCCGCCCCTTAGGTGAATAAGCACCTGACCGAGCGCACCGGCCCCAGCGCTGGGGAGATAAGGCTGAACCGGAAGTCGCCCCGGCCCTGGTAGGGAGAGACAGACCTTCCTGGCTCTCTCCTGGGGAAGGCTGGCAGCGCGGGGTGTTTGGGGATGAAGTTGGGGCAGAGAGGTGGTGCGGAAAGTCCCCAGTCTAAACTGAGTTCCAGACGGAAGACATCGTCCTTTTCCCAGCTCTGAAGTGTGAGGACCTTTGGGGTGCTCATGCGGGAAGTCGTGTATTGGGGTCGGGACAGAGCTTCTGAGTAGCTCCTCAGCCCTACCCCAGCTTGGTACCTGTTCTTGGTGATCAAAGCAGCATTCCCTACATCCGGGCACCCCTCCCCAGCCCCTGCGCCTCCTCGCCCCATTCTGGCATAACTTCCATCTCCCCATGTAACCTCTGCTGATCCTGGGGTCCTGTACACTGCTACTTGGCCTGTGGCTGTGGGGACACAGTCTGGGACCGTGATGAATGCTCTCTTCCTTTCCCTCGGGGCTTCTAGGGAAGCCACCAGTCTTAGGACATCTTTTCTGTCTCCTGTCCCAAGGCAGGATTGGTGAGCACAGCAGCTACTGCCCTCAGAGCCCCTTGGAAGAAAAAGCCCACCCCATCTTGATAAACACCTGGGATCTTCCAGCATTGATGGGAAAATCTTAATAGTTCGCAGTTCTATCTGTATGGCTTTCTTGCCAGTTCTCTTCACCCTACCTGGGCCGGCTCATCGCACTGTCATTGCTCCCTTCACATCTGTTGTTCTTGGTACACTTGTAGGCGCCACAGTGCAGGGACTGAGTCTGTCTTGTTCATCATGTGTTCCTAGTACTTGAGCCAGTGTAGGTATATAATAGGTGCAATGCATATTTTGAAGAAGTCTGCTTCGTCTAATTGTCATCCCTTTGTAGGTGATGTCTTTTCTCACTGATTTTAGGACATTATTGGTGTTTTGTAGTTCTATTACAAAGTATCTAGTTATGGATTCTTTTCTATTTGTTCTTCTCAATATGTTGTATTTCCTGTACCTATGAATTTGCATCTTTCATCAGTTTTGGAAAATTCTCAGCCAGTATCTCTCCAACTATTCTTTTTCTCCATTCTTTGTATTCTCTCATTTGGGGACTCTGAGTAGAAGTATGCTAGACCTTTTCATTCTGTCCTCCATGTCTTTTAACTTCTTTTCCATGTCTTTCATTCTTTTTGTCTCCATGATGCAACCCATGTAATCTCTTCAGCTCTTTCTTCTAGTTCACCAATTCTTTCTTTGGTTATGGCTAATGTGCTGTTTAATTCATACACTGAGAGGGTGTGTCTTTTTTATATTTTTGGTCATTGTTATGTCATATGAACATTACTTCCTATGCTGACAGTACTTTAATAAGGTATAACTTACATTCAGTAACATGTACAAATTTAACTGTATAAAATCAAAGCACTTCAAGAAATGCACACATCCCTTAATGCAGATAAAAGACCTGGAACAATCCTACAATCCCAGAAAGTCACCTTGTGCCCATTTGCAATCAATCCCATTCCCCAGAGGCAACTACTGTTCTGATTTCTAAAACCCATAGGTCACTTTTGCCTGCTCTTGACTTTCTTATCAATGGAGTTACACAGTGTTTATTATTTGCATTTAGCTTCTTTCATTCAACACATTTTTGAGATTCATCTTAGTGTTACATACTCTTTTGGTGGAAACACAATGGCTCCATAAGTTCCTTCAAGGAAGAGCATGTGAAACCTGATTTTTCTCTGAATGTCTGGTGTCCTCACAGGTCTGAGTGTACTAGAGGTCCTCTGGGAGTTGAATGAACACATGAGTGTAGAGCACATGGGGAATGTAGAACATATGGGCAGATGCATCCAGAAAGGTTGGCAGTAGCAGAATAGGCATCAATTTATCCTTCCAGCAAGCTTTCATTGTGCCAGATTATGGGCACTCAGGTGAACAGTAGACAGAATACCTGCCTTGGTGGGATTCATTCTACAGAGCCTTGCAGAACATGGTCAGGAGCTTGGGCCTTACCCAGTGACTCTGGGAACTGTGCTGCGTCAGCCTGGCCAAGGGTGAACCTGAGGAGGGGTGGTGAAGGATTGGAGAAAATACAGACAAGAGAATACGGCTGGGGCTCAGTGGATCCCCTGTGCCTGGATGAGGGCACAAAACACCCAGCCTGCAAGCCTTTATTTTATAGTCTGATTAAAATAAGAGTAGATTAACTTTTATACAAATGTTCTTGCTTAGGCAAACACTTTCTGCACCTCCCACAGCCCATTAGCTACTTAGGAAGGAATTAGGGAGGGCTACAAGGTCAGGCTTAATTATGCTAGGAGAGCTCTGCCCTCCAGGCTGGGACTTCTTTGTGGCCCTGCCACCCGGTCAGCCCAAGGCTTGACCCTAGAGCCCTACAGGGAATCACTGAAGGGTTTTTAATAGGGAATGACAGAACCAGCTTGCTATAGAAAGAGACTGGGAAAAGGTGAGAGAGGAGAAGTAGGAAGCTCAGGAAAGCGACTCTTACCATTGGTTCAGGGGAGAGAGATGGGCCCTGGCTAGGCCCTGCCTACGTGATGGAGAAGAGGCTGATGATGGGGCACTGTCAGCTGGCCTAGGTCCTCCATGTTCCAGCAGAAAGTCAGAAGTAGAGGCTCAGCCCCACCTTTGTCTTTGGCTTGGAAAAAAACAAACAGGTAATCAGAGGCCTCTTTATTCCCCCCCTTCTCCCTGTTGATTTCTTACTTTGGGAGTTAAGTGCCTCTCATCCCCACCTTTGCCAGTAAAGGAGGGTGGGGTGTTGGGGAGCACAGTCTGACCCTCCTCACCACCCTCAGGGAGCATCTCCTTCATGCTAAGATGAATACTTAAACCTGGAGGCCCAAATCAGGCACCATCCCAACCTCTGCCATGCCCTATAGGCTCTGCATTCGAGAAGAATGAGCACATTCACACCGCTGGGGCCAAGTCTTTCCTCACTGGGCAGAGATCCAGGAGGATCAGCAGAGAGGGCACCTTCCCCGCTCCCGCCTTGGGTTTAGCTTGGAGGTGGAACCCATCCCTCCTTCGAAACCTCTCTGCTCCTTTCGGGAACCACATTAGTGCCCCCGTGGCATCTTTTCTGCTCTGACCCCTGAGATCTCTGGGCTCTTTCCCTTCTACCTCACCCAGTCTCCTTCTCAGCAAGGGAAAGCACCTTCGTGTTCTGCATCTCGCTCTCTTCTGAGCCTTTGCATGGCTGTTCCCTCTGCTTGGAAGAGTGTTCCCACCCTTATCCCAGCTTGACGCTGCTAAAGTGTAAGAAATCGATCCCTAACTGCTCAGGTCTCTGTCCTTGCACCCTAACATCCCTGTGTTTGCCCTCATTGCTCTGGTAGAATTTGCCAGTAACTTGTCTGTCTCCCCTGCTAGACTCAAAGCTCCAGGTAGAAAAGGACTTCATCTTGCCTGGGTATTGCTGTGTTCCCCATGCCCAATCTACTGCCTGGCTCAGATGATAAGTACTCAGTAACCTTTGTGAACAAACGGATGAGATAGTCGTCTGGCTAGGGTGAAGCTAAGGTTTTTGACATTAAGAGATCCTTTGCTGGGAGTGATGGGGATGGGAGTTTCCAAACATAACCCATAATTATTTTCCTGGTGAAACCATCCCTGCCTCCCTCCCCATTTGGTACTCCATGTCCCCATGTGGTTGGCTCTTCCAAGATCCTTAGGTAAGACCCTCCTGTTCCATCACCCCATCTCCATCTCCCCGGACCTTGAGGCCTCATCCTTTCCCAATTTGCATTTGTCTCACTAGTTTCCAGAGTTACCAGCCCACCACCTTGTATGTATCTGCTGGTTTGCTTTCTCAGGGGTTTGCTTATACATACCATATTCTTTCAAGCTTACAGTGCAGCTGAGGGCATTTATTTATTTATTTAATATATATTTTTATTGCTTTCAGAGAGGAAGGGAGAGAGAGAGATATTGAAACATCAATGATGAGAGAGAATCATTGATTGGCTGCCCCCTGCACGCCCCCTACTGGGGATCGAGCCTGCAACCCAGGCAGGTGCCCTTGACTGGAATCGAACCTGGGACCCTCCAGTCCGCAGGCCAACGCTCTATCCATTGAGCAAAACTGGCTAGGGCGAGCTGAGGGCATTTAAAGCACAGTAGGTTGGGCCTCACCTCTGGAGCCCGACTGCCTGAGTTTGAATCCCAGCTTTACCACTCACATCCTGTGAATCTGAGCAAGTTACTTCATATTTCTGTGCCTCTGTTTCGTCATCTTCAAGATAAACCTATTAGGAGTATCTCACCTTTGAGGTTATTGGAGAATTAACTGTGCCTACATGTGCGGTAGCCAGCCTCCAAGATGGCTGCCAATGACCCTCCCCTCCTGGTCTTCACACGTTGTGTAATGCCTGCCCACAATGAATGGTGCTAACCTGTGTAATCAGTGGGCTGTTCTGAAAAGGATGGTGTGTGACTTCTGAGGTCATAAAAGACAGTGTGGCTCTTGCCTTTCTCTCTTGAGTCACTCACTCTGGGGGAAGCCAGCCCCCACATCATAAGGACACGCAGGCCCTCTGTGGAGAGGCTCTACATATCGAGGGCCTTCAGCGCCAAGTTCTAAGCCCCTTTTTCTGCCCCACTGTTCTAGTTATCTATTGTTGAGTAATAATACCTAGCGGCCAAAAAAAAAAAAAAAAAAAATCATTATGCTCCTGGATTTTGAGCATCTGGGATTCCTGCAGAACACTCTGGGGATGGTTTATATCTCTGCTCCACTCTGTCTTGGGTCTCAGTTGGAAAAACTGAAAGTCTGGGGGTGACTTGACAGCTGAGGGCTGTATTATCACTACTATGTCTGGCAGTAGATGCTGGATTTTGGCTGAACTCTCCCACGTGGACTTTGCATGTAGGCCAGGAGTCCTCATAGCATCGTGACTCTGCTCCAGAGTGAGAATCCCAAGAGGCAGAGGGCAGAAGGTGCCAATTTCTTAAGGCTGGAGACCAGAAAGTGACCCAGCATCACTTTCGCCAGTCAAGAAGCCCAGGTTCAAGGGTAGGATGCATAAGTCCTTCCTCTGTATGGGAGGCAAGTGAGAGAACACGGGGGCCATTATTTAAAACTGCTGTAGCAGCCTCCCATGTATGGCGAGGGGCTCAGAAAAGCCAGGCCTGCCCTGAACGGCCACACTCTGGGTGAGTTGGCCTTATGTGCTCAGAAAAGAAACACAGACTCTACCAGCCTCCTGTGCTACGTGCTCAGCAAGAGCTTCCATGGGGAGGGCATGCCACAAGGGTTCAGAGAAAGGGCTGGAGTTGTCAGGGTGCTTCCTAGAATCTACCAGGTGCCAGGCACTGGGGAAACAAAAACATAAAGCTTGAAGCAGTGGCTTTATAGGGTAAGGCGTGGCGTAGAGCTAGGACGTGTAAAGAAGCACTACCACCTGATGGAACAGGTGCCCCATGAGAGACAATCCACCCTGCCTCAGGGGCTCAGAGGAGGTTTCCCAGGAAAAGCGATGTCTGAGCCAAAGGAGAAGGGTATCCCAGGGGTAGGAACAAGCCCAGGCAAAGGTAAGGCAACATGAGAACACAGGGTTTGGCCAAGGATGGGTGACTCAGAGTGGCTGTGGGGTGGACAGAGCTGAGAGGTAAGGCTCCAGGGACATGTTGGGGTCAGGTTCCAAGAAGCATTTCAAAGGCAAATCACTACTGGTGAGAAGTAGGCAAGTGACATGAATGGCAGAGGGTGCCCGTGATGTGCTGGCACTGCCATTAGGCCTGAGAGAGATCACAAGAGGCGGGTGGGTGGGGTCAGGGGGAAGGTGAGTTTGGGCATGTGGAGTATGAGATGCCTGTGAGGCATCCGAGTGGAGATTCCAGTTTGATATGTTTGGACAGGTCTTCCCTGAGGACTAAATGAGACAGGGGAGCTGGTTGCTGATGGAGAGCCTTGAACGCCAGGGTCAAGGGCCAAGTCTATCTTCTTTTTTTTTCCTTTTTAAATGTTTTTATTGATTTTTAGAGAGAGAGGAAGGGAGAGGGATAGAGATATAGAAACATCAGTGATGAGAGATAATCATTGATTGGCTGCCTCCTGCACACCCCACACTGGGAACCGAGTCCGCAACCTGGGCATGTGCCCTGACCCGGAATTGAACCGCAATCTCCTGGTTCATAGATCGATGCCCAACCACCGAGCCATGTCAGCCAGGCCCAAGTCTATAGTCTGTAGGCAAGGAAGAGCTAGGGAAGGTTTTAACTAAGATATCATAACGGCTAATGATTAATGAGGGCTCCTTGCAATAATATTGGGTACAGTTCCAAGTATTTTATATGAACTTATTTGGACCTCACAGTAATCCTATAAGGTGAATACTGCTGCATTCCATGGAATTTAAGAAATCACCAGTCGTAATATATATACCATTATATATCTTCAATTTAAGATGGATTCTTCAGAGATGTTAACATGTAAACAGGAAAAATAAGGTCATAGAATCAATGAAATACATGATCTGCATTTAAAATATAAAGAAACAAGAACTGAGAAGTTCGATAACTTGCCCAAGGTCCACTAAGAGACAAAGTCAGGATCTGAAGCTCAATTCCAAAGCCCAAGTTCTTTTGTTTGTTTTTTAAATAATTCTTTATTGTCAAAAGTATTACATATGTCCCCCTTTTCTCCCATTGACCCCCTCCAGCCCACTCCCACCGCCCACCCCAGGCCCTCAGCGCCCCGTGGTCTGTGACCATGGGCCATGTGTATATGCATACAAGGTTCTTGGTTGATTACTTCCCATCCACCCACCCTCCCCTGCCTTCCCTCCGAGACAAAGCCCAAGTTCTTAACCATCATTTGATATTGGACCGAAGGTTGTGAGCATGTGGAGTTTTAAGACCAGTGTGGCCTTTGTACTGAGGGTACAAAGTACTTGAGGGGAGCGGGCAAAGTCAGATGGCATAACTTGGAGACAAATCCACAGTGAGAGGGGTCTAGAATGGGCTGGGTGCCATGGGGCGGGAGGAGGGGACAGACGGGGTAGAGGTCCTTCGTGAATGGGCAGAAGTGGTTGCCCCACTGCATGCTGGGTGTGAAAACAAGGACAGCTCCGAAATGTGGAGCCTGGGAACAATGGCACAGCACAGGAGGGAAAGGGGCAGCTGCTGCAGACCAGAGGAGAGCGGCGGTCCCTGGGCAGCTAGGACTGCGGCTTCCCATCCCAGCTGGGGAAGTGACGCTGCCTGGCACCTGGTGGGCACTCACTAAGTATTTGTCAAATGAATGGATGGACGAGTTGGTGCTTGATCTTGGGCAAGTTGTATAATCTGGCTGTAAGATCTCTGGGTCTCATTCTTTGTGTGTGTAAAATAACGGGATGGGACTAGAACATGTAAAACAACATGGGTGGTACTCTCCTGGAAGGAGTAGGCATTCTTCTCCCCATCCCAGGACATTCTTGGGTACCCCCAAAACAGTGCTCCCAACCCTGGCTGTAAGGTAGATGAACCCAGGCCCCATAAGAGACCACTGAATTCAGAATCTCTGGAGATGAGGCCCAGGCCTGGGTAATTTCTAAAGCTTCTCAGGTGACTCTGATGTGCAGCTGGTTGAGAACCTTGACCCTGGAGCCTCCAAGTATCCCATTTGAAAACCACTGAGGTCAGTGAGGGCTGGGACCCCTTCCAGGCCTAGGCCCTGTGCTTGGTGACAGGCCTCTCTTTTCTTTCTCCCCCCCCCCCCCAAATATTTTTATTGATTTCAGAGAGGAAGAGAGAGAGAGAGAGAGAGAAACATCAATGATGAGAGAGAATCATTGCTTGGCTACCTCTTGCATGTCCCCTACTGGGGATAGAGCCTGCAACCTTAGCATGTGCCCTTGACTGGAATCGAACCTGGGAGCCTTCAGTCCGCAGGCCGACACTCTACCCACAGAGCCAAACCGGCTAGGGCTAGCCCTCTCTTTTCATGTCCCACCTCCCATCTCCCAAACCAAAACTCCTGACAGCCAAGGGACCAAACACCAGGGTTTCTCAACCACATGCTATGGACATTTGGGCTGGATAATTCCTAGTTGTAGAAGACTCTCCTGGGCATGTTAGGATGTTGAGCAGCATCGGTGGTCTCTACCCACTGGGTGCCAGTAGCATATCCCCCCCAATCAAAGCAATCAAAAATGTCTCCAGACGTAGCCAAATGCCTCATGGGGTGCAAAACCGCCCCAGTGGAGAACCACTGTGCTCCCCTGAGTTTCCTGCCCTTCACCCCAGTGGCAGACAGAGACCAGGCAGGGGCGGAGGCCATTTCACAGCACATTTAGTTGGGCCCGGCAGGAGGGAGGCCGCAGTGGGAGGCCCAGGCTTCACAATGCTAAATGGGGGGAGAGCCTGCCAGCAGACTGACTGATGTGGTCTTGCTCCAGAGGGAGGACGTTTTCCAGAACACTCATTCCCGGATTCCCAGTCAGTCACAGGAGGGCCAGGAGTCGCTTCTGGGGCAAACAGCCCCCGCATTACGGGAACAGGCAGGCCGGGGTGTGGGCGTGGGAGTGCGTGTGGAGGGGATTCTTTCCTTCTGTAGATATTTTCCTGGCATTGGTGACGGCCCTATCTGATTGGTTGAGGGCTGCAGGGGAGGAAGTTTCCAACTGTGGGTGCCTGGGCCCCTGGAGGCCTCCGACAGTAGGATCATGGGGACATCTGGGTTTCAGAATCTGGAAGACTGAACCTTTGGGGCTGGAACTAAGGGGCTGGCTGCCTCACACCTCCCCCGCCCCCAAGCTAAGTGGAAGGTATGGGTATGGGCACACTCTCTTTACAACTGGAGGCTAGGATCTGTCAGCGTCTTCGTAAGTCGATTTTTGCTTCAAGGAAGTGGAACCTGAGGGAAGATGGAGGTGGGAGGTCTGGGAAGGGAAGGGAAGGCAGGGAATGGGGGGGGAAAGGGAAGGGGAGAGGAGAGAGAGAGAGAGGAAAGAGGAGGGGAGGGGAAGGGAAGGGAGAAGAGGAGAAGGGAAGGGATAGGGAGGGGAGGGGAGGGGAGAGAAGGGGATGGGAGGGGAGGAGAGGGGAGGGGAGAAGAAGGGAGGGAAGGGAGGGGAGGGGAGGAAAGGGAAGGGGATGGGAGGGGAAGGGAACTGGGAGGGAAGGGGATGGGAGGGAAGGGAACTGGGAGGGAAGGGGATGGGAGGGAAGGGAACTGGGAGGGAAGGGGATGGGAGGGGAGGGTGGTGGAAAGCACTGGGCGGGTCGGAGGCAGTGAGGCTGTTTCCTGCCCCCCCCCCCCCCCCCACTCACTCCACCACAAGGCTTAGGACGCCCAGGAGCAGGATAGTTCCAAAGACACAGAGGAGCAGAATCCTGGCTTCCCGAAGATCGTGACTTCCTGCGGGAACCCAGGAAACAGTGAAAGATGCTGGAGACCACACCCCTGGACACTGGGGGAGCCCGAGAGCTCAGAGGCCTGGGTGAGGTGAGGCAGGCAGGGCGGGGCATGAGGACCTGGGAAGCAGCGCTTTTGGGGCCAGCAGAGCACCTCAAAGCCCTCGCAGGTGGAGCAGTTGTACAGGATGGTGCTGCCCCCTGCAGGAGACAGCGGGACAGAGCTGGGGAGGGGAAGCCCCGACTCCAGCCTCGGACTATCCCACTTCCTCCGCCCACTGCAGGCTCTCCTGGGAGCCGGGCCCCTGGTCCTCACTGCCTCTCCTTTCCTACTCACAACAGGCGGGACTGCAGAGAGCTGAAACGGAAGACAAGGAGGGGTGGGCACGGATGAGCCGTTCAGCCACACACCCCTTCGCCCCAGGCCCCAGGCCCTCCTCCCATCAGTACCTTCCCTGTTGTACTCAGGAAACTTGGTCTTCTGAAGCCATTGCCAATATAGAGGGAGCGAGGAGAAAGACCTTTTGATCTCTGGGGAGGCAGAGAGCAGCCATTCTGCCGGGGCCTCACAGTCCTGTGGACCTCCACCCTCTCACCCAGCACGTCCCCAATCACTCCCTTCTGTCTCCACCTGCCCTCCACCCTTCCTGCCGCCCAGCCCCCTCCTCGGTGTCCGTCCGAGCCCCTAGGTTGTGCCTTCCCCGGTGACCTCACCCATGACCCTCAGGACCCTGTGAGTCTTCTCCGTGACCTTGTTCATGGACTCCTCATCTGTGGGGATGGGCAAGGACCATGATTTCCTCATCAGCCCAGAAGAAGATTCTTCCTTGACTTTGCCACGGTCCAAAGAAGCCCTCCCACAGGGAGAGGCCAGTGAGTCCAGGGACTCAGCTGAGGGCACAGCTGGGAAGCCACAGGCTGCCCTGCTTGGGGCATGGGGGTGACTACTGCTGAGCCCGTCCCTGGAGGGCTGGACTTACCTAAGGCAAAGGTGGAGAAGTTCCAGGAGGCCTCACAGTCCTTCCACTGGGCCTCTATCTGGCTGCAGAGCCGAGCCAGGCGGCCCGACAAGCCATGCGCTGGGAGGCGGCAGAAGAGACAGGCCTGGGCAGCCTCCAGGAAAGCCACACTTAGTGCCAGCGTCCACATGAGGCCCAGTGGGGGTGCTGGCACCACCTGGGATAGGAAGGCTCTGTGATCCTGGCTCTGGCCCTTTGCCTGAAAGTTGCAGAGTTCCAGAACAGTTGGAGGTTCTAGAGCATTCCAGAACAGTGCCACTGCTCCTTCCCTGGCCTGGGTGAACCTGGGGCCCAAGGGACTGGGGACCAGAAGACGACATTGATGTGCTGATGGGAGAGGGGCAGAGAAAGCAGGACTTCTGTTGCGAGGGAGACAACACTTGACAAGTTTGTGGTTCCAAAAGCAACTTTATTTTTCTTCTTGTGATAAATAATAAGCGACTCTCCAGAGAAGCTGTTCATGAATATCCCATCCCCTCAGAGATGCAAAAATCCCACCCCTTCCCATATCCTCACCGACTCTCCCAAACTCTTCTCTTCAGCTCCTCTCTGCTCCCAGCAGCCTTGAGTCTTTCCCCAGCTATCTCCTAGCAACAGGCCCACGGTTGCCTTAACAACCAAGAATTCCATAAAGGTCTCCAAGGGCCCGCTAAGCCCAGTGACTTCTCTTACCCCTCTCACCAGGAAGATCCCAGTGACTTAAACCCCACCAGGCCCCTCCTGCATCCGTGGTGACGTGAATGCACGTGTATGCATAGACATACACACCCCTTGTGGTTAAACTATTAATTTTCAGTCTATTCACACCCATAGACACACCTGGTGCCCAAACAGCTTCTGAGCAACCTCAAACAGGCCTGGACATGCGGAGACCACAGAAAGACCAGCACATAGACACCACTGCCCGCAACACAGATGGAAGCCCGGATGTCAGGGACTCACACATCAGTCAGACACATACAAACACGCACGTACACATGAAGGAAGGTAGGCCAAGGCCCAAAAAGATGCTGCCCTCCTCCCCATGGCCAGCTCCACCATCAATACCAGATACTTTAAAAAACGTGGGTGTCAGAGGGATGCTCCACCCCATAGTGAATAGGGATTCTCCTAGCTCCCTTCTGCAGCCGAGGGTGGGGTGTAGCTGTTCTGCCCCCCTCAGTAGGTGACTTGGGACACAGCAGAGTCTCCCTCCCTATGTTCCTTCTTATGTCATCAGTCAGGCCAGGCCAGGCCACTCAGCTCAGGAGAAGTCACAGTCCAGGAGACCACATCAGAGCAACCCGAAGTCCCTCCTCCTTCCAGGCCTGTGTCCTGCATTGTTCTGCTAGGCCTAGCCTGGGCAGAGACGTGTCCCCACTTTTCCAGACCCCTGAATACTGAGCTCCAACCAAGGACACTGGAGGTCCCCAGGCTCAGGCGAGAATGAGCCAGGGCAACCTGCCGGCCCTCCCAGGATCAGCACCCATCCAGCCCCTCGGTACCGCTTGTGAGCCCTCAGTGGGCTTGGGTTGGGGAGTCCCGCCCACATTTGGGCTCCGGTCAGGTGCAGTGGGACCTCTGACTCACAGCCCCAAAGCAGAGCTAGGAAGGGGCTTCAGGGGAGCCTTCATCCCCTTTGCTGTCCCCTTCTTCCTCCCCCCCTCCCCCACCCCCCTGCAGTCAAACCAAGGGCAGTATTCCCAGCTTAGTTCTTAGTGTCGAACAAAGCGCAGAGACCTGGAGTTGAGTAGGTCTTCAGGGTCAGGGAACACGGAGTCCAGCCGGAAGCCATGCTCCAGAGCCACCCGGAGCACCTCCTCCAGGAAGCCCGGTGTGCCGGCCACTTCCCGTCGCTCTCCCGGCCCCCCAGTCCACAGTGGCTGCAGCCCCAGTTTCCTGTACTCCACTTCCGGAAGTTCCGTGGGGCGGGGGGCCCACTCCAGACGAAAGTGTGGTCCCCCCTCTGCTCTCTCCTCATTGGCCAGACCAAATCGGGCCCTCAAGGCACCCAGGCACTCTTGGTCGGTGCAGAAGAGGTTGGCTCGGAAGGTGTCCACCCGGGCAGAGCTCAGCTCATAGTGGTGGGGGCCCTGGCGCGCAGAGAAGTGCACCACGCGGGGGCTGGCATCCACATCTGCGTGGAGCAGGGCAGCTGTGGGTGCAGGGGTCCCCTGAGAGGCCTCCAGTTCCCGCAGGGCATCTAGGAGGGGCTGGATCTGGTAGAAGTCGGCCTCTGCCCTGAGAAGCGCTGTCTCCCCATATCCCAGGGGCAGGTCCAGGCGGCCCAGCCGCAGGAAATTGAGAATGTGCCGGAAGGCCTTGCCATCCCGGTCGATGAAGTAGTAGTGGCCACCGCCCTTGGAGTTGAGGTTGGGGGGAATAGGGGTGTCAGCCCTAAACATGGCCCCCAGCATGGAGTCTGGGAAGCGAGTCAGGGTCTCCAAAGTGGTGGAATATAACGTGCCCCCCACATTCAGGGTCACGGGGCCCCCAAAGGAGGGGGGTGAAGAGGGCACAGGAGGAGGGGAAATTTTGGGGAGTGCTGGAGACACCCAAAGAGAAAAAGGCAGGACTGCCTGGGTGTGCGCGGAATGGGGTCGGAAGGTTCAGACTCAGGGGGAGGCACTGGTTGGAGTCGAAGGCAGCAAGATTCGGGGCTCCCCCGGCTACCGTGCAGTGGGGGATGGCTCCTGGGCACAGAGCGCCCAGGGGCTTGGAGGACTGATGCGGAGCGCGCAGCGAAGTCCAAGAGGATGGCAAGTTCCGTCCAGACGCGTCCACCTCTGGGCGGCCAGCGGTCCGTTCTGCGGTCTGTAGACGGGGCTTCCGGACCCAACCGGCAGGTGACGGTCGAGCGCCAGGCCGCCTGTTTGCGGGTCCAGCCTCCGAGTCCTCGGGCGGATCGCCGTCGCCGCGGGCAGACCCCCCGGGTCCTGGGGGCCAGTCAGAGGCCTGGCCTGGGCCCGGCTCCAGCGGGTCCCGGGGATGGAGGCGGGGCTCCCCGAGCTGACAGCGGAGGGGCCTCGGGTCGCGGGGGCGAGGACGCACGCTGACTCCCAGCTGCGACGGTGCGGGACTGAGGGGAGCGGCCGGGAGTCTCGGGACCGGGTGCCTGCAGCTGCTTCGGCGCTCTCCGCCCCCAGGAAGTGCCGGGGCCGCCGCGCCGGTCCTTTAAGAGCCGGCCCCGCCCCCGCCCCGGCGCCCCGCCCCCGCCCCCGCCGCTCCGAGGGCCCCGGGGACGCGGGGAGGACCGGCCGGACCGGCGGGCGCGAGCGGGGGCGGGGCGGCGGTGACTCGTGCGCGTCGCTCCGGATGTGGCCGCGCCGCCCGCCGGCCCAGGTGTGCGGGGCCGCACGTCCGCCGCCCGCGGGGCAGGGGCCACCCCCGCGGCTGAGACACCGGGCGCGGCCCTCGGAGCGCGGGGACCCGCGCGCCCTTCCCGTCCCCCCCGGGAACTCCCGCGGGCGGTGCTGAGCCGCACATTCCGGGGATGCCGCGCGGCCGGGGTGGCCGAGCGGCGCCTCCCTCCGGCCCGACGCCAGCTCCCCCCGCCCCCCCGGAGGCCGGCACAGCCCCCGCGAGCGGCCGCGCCTCGGCCCGACGGGTCTGGCCACGTCGCCGGCGCCCGAGTCCCGCCCCAGGGCCTCCCGCCGCCCGCCCGGGGGTCGCCCCTCGTGTGATCCGAGCTCACGACTCCCAGGCACTCGCGTCCCAGGAGCCGCAGCCCCGGACAGCCTGCGGGCCCGGGCGGCGCCAGTAAAGGAGGATGGAGGGAAGGTCCAAGCACGGAGGCTTTAATGGCCGGGCGGGGGCGGGGGGGGGGAGGTGCGGGTCGCAGGCCCTCCACGGCCCGGCCTCAGAGCGTGTGGAGGTCCTGGGCCCGCCGGCTCAGCTTCTCGGGGTCGTCGGAAGCCATCAGTGAGAAGTCTCGGAAGATGTCCAGATACGTCTCGTCTCCTGGGGGGAGGGAGGGAGGGAGGGAGGGTTGGGAGCCCCGAAGGCTGGGCCCCCGGCTCCGGAGCGTGTGCTGGGGACGGTGGGGCGTCCCGGTAAGAGCGCGGCTGGAGGAAACACCTGAGCCAACAGGGCACAACTCTTGCCTTCTTCACTCCGTTTTGAGGCCCGGTGTGTCCCATTCGCCCAGCACAGATTTGTTGAATAACAGACATAAAGCTGGTCACCAGGGGCCCGAAGCCCGGAGTTACGATGAAGAGCCTGATGGGGCTGGGCTGGGGGTACTTTACCTGCCTGGCCCTGGGCTGCCTCTGCCTCTCTCATCTTTGCCAATCGAAGCCTGAGGAGGAGAGAATTAAAGAATGAAGGACATCCTTCCCCCACCCCCAGCTTCCCACCCACTGAGCCGGGCTGTTTATTCATCTGTTTGCCCAGGGTCTAGGCCAGGGGTGGGCAAACTTTGTGACTCGAGGGCCACAATGGGTTCTTAAGGGCCGGGACAAAAGCATGGATGGAGTGTTTGTGTGAACTAATATAAATTCAAAGTAAACATCATTACATAAAAGGGTACGGTCTTTTTTTTTTTTTTTTAGTTTTATTCATTTCAAACGGGCCGAATCCGGCCCGCAGGCTGTAGTTTGCCCACGGCTGGTCTAGTCCTTAAAAGACACCTGACAGCAATGTTGACAAATAATGACTCTCGGGATGAGCTCACCGTCCTTGGACCCTGCCCACACCCCTGCTACTCCGTTTCCCAATCAACACTTGGGAGCATCCTGCCCGCTGCCACTCCCCTCCCCAGGCATCTCTGGCATCGAGGTCTGGGACTTAGCCACTCCCATGTGAAAGGTGCTGGTCCTGCCCCTTCAGGTATCCTCACAGGGTGACGATGTCGGCATTGGCTGTTTCCATGGCGATGGTCAGAGGGTCCCTGCCTTCAGAGTCCTGAGCTCCCAGGTCAGCTCCCCGTTTCAGGAACAGGCAGGCCAGTCTAGAGAGGAGAGCCAGGTTTAGCAGCAGCTCCTCCCGTCCGGAACCTTCCTCCCCAAGGCCATCATCGCTGTCTGCTACCCAGTGTGGCCAAGGATGGTTGCGTGGTGGAGTGGGCCTCGGCCGCGACTGTCTGCTTGGTTCACATTCGCCCCATTCTGGAGGAGAAACTCACAGGCCAGAAGAGAATTCTGCATTGAGAAGCAGAGACAGGGAGAGGGTGGCATCTT